CCAAGTATGCACCCACGTCACTTGCTCATATATGCGGCAACAAGGCATCGGTCGAGAGGTTGCAACGATGGCTGCAGGCTTTCCCGAAGAGCCTCAAGACAGGGTTCAAGCTTGCTGGTAAAGATGGCAGCGGAGTCTTCCGCGCCGTCATGATCCATGGACCGCCTGGTATTGGTAAGACTACTGCTGCACATCTCGTTGCTAAGCTTGAAGGTTACGACATTGTTGAGAGGAATGCCAGTGACACCCGAAGCAAGAAGCTTATTGAAGATGGTCTGCGTGGTGTCCTCAGTACCAACTCCCTCCACGGCTACTTTGCGGGAGATGGAAAGAAGGTTGAGGACTCCAAGAAGAAGCTCGTACTTATCATGGACGAGGTCGATGGTATGTCTGCAGGTGACCGAGGTGGTGTTGGTGCACTCGCAGCTGTTTGCAAGAAGACAGAAGTTCCCATGATCCTCATTTGCAACGACAGGAGGCAGCCCAAGATGAAGCCATTTGACTATGTCACGTTCGACCTCCCCTTCCGACGGCCAACTATTGACCAAGTGCGATCGCGTATCATGACGATTGCGTTCCGTGAAGGCCTCAAGATGCCTACCCCAGTTATCAACGCTTTGATTGAAGGCAGCCATTCCGATATCCGCCAAGTTGTCAACATGATATCCACTGCCAAGATCGATCAGGAAGTCATGGACTTTGACAAAGGCAAGGCCATGTCGAAGAACTGGGAGAAGCATGTCGTTTTGAAGCCGTGGGACATCACGCAAAAGATTCTTGGTGGTGGCATGTTTGCTTCGAGCAGCAAGGCCACTCTCAATGAAAAGATTGAGCTCTACTTCAACGACCATGAGTTCAGCCCGCTGATGCTTCAGGAAAATTATCTCGGCACGAATCCTATCCTATCGGGAGGCTATTCTGGGAAGGAGAAGAACTTCAAGAATCTTGAGCTTGTGTCACAAGCAGCAGACAGTATCAGTGATGGCGATCTGGTCGACCGGATGATTCACGGATCTCAGCAGCAATGGAGCTTGATGCCTACGCATGCAGTCTTCAGTTTTGTGCGACCCGCAAGCTTTGTGTCTGGCAATACTGCTGGAAATCAGACACGCTTTACATCGTGGCTGGGCAAGAACAGCTCTGCCAATAAGCTCAGTCGAATGGTCAAGGAGATCCAGGCTCATATGCGGTTGCGATCTTCTGGTGATCGACACGAGATCCGTCAGCAATACGTCCCGATGCTTTGGACTGATCTTGTTCAGAAGTTGCAAAAGGAGGGCAAGGAGGCAGTCCCAGAGATTATTGAGTTGATGGACAGCTACTATCTTACCAAGGACGACTTTGATGCAATCATGGAGCTGGGTGTTGGTCCTATGGACCAAGAAAAGGTCAAAATTGATAGTCAGGCCAAGTCAACCTTTACTCGACTGTAAGTCTGGAGAGGATACTGTGGATTTTGACTGCATAACTAACTCGACACCAGATACAACCAGCAATCGCATCCTCTGCCCTTCATGAAGGCTTCATCCGTCACGGCGCCAAAGAAACAAGCCAAAGAAAAGCCAGACTTGGAAGAAGCGATTGAAGAGTCGGATGATGGCGAAGTGATTGAGGAAATCAAGGACGAAGATGACGAGGATATCGATCTCTCAAAGGACAAGTACGTCAAGCAACCGAAGAAGAAGGCTGCGCCCAAGAAGCCGGCTGCGGCGAAAAAGGGGGCGAAGAAGAAGGCCAAGGATGAAGACAGTGAGGATGAGGAGGACGAGGATGTCAAGCCAAAGAGTAAGGGTAAGGGCAAGGCGAAGGCTCCAGCAAAGGGAAAGAAGTGAGTTGTATCTAGGGTAAGATATGTATGTATCAAATAAGGGCAAAAGGCGGAGAACTTTACCTTTCTAGAATTACCTGTCATATCCCGGTAGTACATGTGTCATATTAGCGGGCGCAATTACTTATATGGTTTACACACAAACTTTGTAGTTTAATCGAAATACAACAGAGTATATATTTAACATGAAGTGCCATTGATGAGCAATAATGAAGTATCTACCTCATTCGGGCACCGAAACATTTTGTTCTTTTCACATTAAGCATTACTTCATATCAAGCTCTGCCGCCCTCTTAAATCACACACAACGCAGCAATAAGTCCAACCACCAACGTACCCACAGCCCCTTGCCCCATCCTCGCCGCAGCATTCTGCGTCTGTTGCGGCGGCGGCGTACCCACCGAAGGCGAAGGCCTCGTCCCATTCGTCGCCGTCCCATTACCCGCAGCCACACCATCCTCCCTCTGCCTACTAACCTTCTCAATCCGTCCATCCAGCTCGATATCCACGGGCGACTGCGCCTGAATATACCGCGTCAACACCTCATCCTGCGTATCCAGACTAACAAAATCCGTCGTAGTCTCGAAGAAATTATCACCACCGCCTGCGATAAAATCCAGCGTGACCATTTGATACGTAGTATCGTTATTGAGCGGCTCGCCGCCGATGGTTACGGCGATGAGTTTGGTGTTGTTACCGTTATCAGGGTTATATTCTACCTTGATGCCACTGCTGATTTGGAAGAAGGATGTGACTTCGCGTCCGTTTCTGACGTTGACGCCTGTCAGGATGCCCTCGAGGGCTTCCCAGAGCAGTTTTCCGGTGATGGCGAGTTGCACGATGGAGTTGCCAAAGGGGAAGGACGTTAGGACTTCGCCGCGGGTGATGTCGCCCGTGTCGATGGTGGCGCGGATGCCGCCTGCGTTGATGAGCGCAAAGTCGACGTCGTCGGTGTTGTTTTTGCGGTAGGAAAGCATGGCATCGGCCATGAAGTCGCCTAGGAGACATTCTTGCTTCTGGCAGGTTGTCTGGTCGAGCTCGACGTTTGTGGTGCCGAGGACTTGGGCGGCGAATTCTTCAAAGGGGCCGCGCCAGGATTCGATTTCGGATTGGAGGGAGGAGTCTTGCTCGGTGGTGTTGGTGAGATGGATGGGGGCGCCGTGGTAGGCGAGGATTTTGCCGGAGGGATCGTAGGTCACGTCGATGTAGCCGATGTATTCGCCCCAGCGGTAGGCGGTTACGATGAAGACTTCGTCGCCGTCTTTGTTGTCGACGATGGTCGGGTACTTGCCTTCGGCGTCTTCCATGTCGCCGAGGAGCGTGTGGCTGTGGCCGCCGATGATGAGGTGAAGACCAGTGGTGGCTTTGGCAAGTTCCTGGTCCTTGTCGTAGCCAATGTGGGTAAGAGCTGCGATTCTGGTGATGTTGGTAGTGCTCTTGATTTGGTCGATGGCACCTTGCACGGCCTGCATTGGTTGTTAGTCTTTGCCCATTTCATCTGATTGTAGATTGCAAAAAAAAGCCTACCTCGACAACATCAGAAAAGACGGTTGTTGGATCAGCGTTACTCAAGCTGGCGGTTTCTTGTGCGGTGACTCCAATGACTGCCAAATCGTGCTTCTCAAAGATAGTCCAGGGCTTGACCGTCTTGTTGACATTTGGATCCTGCGAGTGCACATTGGCGCTGACAACGGGAAACGTGAGATTGACAAGAAACTCTCCAAGCTCAGCATCTCCACCGTCAAACTCGTGGTTTCCAAGCGTCATGGCGTCGAACTCGAGCTCGTTGAGAACCTCGGCAATCTTCTCGCCACCATAGTAGCTGTAGAACAAGGTACCTTGGAACTCGTCACCAGCATTGAGCCAAAGGCTGTCTTCGACATTGGGACGCTGATCTTCAATCACATGCTTAACGCGAGCATAGCCTCCGTAGCATCCTCGCTCGGGCCTAGTGCAGTCGGTTCCTGAAGAGCTGAACTCGTCCAGATGGGCGTGCACATCGTTGATGTGGAAGAATGCTGTGTCATGTGAGTGTGTGTATAGCGTAGACAATCCAGTATAGCTTACAGATGTTATAGTTTCCGTCCTGATCGAGACCACGCTTCAACATGCGCTTGCTATACAGTACATCCTCTGCACGAGCAAGTGTAGACAAGACTGAGAGGGCAACCAGAGAGGCGCCTGGCGTAGTAGTGAACTTCATCCTTGCCGACTCGACTAGAGCAATTGACTTTGAAAACGAAAGAGAGGACGCGAGCACGAAGAACAGAACCCATTTTTTTTCAGCCAGGCTATTATACTAACATGTTCCCCGGACGTCTCCGCTGACTTCACAACATCTCTTCTTGGCACATCTTGGTGTGGCCGTGCACAGGTCTCGGCAACTGCCTCTTCCAGTCTAATGCTGAGCCAGGCGTGATAACAGTCTGCCAATCACGGCAACACGTGCGAGCAGAGCACATGCAGTCCTCCCGTCCATTGCTTCTTGTACCTGGATGCCGGACCGCCACAAAGGCACGGAAATTGGGCGAAGTTGACAGCAGAGCACGTGGGCTTGTGTGTTGGAAGGGAACTTGATTTGTGGCGATGCATGCGCAAGAGCGGGGAGATGGGAAGTGTCAAGGCAGACTGGAGGAGTTCGTACTATTGATCGTACTACTATGGATGATAGGCTGATATGACGCATGGCCAAACCCCAGAATCCCCAGAGTATGGTCCACGGATACTAGGGCCCAAAAGGCTCAGATTCCCCGAACACCGGAGTGGACTTGCTGCTCGACCCGGTCAAAGACTTGCATTTAGCGCAGGTCCATCTTCGGCCCAATGTGACTGAAATTCTACTTCGTCTATCCTTTCCTTTCTTTCCATATTCAACTCCAGAATTCCTTCTCGGTATATGGCCAATGGTCGATTGTCGAAGGTATGATGAAAAGAGTTGTTCGGATGTGCGGGGTCCCACCACTCACCCCGCCCTGTCGAAAAGGACGCCCCGGTTTTGTTTTGATTGATCCTGTGGTACAGCTCAGCAGTAAAAGGGAAAAGAAAGCTTACTGAATGGTCATCGATGATCAGAACGTGAATCTTTCCACCACTCATCCCAGTGTGTGTTGCTGATGTCGTCCTGCTTCAACGTTAGCAAATGAAGCACAATGATGTTTGCTGAGCAACGTACCTTCTATGCTTTTGTTACTTCGGCTTCAAATATCTGAATCCGCAGCTTGCAATGGCGTGAAATGCTTATCGAAAAGAGCCTACAACTCCCCCTTGACCCTGCAACCGACTAGAACACTGGCTTCTTGTAAGCCGCAACCCGCTTGGTCGGAATAGTCGCAGGGCTATACGGCTTCTTGAATGCTCCAAAAAACCAAACGGGATTGGCCATCTGTCGGCGACCAGTAGCCAGGAGTCCGCACCTGCCAACACCACTCAGGTCCTGGAGGATCCCAATGTCGTCCGCCTCGACGACCCCCGACGCTTGCAGGGCAATCTTGATAACAGCATTGCCATAGTCAAGCTGACCCAAACCAAGCTGCTCACCCCTTGCAATAGCCTCTTCGCGACGATTTGCCTCGTATGCCTGCACACTGGCGAGACGAGTGAGGAAGCGGCGCTTGAGCGTCAAGCTACCCGCTTTGTCGCCTTGGAGGATCTGTGATGTCTTGGAGCCGACCGAGGTAGGTCGAGAGTGCAGTAGACCGACGAGTGGAGCCCATTCATACCGTGATGGCAAGGCATCAGGGGATGCGGATTGCTTGACGGTGTCCTTGGCGGAGAAGCGTGGCTTGATGGGTCCTGAGACAAAAGCGACCTGCTTCTTGACAGTGGCGGGACTGGATGGGCATGCAGTTGGCTTTAGAGCGGACTTTACTGCGTGGGGTCCACGACCCAGTGGCTTCTTGTCGGTACTGGGAGTCACTGACTGCTTGGTACCGAGGTGTCGTCCAACGGTAGGACGGGGCTTGTGACTGCCAGTAGCCTTTTGCTGCGGAACAGGCTTCTGGCGGCGGGCGAGAGGCGTGGTGCGGATGTTAGCTGAGCACCTTCGTGAAGCCTTGGGCTGGGTGGTTGTCGGAAGGTGACGCTTTCCACGCGCCTGAGGCTTCGTGGTCGCAGCCGCCTTATCACTCTTGGCTGGTTCCGGAGAATTGAGTTTGGTGACTTTGACTACGTTGCCTCGTGTTGCCTCCTTGGTAGTTGGTCGGGATGGTGGTGGTGTTGTCTTGACACTATCCTTTGGAGGGTTCAGTGGAGCGTAGATCTACATGTTATTAGTTACCATATCTAATATGAAGCAAGATCAATTCACATACCTTGTCCTTGTTCCTACGCAGCCAACTCCTTCCTTGGGCGCACGTGTGGCATGCTGACACCTTCACCCATGTACGTCAGACAGTGGGCGAGTCCCACAAACCACGGCGATCGGTGGATCTGGAGTCCCAGTCCAAGTCGCTTCGTGCTGACGAGCTCTCGTCCGATGATTTTGAGGGTCGAAGTCTGTTGGTCAGTATCAACAGACTCGTCGAAGCTCTTGTTGTTGAAGAGCAGTGAGGAATTGTCGATTACCGAGTCCTCGGCTTCGTTCCGCTCGACAAGCTGCAGGATTCCAGAGTCGACCTCAACAGGGCCTTTCTCTGGGGTCTTGTCTTCGCAGTCTTGTGCAACTGCAACCTGGTCTGCAGTGTGTGAAGTTAACTTGGCCTTGGAGATCCGAACGACACTCACTGATCTGACCCAAAACTTCATGCTCTGTCGGACCCGAGTCTTCTTCAACGCCACAACCGTGGGTCTTGGGATATTGGTCTTTGAGAGCGCACCGGCACCATTCTGCTTATGGTCAGCTCTGGATCGTGCGTGGAGTTGGGGTACACGAATCGCCGAAGCGCTCGGTCTTGTCCTTGACGTCAACACGTTGGTTGCAGGCAAGTTTTGCCTCGACGCAGTCAACGCCGTTCTTGGCTTTGTAGTTGACTTATTTGATCGCTGGAGCTACTTGTATGGCAGCCTGATCGGATTGACAGCGACACTATCCTGCTTTGCAGCACCGCGCATGTCAGGGACGTGGCGTGCAGGAGAAAGAGAATGGACAACTTTACGAGTTGCTATAGATGACATTGTGAATGTATCTCTGCATACTGTTAGAGGATCGCCAATGAATAGAGGGGATGTGGGTGTTCTCACGAAATGGGGCCAAATTGTGGTGGTGAGCAGAGCGAGGTGGGCGGCGCTGTTTATATACAAAACAGAGAGAGTGAAAGCTGTTATGATGCCATGGCAACCTGAAGATTCACTCTGAAGTTGTTTGAAGCGGGATCAGATGGTTTCCTGTAAAAAAGAGCATGTCAGTGGTAAATGGCGACGTACAAAGGCTCCAGTGACGAAAGCGAGTCTGTGTGGGCTTACCGGTGTGTAACAACCCCGAGAGCTAACGAAAAGATCCAATAAATATACAAAAGAAACATCTCAGGGGATTTGTTCCAAGTTTCTACTGATATAAGTCATTGTTGATATATAAACATATTTCTCTTCCAGTGATAACGTTATGTCGTAACAAGGTTGAAACACAGACACGAACATAACAAAGGGTAAGGCTGAGAAGGAATTTAAAGTCTACGGGGATTCTGAATGCGATTGCTTCAGAGACTGATTTCAAGCAAACTGTTTTACACTTCACTCACTTCCAATCACCCTTTCGATACGCGTGAACACACTTTCTCCACGCAAAACGGAGTCAAAAATATCTTATATTCAACTTGATAATAATCTCATTACCTTCCGTACTTTTCACTTTAACGATTCATTCACATGAAAAACAGCGTAAACTTCTCACAGATAGCACATATTGTTTACGTTTGCTTCCTTCTTCATCTTCACAATACTATTTTGATTTCCTTTTCATGATACATTACATTATGACAGTCTGCACAGCGCAGCATCCCAAATGGAAATCTTCCTTTTCTAGAAGTCAAGCGGCAGTAATAGTCACACTACCGCCTTCTAGGCCCTCCGCCGTGGCTTCAACCACAATCTCTCCGGTTGCCCCAGCTTCACTCCTTACAATAGCCAGCGCCAAACCGCCAAAAGCCTTCCTGGTTTTCTCCGGGAACGGTACCAGATCTGTTGGATCGCCGTTGTCCGTACTGATAATGACACCAGGGCCGGATGTGACCTTGAAGCTGATTGCGTGGTCGGCCGTCGGAACGAGAGTACCCTGGCTATCATGTACAGCCACAGAGATGAAAGAGAGGTCGTAGCCGTCACCGGTGATGGTAGAGCGGTCTGCAGTGATGTTGAGTGAGGCAGCAGGTCCCGCTGTGACTTGCGACGCGGTTGCCCATTCTGCGCCATCCTTGTAAGTTACTACGGTGACGTTGCCGGGGCTGTACTTGATGTCATCCCAACGGAAGCGGTATTCGTATTCTGCCTTTTCCTTGCGACCAGCAGAAACACCGTTTACGAAGAGTTCGGCTGCGTCACCAGAGCTGTAGACATGCACAGGAGTGGTCTCGCCAGTACGGTCCTCTGGCCAGGTCCAGTGGGGTAGAATGTGTGCCATGGGAAGATCAGACCTCCAGCGGGATTGGTAGAGATAGAAGCGGTCTTTCTTGAACCCTGCAAGATCGATGATGCCAAAGTAGGAACTGCGGCTTACATTGGCGTATGGCGTAGGCTCACCAATGTAATCCCATCCAGTCCAGACAAACTCTCCCGCAACATAAGGGTGCATATCTTGCATTTGGAAGACTTTGTCCGGGGATGCAGCCCACTCCGGTGCGTAGAGATCGTAAGAGCTGATGTGGTTCGTCACAGGATCTCCGCCTTCGCCAGGCCCTCCGCCGATTACTGCGCTCTTGTTGGAAGTGACAGGGAACAGGTACTTGCCACGAGAGCTGATAGTAGAAGCAGACTCGGTACTCCAAATCATCTTCTTGGGAAATGCTTTCTTGAAATCAGGAAATGTGCTTCGCCAAGAGACACCTTTACCTTCTCCCTGGTAGTTTAGGCCGATAATGTCGATGGTTGCAGCAACTCCAGTGCTTGCATTGGCATTGTTCATACCAATGGTAACTTTTCGAGTAGGATCTTCCTCGTGAGCTATATCTTGAAGCATCTTGACGGTTGCAGTGCCAGTAGCGTTGGATTGTTCCCGAAGCTCATTGCCAACGGACCAAGAGATGATGGAAGGATGGTTCCGATCGCGGCGGATAAATGAACGAAGGTCTGGCTCATGCCATTCTTGGAAAATGCGATGAAAGTCGTTTTCTACCTTCGCGTAATTCCAGGTATCAAAAATCTCATCCATGACCAGTAGGCCCATGCGGTCAGCGAGATCCAGGTACCCGGGTGCTGGTGGATTGTGCGAAGTCCGGAGAGCATTGTTACCCATCTCCATTAGAATCTCAATCTGGCGCTCCGCAGCTCGTACGTTGAAAGCAGCACCTAGCGACCCAAGATCGTGATGGTTGCAAGACCCTTGCACGTAGATGCGCTCACCGTTGATAAGAAGACCTTGATTTGGGTCGTATGCGACAGAGCGGATACCAAAGACAGTTTCGTAGGTATCCATCTCTGTTCCGTCAATTGATACAGTGGTAACGGCAACATACTCGTTGGGTTTCTGAGTTGGTGCAGGCCCCCAAAGCTTAGGGTTTGTCACTGAAACTGAACCTTTTACAGTTTGCTTCGAGTTCCCTGCCACATCGGTATTTGCCGTTGGAAAGGTCGCAACACTATTGCCCTTGGCCGCCTTGGATGTAGGGTCGCGCTCGTAGATCTGAGTAACCACCTCGACACTCTGGCTGCTATTGGCCTTGTTCTCAACTTCAACGACAATATCAACAGTTGCCTCGGCTTCTGAAATGCTAGGAGTAGTAATGTAGGTTCCCCATTGCGCGACATGTACAGGATCAACGGTGACCAGCCAAACATCTCGGTAGATTCCAGCACCGGGGTACCAGCGTGATGAATCCAGCTTGTTGTCCAAGCGAATAGCAAGCATATTTGCTCCAGCTTTGGCGTAGGGCGTAAGGTCTAGACGGAAGGAATTGTAGCCAAAAGGCCATCCTCCCACAAGCTGGCCATTCAACCACACCGTAGCGTAGGCCATGGCCCCTTCAACATCCAAGAAAATGGTCTTTCCGGAGTCAATAATCTCAGCATCAATTGAAACTGATCGTCGGTACCATCCAATTCCGTTGATTGGTAGAAATCCTAGGTCGCCAGTAACACCAGGAGCGTCGAATGTTCCTGTAATGGCCCAGTCGTGCGGTAGAGTGACTGCTTCCCAGGTTGCGTCGTCGAAGCTCGACTGCACATAGCTGGTGTTGGAACCAGGCGCAACACCAGAAGGGCGTTGGTATTTATCTCCAACAATGAAGTCGTTTGCAGAGGGCATAATCCATGGCTTCAGCGTCTCGTAGCTCAGGCCATCGGGATTGGATGTGAAACGTGAGAAGCGCCAACCTGCGTTGAGAGACGAGCGCACACGGCCCGCTGAAGCCGCACGCGGTTTCTTGACAACATGTGCAGTTGTTGCATCGAAACAAAGCGAAAACAAGAAGCCGAGGAGGACGAATTTGTACGTTCTGTACAGCGTCCCAGATGAGCTCAACATCTTGAACAATCGGGACAGCGTTGATGGAGGACCAAGCTGCAGGATTCGTTCATCCAAGAGGCCAAATCAAAGAGTGGCGCTATCGCCGACTATGTTGAAAAGTTTGGAGTGCAATGGTACATCCATCGTCGGCATCGCGTCTTTTGTATGTTCGGCAAAAAGGCACCATAAGACCACATAGGGTGCGGGTCAACTGTCTCCGTCTCTCTGCACGTATCTCGTCACGGCCGGAAAATTGAAGAACAACAGGCCGTCTCGGCACCAAACGATAGGCTATCTGTCGAACGATACCTAGTAAATGGTACCTATCGAGGGAAGGCAGCGGAGACTCTAAGCCGTCCCGCACTGTAACGTTGTATGCAGAGTGCGGGGTGGCTCTCTTGGCTCTGCTTAGTTCTCGCCTTGAGTTCGGCTGAGCCGGGCACAGACCTGTATTCTGTGAGGTTTTACCCAAAAGGACCTTGACAAGTGAAGATCCTTGTTGTCGCTTGCCGGTTGATGGATGATATCGAGAACGTGACGTCGTACGCTAACCCAAAGTCGACTTCGATCCGCTTGCTGTTCCCTCACCTTCCCGCTACGTGAGAGCAACCATTACTCGAGATTATGTTTTCGGAACCCATATTTTCCTGCTTTCGGTGTGGTAAGCTACCATGGTGGTTATAGCATAATCTTTGAGAGATGTGGTTCAATTGAGAAGGAGTGCCGACGGCCGAGTGCTCCACAGCTCCGATTAACTAGCCGCGAAAGGATATCGGTCAACCCACTTGACTTGCTCAATGAGATAACGCCAGACACATTTATCTGCTTTGTTGATCCTGCAATCCGTTAAATGTCTCAGTGGACTAGGAAATCAACAAGCTCTGACGAAAAGAACAACACCAACCATGACAGCCAGAATATTGGTGTCCATGCATTGCGACATTGAACGGTCTAAGCTCTATCAATCGTACTATTTCTGCCGCTTAAAAATCCCAGAAATCGAATCGTAGCATCAACCCGTGCTGTAGGTATTTACCGTACCAAAGCGCATGTAGTCGAACATACGTCGTATCAAACATTATGAACAGCGTAGCCTCTACGTACCATCTCTTCATCGCCAATAAAAAGATCGTGCCACAACGCAGAACTCGAAGCCTTTTAAGGATCGAAACTTATCATAAGCTGAGGTGCCGATATTCATGGTATATATGACCATTGGAACCTGGGAATCAGGATGCTGAGTCCATCTGCGATTTGATGTGTACATGTTTTGGAGGTTTGGTCCGGAGGACCAAACGTGAATAGGTTTAGCAAACAGACAATTGTAGGAATTTCCGCATTTTATAACAGATGCTTCTAAGGATTGGCATCTTATTAGGCAGCGCGCTGGGCAAGTTGCTTACGCCGTACTAGGTATTGAGCCAAGCCATGCAATTACCGTTGACTGCAGAGTACAGGCTATTTCATCGCACTTGGAGAGACCAAGTGAGATATAACTGAACTACTCTCAAACATACATACCTCCAAGAGCGTGTTACTGAAGGAGAAAACGGAAATATTACAGCGAAGTATGCGCATACAAGATAGCGGTGAGCTAGAGACACAGTAAGCGCAATAAGAATTTTATATTACAGAAATCAGCAGCATATATCCGAGAACTCTGACGCTAGATTGAAACACTGATAAAAGCTGGTGCCGTCAAGTACAGAGTATTTGGAGGATTGTTTGGTTTTCTCGCTAGACTCAAACATGGAGAGAATCCTACAATCTCAGATGATGAGGTCTTATGGCATTTCTCATTAGGCTTGAGCACTTTTGAAGCATAAAAGATAACGAAACTCCCCTCGGGCCGCCTAATCTCATGATCTCTGTAAACTGTAAACTGTGTTCTAGAAACGGGAATACAAACCAGGAATTAGATTTATAGATACAAAAGGTACTCTGGCGAGCCTGAATGAACGACTTATCTCAAGATTTGTAATTGGGCCGAAGTCGAGTAGTAGGAGGCTGGAGTGAGCTTTTCTTCATTATAATACGAACGATTTACTCATGTCCCATATCATCCATTATCTTTATCTGCAACTCGAAGTTCCACCAGATAAATGTCGATTGATTTTCAAACACCATCATCATGGAGATCCAGGCAATCTTCCTCCTCTTCGCTGCCAGTGTCTTCGCTGGTGGCTCCGGCTAGGTAACTACCATCACGGAAGAGCACATTTTCGCAAGCTGATCGCCTGAAACCCAGGAATGCTACAAGAGATCCGAGAAATTTAGAAACGACCACACCGAGCTGCCTGAAGGCACGGATCTGGACTATATCTTCAGCTACTGACCAAAGGCGAACGGATGTTGCGCCAATGGCAAAAAGTGGTACCCCTGCAATAGTGTAAGTTGAGTCTATTCAGTGACTATGCAATGCGCTGATGATTTGCAGACATGTGTGCCGGGAGATTCCTGCGTTGGCTTCAATAACAATACTTTTTGCTAGGGCTGTAATGAATCGGAAACCTAGATAGCATTTTTGTGGCTCTGTTGAGTTGACTAGTATTTTCTGATAGTAATCAATGAGCGTATTTGATCATAGTGTGCCTGTGTATACAGTGGTGTGAGAAGTGGCATGGGCGGCAGTGGCTGGCTGCAGGCGGTAGCTGGTCTTGGTGGTGCCTGTTGTTTACCAACACTCCAACGAACAAAAGATCAATTTGCTTAACGATATATTACACTTCATTTTGTTACTCTGGTACATACGACCACAGAAAACTGAAATTTAGGCATCCCGTCCGATCTGCCCTATACAAGCAGTTTATCGGCGGATTAGTAGTCAGGTGGGTGACCACTGGCGAATCCCCGCTGTCGTATGTTTTTGATTTTTGATTTTTTGCTCAGGCAAAACAGACTTATCAGCATGTATTCACAGAATAACTGCCAAATGCTAGAGTATGCAGCCAATATGTAGCTCTGTCAGATGTTGTGAGTTTAAGATACAAGAAGCAGACCAATGTCATTGTAGAATAGTTATCAATCTTTTGACGGCTTCGAGCAGGTACAGTTGCCCCTACCAACAGTTGGGTTTTTTCTTTGAGATATTGCCTCGTGTAGACTATTTCTTATTTTTCACAGCTTTTGCGCTGCAAAATTAGCAACTATACTGAGGACGTAACCCATCGTGCCTCAGCTCATAACAAACTAATTCAACCCACTTTTCTCTCCAAAAGGTACCTTACATCTACATAATCCTTGTCAAACCTGACCACTCGTCCTAAACCACCATGCACGAATAGCCCCAGTAGATACACGCATCTAAATTTACCTACCCCTCACTCTGAGCGGGGGCGCCAAAGACTTCCCCACTCAGCACGCTAAACCCTAACCGCCCAGGGTTTTTCTTGGCACCGAACGTCACATCTTGGTTCATTCATGCATCCAGTCCTGCGCCCAAACCCCCAATTCAAACCAAATCCTCGCACCTACAAGTCTGCCTGAAACGAAGTCTCGCCTCCAGGTTCCACGCGTCTCTAGAACAACTCGGACGAAACCCTCACAAACGCCCAACACCACTTGAACCCGACCCAACCCAACCAGCTAGCACACAACCACCCCCGGTCCCACAAGCCCAAAATGTCCGCCTACGAACGCGAACAACAAAATGACTCGCGCCTCGATGAACTCGCATCCAAAGTCTCTGCACTGCGCGGCGTAACAGTCGACATATATGACAGCGCACGCGACCAGCATGTTCTCGACAACACTGTACGTCTCTCCTCTTCTAATCCTCCTCCTATTCTGCCTTCTTCACGCCCAGCTCCCTTCCGCGCCTTCATACCGAAAAGCTCGAATAATTACTGATATATATCTTATAATGTGCAGAATGAAACCTTCTCCAACATGGCCACATCCCTCAAAGGCTCAGCAAGTCGATTGACGCGCATGGCAGCGTCAGGGAATAAAGTGGCGATATTCAAGCTGAGCGGCATGATTGTGGCGGCGTTTGTAGTCTTGTATTGGATTTGGCATTTGATCTTCTGAGCGGAATGCGAATACGGCTGCGACAAAGCGAAGATGATTGTGTGAGGGGAGACGGCAGAAGGATGGGCTGGGGTATGAAGAGGAGGACGGCGGAAGGCTATTGTATACATCCATACACGAGGTTTGGGACGAAAAGATGTGTTGATGTGAAGGGCAGGTTGGGAGTAATTATGCATTTCGCTGCACACGACTATGGGAATCAGTGGATCAGCGAAAAGGGGGCTGCTATGAAGACGAGGGCAAAGGGAAACATTATTCATCATGTGTATTGATTTTTTATTATTGGGATTGGGACATGGGGCATGTCAGTCAATCCCTTGCATATGTGGCGTTCATGGTTGCAAGGGAAAGCGATGGGAGCATTTGATCTTTTTTCTGATATACAAGTTCCAAAGATTTCTATAAGCAACTGTGTATACCATGCATATTACGCTCTCGATCCGGCATTGCTTTTCAAACCTCGATTGTAATAGCTTGTACAAACTTCTCAGTATACAACAACTTACTCCCAAACATTGGAGAACAAATCATCGCTCGTGCCACCAAATCCTCCTGCAGGCTTACTTTGGGTGGTGGTAGTGTTGGAGGTTGTCGTGGGTGCAGCACTGCTCCAACCACCAAAGTCGTCGTCCTGCGTCACTTTAGGTGCGTTCCAGCTAGTCGTTGTTGCCTGGGCAGTGGATGTGGTTGCTGCAGGCTGGCTAGGCGCGGACGACGCCCAGACATCATTACCACCCCAGGCATCCATGTTTGAGAACCCTGAATAGTTGACTGCTGGTGCAGCAGGCGTAGACTTTGTAGCAGGAGCAGGAGCGGGTGAAGAGAGGTTGAATGCCGAGTTGGCGGACGGCGATGTTATTGGCGGAGAGGTAACTTGTGGTGCAGGCGCGGAAGGCATGGAGAGATCGAGGAGGTCGGCCATACCAGACGCTGCCGGAGCTGCAGGCTGGGATGGCGTGGGTGAAGAAAAGGCACTAAAGTTACTTGCTCCTCCGGCAGGGCTCATGGTACGACTCTGCGGAGCAGGCTTTGAATCAAAAAAGTTGCCGCCGCCGCCAAACATGTTGGAAGAAGATGACGACGCGGGTGGTGATTTTTTGCTTGAGAAGCTATCCAGACCAGAAAATGGTGAAGGCTTGGGGGCAGGAGCAGCGTTGAAGGACAAGCTGCTGAATGCATCATTCATACCACCAAACGATGACTGCTGTGGTGATGCCTGTGCCTGGGATGATACGAGTCCACTGAAAGAGTCTTGACGAGCATGCTGTTGTGGCTGAGGCGCTGCCGCGGGCTTTGCAGCATACAGAGACAGGATCGACTGCTTGAGGTCTGGTCTTGAGGGCGCTGCCGCAGCAGCAGGACCTGTGCTGGATGGACGAGCGGGCGCAGCAGAGGATCCTCCGCCGAGAAAGTCGAGGCCTAGCAATGAATCTCCTGCTTTGTGCTGTTTCGGGGGCGCTGGTTCTGCCTTTGGGGGTGGTCGTGCTGCAGCTGGCGGTCCAGTGCTCGGCCGCTCGGGAACTGGATTATCTCCAAAGAGGTCGATAATAGGCTGCTGTTGTGCCTGTCGTTGGGGGGGCGGGGCACGGCCGGAGCCTTGTGCCAGGCGTTGCGAGGCTGAGCGTTCTATTTGTACCTTCTCCTGCACTTTACTCAATGGCTAGGGTTGCTGTTAGTCCTTGTCTTCAAGGTGGCTTGCTCATACTGACCACATCATCATCATCACTGTCCAGAGTGGAAGGATCCGGCATGGGCCCATCCATGACCCAGCGCTTCGATTCATACTTTGTACGGATAAAGTTCTCAATCTTGGCCTCGGATGGAACGTGACCAGGTGCCAATTTCGACTCCCAGTATTTGTTGGCTCGCGCATTTCCCCATTTCAATACACTCTCGAGTTGTTCATCAGTCCAGGTATCGAGGTCAACCGACTTGACCCTGCTGATATGCGTTCCCATGCCGCGGTGTATGCCTGAACATCGAATGCATATGAAGACGCCTAGATTCCAGCTTGCCCATCGCGGGTCTGCGAAAGTGTTAGCGGACGCAGGCCACAGTGACACACGAGTCTTACGCTTGTTCCGCTTGCAGTCTGAGCATGTCTTGTTGCCTTCGAGCTTAACCAAGTTCTTCAGTGTGGCGCGATTCTGCTCCGCCCGGTCGGCGGCAGGGTTGGGCCGTCGTGACATTGTGGGGTAGGTGGTTATGTGCGGAGACTAGGTGCGGATTGCGGAATCGTAGAGTCGGCGCGTGGTAGGGTGGAAGAAAAGTAGTATCTCGCGAGTGCACGTGTCAATGTCGAGGAGGGCGGTTGAGTGGGGATTGGGCTGTTTCATTCGTGCCTGAAGCGTTTGGTGTGCCCTAACAATGACGCTCGGCTTGGCACCGCATGCCACCACCCCTCCTATGTGACCAGAATTACTTTTATACCATCTGCCTATGGGTGCTATATTTTGAGTAGTAATTGGTTGCCGGGCGATCCACATGTTGAATCATGGGTGGATTGGTCATAACAGGGGCTGCCCTGTTAGAAAGAAGTCATTGGATTAGTGCTTGTAAACGCCTGCCCCGGGTATCGCCAATGTGGTATGCTATACTATAATACATGCGCTGACCGCTAAATACTTTGCTGACTACACGCAGCAACAACGCTTAGGCGGGGCGAAACCGCCAGTCGTCCCAGTCCTCATCCTCCGACTCGCTTTCCTCATCTTCTTCATTCTGAGGAGCTGCAGGCTCCTGGTTTTGTACATCGCCTGGCCGTCCAGACACCGACCGCAACGCCTCTCTCTGCTCACGTAGCCTCTTAACTCTCTCCTCGAGTCCTTCCATCTCTTCAAACTCGTCCTCGAGAGCCCGCGCAGCATCTTCCTTCTCTCCCTCCATTTCTTCGTCCCTCTTGGCGCGTTGTTCACTCTGTTCTTCTCGTACTTGAGCAGCGAGCTGGGCAGCTGTCATGGGTGCTGCTTCTATGACGGCACCTGAATAGGCGGACTTGGCCGGCTGTGGGGTCGGCTTCTCTGTGCTCATTTCAGTCATGAAGGCATCGAGCTCTGCTTGAGCCGCAGCATCGAGCGGCGGGTCTACGGGTGCGGGAGGCTTGGGAGGTTGAATGTCTGCGACTGTTGGGCTCTCTTCTACTAGGGCAGGCGCGACTTGGTCGTTGTCGTTGTCGTTGTCGTCGTTTGTCGCGCCCGCATCGAAGAAACCGGCCGGAACGCCCGCCTCCTCCTCGGTTCGCGTACGCTTCTTTTCCTCTCCGCCCTGATCAGGAGCCTTCCGCTTCTTCGCTGTTGGTGCTGCTGCGGGTGCCGGAGACTGCTTCTGGGGCTTCTGGGCCTGCTGGCGTGCTGCACGTTGTTGCCGCAAGAGAGTTCGGGCGTCGGCCATTGTTTGCCGGGGGTAGTTGCAGAGTCTACAGTGGCAGATGGTGCAGTTGGATTGCTATCAATCGGCGTGGGTTGGTACAGTCCTGTCGCGCTTCAACAAAACAGCCTGTCCAGCTTGTCCAGCCACGCAAAGGGTCCAAGTTGCTACTAGTGGCTGGGATTACGGCAGCCAAGACATCGGCAAAACGCAGCGTCCAAGCTCCACTCCACTGTCTCCTCACTGACACCACCCATCCCGACACCACACGACACACCGCGCCTCTGTCCGGCAATCCATTCACCATCTCCTGTTACCTCGCACTGCGCTCACATACAAGCGCATACACCAGGGGCATCTTCCCGTCCGCCATTGTCGTCTGTCGCGCCGGTTGCAGGTGCGCCGTCGGCTCCGTCCACGGGAGACACGCGCACGAGAAAGCTGCGACTCATATTCGGCAGGCTCGTCTCGCATCGCGGCTCCAGTCTGTACAAGCAGGCGGGATACTTGTTACTCTCTCTTTGACTAGTTAGTAGCCGGCTCGTACGGCGTGTCCGCTGGCCCGCCACGCCACGCGCAGGGCAGGATTGGGGCTTCCGTAGAGACTTTTTCTTTGAATCTTGTTGCGCACATAGCATAAGCTACATTCGTGGTATCGTCTATTCTTTGAAGCCCATCACCCGTGTCCACCACCATGTCCGGTAAGCAGACACCATCTACACGCGCCCGTACCAGCTCCTCGTCGCGCACCCCGCACACCGCACGCGCGTGCACAACAGCTTCTGAGCTGCATGCTCATGTCAATGCTCATGCCGATGCTGATGCTGATACCGCTGCCACAGATGAGATCAGGCGCTCCGGCCGCGCCAACAAAGGCCACCATACGAAGAACCAAGACGCGCTCGACGAGCCCGCTGTTGCCGCTCCCGCTGCTCCCGCTACTCCTGCTGCTGCTCCTGTCGCCGCCCCAAAGTCCAAAGCAACTCCAGCGACTGAGAAGAAAGGACAAGCCCATAGCAAGAAAGGAAATGCAAAGGGTCCCTCTCAGCGCGCTCGGTCGACGCAATCAGCAGATGCGGAGGAAGAGGACGACGATGAGGAAGAGGAGGACGCCATCATCCGCTGTGTGTGCGGTGACCAGCGCGACATTCGCGGACGGCAAATGATCTGTTGCGACAGCTGTACAGCCTGGCAACATAACAAGTGCCTCGGCCTACCCGAGGGCGATTTCTGGGAGGGTAAAGACTACTACTGCGAGCAATGCAAGCCCGAAGACCACGTCGAGTTGCTGGCTGCCATGGCCCGTGGCGAGAGGCCGTGGGCGCGTAAGAAGGGCTCCAAACCCAAGCCTCGCGCCAGCGACATCAAGCCGGACGCCCCGTCTGAGAAAGCGGTGACGCCACAACAGTCTACGCCTTCACAACCTCAGGCAGCTCCTGTTGAAGCCACTACTCCCACTCCTGCTCCCATCACAGTGCCCACCCCAGAAGCTTCCAACGGCCATGCCGAACCAAAGGTACACCCTCTTAATCCCATTATTATGACCTCCACTCATAAACACAAGCAGGGCATCAAGAGTCAGCCGCACTCTCCTCTCGGCGAAAAACGCCGCCATGAGGCGGCCTCAGAAAAGGCCAACGCAAGCAAGAAACGCAGAAAGTCGAGCCATCATGAAACCAAGACGGAGCCGCAAGACGGATTGGCCACGGACATCGATGCCCTTCCCCAGAACCAGAAGGCTGTTGCGGAGAAGCTATACGAAACCCTAGCACCCTTGATCACTTCTGCCTCGGACACCCGGGGATACCGCATCCCAGACGGCGAGACTGCCAAGTCTCTTGCTTCTAAGTATACCCTTCAAATGTGCCATGCTGCTTTCAACCTGTATGGCGAGCCTACCGGTGGATCCTCGCCATACTTTGGCAAAATGCGTACCATCATGTTCAATGTCAAGAAGAACACCGTGCTTGTAGATCGTCTGTTGTCAGGAAGCCTCAAGGCTGAGGACCTTGTGAGCATGGAAGCCGAGGAAATGGCGAGTGAAGACAAGCAACGCGAGTACGCGGCCATGCGAGAAGCGGCTGAGAAGCAAATGATTCTGACCGAAGAGACCGGACCTCGGCTACGCAAGACGCACAAAGGCGAGGAGATTGTCGGTGAAGACAACTTCGAGAATGACGACTTCAAGGAGCCCACTCAACGGGAGCGAGATTGTATTACGGAAGACGCAGCGGTACATTCGCCCGTGGCCGTACCCCCATCCGAGAGTCCTGCCGCGCCAAGACTATCTGAGGCGGAAACACCCCAACACGACGGCTTGCGACGAGCATCGACCAATTTTGATATCAACTCTGTCTTCGACAAGGTCCGCTCGCCGCAGCACGACCAGCAAACCTTCCTTCACCGCCGCCGCAGCTCCATGCACACACAAGACAAGCCTCAGAGCTCTGTGGATGATGCAGACGTTGACCGATTGCTCAAGGACGAAGATAACGACGTGGAAATGTCAGGCTATTCCTCTGATCCAACAGTCTGCTGGCAAGGCTCCATCAACATGCAGTCTATGGAACCGTTTGATGCTGTTGCCCGATTCGTCGCAGGCGGCGACTTTGGCCAGGTCGTACCCTGGGAAAAACTTCTGACCCACATTGTGGCGATTCAAGGACGTATCGAGAGTTCTAAAGGAAACGACTATATCCAGAGTATCGGACACACAGAGAGCCACGAAGTTTCTATTCTCGCCGTTAGCCCTGTCACCACCGAAGGACGCACAGTCATGGACCATCTCTACGAATACTTCCACTCGCGTGGCAGGTGGGGTGTAGTACCTGTCGAAGACAACGACATACTTCGAGATCTTTATGTGATTCCAATTGAGGAGGGCGGAAGCAACCTTCCTCCCTTTATCGACATGCTGGAGTACTGCACCATTGAGACACCCCGCAAGGAAAACATGCTGTTATTAGCCCTCGTAGCCAAGCTACCAGAGCTCAAGCCCCAACATCCGCCAACTGAACACTTTGAGCGATACCCAGCTCATGAGGCCACAACTGGTCCAATTGCGCAACCCGCTTTTGGCGGCGGCCCCAGTCCATCACCGATGACCAATCCTCACGCGCCACAATTCTCACCGGTCAGCGCAGCCTACCCGCAGTATGGCAACCCATTCGCACCACCACAGGCGAACATGGTGCCCAACCCACAACCTCCGATGCCCATGCATACACCACCACACCATCAGATCCCAAAAGCACTCGAGATTCTCGGTCCCTACATCGATGCACCCGTCATTGTCACTATCCTCACTTCAAACCTGTCACAGAACGCAGTCGTCTCAGAATTGCAAATGATCAACCTGAGGCATATTGTTGAAACTGTGCCAGAAGCACGGGACAACATTGCTGTGCTGACGAATCACCTGCAGTCCAAGACGGAGGCAAATCGCCAACAACAGCACGCCCAGCCATCAGGGCCTTTGTAGGACAATAAGTGTGCGCAGATGGCATGGCTTTTACGGAAATACACACGCGCTGAGCGTCCGAGTGTGTAGCGTATCTCATGTAATAAGGGAAGGGGAGCAATTAATCAAAGGTAGTCGGCGCTTTGGGTGGTAAACATCTCTATTAAGTTTCGCTCAGGATCAGCCCTGCGTGGTGTTCTGTGGCGGCGGCGATGAGGGTGGGCGGGCTTTTCATGATTTCATCAGTATATTTTGTTGATACCCATACGTGGTGTTTTTTGTTGTTCGCTCCTTTTTGATTAAAAATGGGTTTTCGGTTCACTTGTAGCTTTTATCTGCATGTCCACTCTTCCACGCCATGACTCTTGCAAGTGAGGGATTTTTTTTTCATGTGAAATGATGCGGGTTGTTGCTGATCGAAAGGATTCTAACTAGTTTCGTCCGTTGCCTTGATGGTGTAATGTTAACACGACAAGTCGCAGTCTTGGCTCTCGCACGACCGGTTATTATATTCTAGACTGGAACGGCAAATCCCGTGTTGGGTCTCGACTACGATCTAAGATCTACATAGATTTCCGGAATAATGTCCGACTCGACAGGAGGTGTAGAAGGTACGAGTCAGAAAAAGAACCCGATTGGAACTTTATGATCATCATTATCATTCCTTTTTCTTCTTTATCCTTATCTCCCGTAGCCAAAAAAAGCGCCTCGTTCGCCGATTAAGTATTTTCCCCTTCGAGTCCAAAGACCCACCCTTCCCACGTGGGCCGCGCATTCGTAAAGTTTACTCGGAAAAGATACAATCCGATCCCCTTTTTCACTTTTTGCTTTTCCCTAACCACCCAACCACCAGATACATAGACTTTCACCATACACCTCTAGCTAGGTACCATGTTTTTTTGTCATTCCCGGATCTTGTTATTCCCACAGACTTGGCCAGCCACGTGGCAAAATCTAAGGGTCCAAAGGGTCCAAAAAGTCCAAAGATTAAGCTTATCTAACCCTACAAAAATAAAAATGCGAATAAGAATGCGAAGAAAGAAGAAAAAAAGCACAGTCCAGCGACGAAGAACGAGCTGCTTACCGCTACTTTGACCTTACAACCATATGCGGGGCATCCATGCGCGGGAGATGCCGAAAGAGAGAGAGATGTGTGGAAAGACCGAATGCGAAGCAGAATGCGACTAACCTAATTTTTTTTGCTTTGGGGGTGTTGTAGTTACCCAAATGCGAAATGTGGAGCGCCCCCAAGCGTTTCCTTGGGGGCACTTCACAACAGCTCCCAAGAAACGAGTTGTGAGACAAAACTCCTCCTCATGTAGCATGCATATGTTGCTTTAGTGTGAAAATCATAGAGTTAGGTAGAGTTAAGGTACAATGACGCCAACTCGGTAGCTCAGGAATCGATGGTACGCTTTGGGGGTAGTAGGAGTTAACATTTACCTCATCTGGTAATCCTAAATTTACTTGATGCAGTATTTGGGCCCGACTAAAGAGGGTACGACGTTACATTCCAACGCAATCGGTCTGTCAGACTAGGCGGTACACTAATGATGCGAATACGAGGACTAGAATCGATGGGTGAATGTTAGGATGGGGAAAAGATACCGCATGAGGAAAGTGTGGCTGATGAGAGATTGCGGGAGAGGGAGACGGGTGTGGCGGGAGAGGGAGACGGGTGTGGCGGGAGGGCGGATCTAGTGTGGGATGGAGGGTGGAGATGAAGGAGTACCTGGTGAGGCAAATGGAGGTGTGTATGGGTGAGCTAGTGGGCGTGTGGGAATGAGAATGCGAGACAGTGATCGATGGATATACGTAGGGGAGATGAAGGACTGCCCTTTGCGGCAAGTTTTCTCGTAGACGACACCAACGAAAGCGAATGAACGTGCTGAGGTGGAGGGGATATACGACAAGGCTAGTGGCTGTCTGGAAAGAGAATGCGAGACAGTATTCGACGGAAATGTGTAGGGAGCTGAAAGACTGCCTTTTGCGGCAGTTTCCTTCGTGTACATCTGTTGGAAGGCGAAATGCACGTGCTAACGTGGAGAGATAGACGCACGTGGATTAGAGAGATACAAGCACCGGCCAGTGGCTGTGCGTAAAAGAGAAAGCGAAGCAGTAATCGATGGAATATAGGTAGTAAGATGAAGGACTACCGTATGCGGTAGTCATCGCATGTGTGTTGATCCGAAAGTTAATTAGAGTTTTGGACTGTAGGGATACGCACGTGGATTAGAAAGATACAAGCACCAGCTAGTGGCCGTTGCGTAAAAGAGAATGCGAGTACAGTAATCAAGGGGAGAACGTGTGAGAATGCAAAAACTGCTGCATGTGGCAGTTATGACGTGTAAGACAACGGTATCAAAAGCGAAATGGACGTGCTGAATTGTAGAGACATACGCACGTGTATTAGAAACGTTTGAGCACAAACTAGCGGGTATTCGTGAAAGAGAATGCGAGTGCAGTAATCAACAGTAAATACGTAGGACGATAATACACTACCGCATACGGTAGTCATCTCGAATGCAATGATACAAAAGCGAGCTGGGCTTTCTAGACTGTAGGGATACCCCACGTGGGATTAGAGGGATACACGTACGCCCAGACTAGTGGCTTTCCGTGAAAGAGAACCCGAGTACAGTGTTCCACGACAAAAGACATGGACTACCATTTGTGGCAGTCATCTCGCATATGCACGAACTAGGATCTATGCGTGAAAGAGAATGCGAGGGCAGTATTCAACGGAAAGTGCGTAGTACGACAAAGACCTACTGTATGTAGTAACTATCGTGCGTAGAGACACCAGGATACGAGGTCCAGGGATGCGAATGCGAGCGCAGTGATCGATGGATATTTGTTGTGTGCCTATGTGCTAACTGTATGGAGTAAACGGGATAGTTGATAGTGATATTCATTACTCAAAGATACAGGTTTGAATACGAAGAAAAGATAGGTGTACTTTGATCCATGGTAATACCATTTCCTTGTTGAGATTTAATCGCATTGCGTCCAGAAAATCTCCATTGTGATAAATGACACACTTTAAAATTTCAGAGGAAACACTCCCGACAATTTTTTCTATTGATTTAAAATGTGTGGTCATATATTTTACCTAATCCGAATATTATAACGTTATGTTGTATAGGTAGACAACCGTACAAAAAGATGTCTATACAAAAGGTTAGGCAAGAAGTCGGAGAAAAAAAAAGAGTCAAGGATAGACCCTGCAACAGCATTGTAGACCAAGAAAGGGACCCCTCGCAGACGTGCCACGTCAGGAAGCTGACGACGATGCAGAAGCGAATGCGAAACAGAATGCGGCCACACGTTGCAGAATAAAATATGTGAAAATCACTCCATTAAAATACATTGGATAGGATACTCGCCTTGCAAACGGTTTCTATCCTTTGAATTTCAACTGAAACGTTTTTGATCGCTGTAGGTAAATTAGGTTGCTAGCCTATGTGCTGGTGGCGGCGTCGCACAACCTAAAGACATTAGTAGTCCACAAAGTATCACAACAAATCTCATTTCTCGAAAGGGTATCCTTGACTTTCAGTCGGCAGGCAAAACAATGTTCATTTTCACAATACGTATAATCTAGCAATTTGGTCTAACTGCAGGCTCCCAGTAATAATCATCCAGACATTCCTCACACCCGCACGTCTCATAACCGTACGTCATTATCCTACTGAACTTGCCACTGCGGGAAAAGCAATGCTTGCACAGCGAGTTACGCGCCCATTCATCACCATGTGTGGATTTAAAAATAGAGATGTCTTGCATCCATTCATCGCCCTTGTCATCCTTGTACATGGACACGCTCATATCAAAGAGGTGCAGGGTCCTTGCGAAGCTTGGAGTTTCTGGCGGCTCCGGGGTTGTAGTAGTGCATTGCCATGTTGAGAGCTTCACAGGCGTTGTCGGCTGTGGTATCATGCTAGGTTCTGGACTTAGAGTGGCGATGCTGGACTTGATATTCGAGTCATTCGGGAGGCGCTCAATGGGCGTGTTGATCACCGCACCAGCCAATGACCTTTCCGTAAATTTTAGTCCGGGCACTGAAAGTCTGTATTTATCGGGAGAGCTATTGGGAGTCGTGGTGAGATGTGGAGCGATGTTTGAAGTAGTCGCCGAATTTCGTGTTTGCGGCGATGTCAAGGGACGCATCTTTTTCAAGAGCAGTTCGTCTTCTGTACCATCAAGACTGCGTCCTCTCTTGCGGGCTGCGGTTGTGTTAACATGAAATTGTCATCATAATATTTCCTCCACGTATGAAGAAACTGATGTGAGACCTAGCCGCCCCTCGCTCATCCTGAAGTTATCTTGCCTGTTGGATTCAGGCAGGACAGGTTAAGTACATACAAGCCTTACTTCTACCCTCAAAATGAGACAATGCTGTCGCTGCGTTGGTGGAGGACGCAGTCAATGCAGAAGTTGGAGCTTCGCTAGAGGATGTATTTGACGACTGGTCAGATCCGCAGGACATCAGTGGCGAACTTGATTGGGTAGGTTCATCGGGTACTGTTGGCAGTGGGATCTTTAACTTCTGTAGATTGAGTCGCTGCTGTGATGAGGGTAGGACATCCGCGCTCAAGACATACTCGTCACTGGAAATTGTGTTTTGCTTGACTTTCGGAATGCCACAAGTCTCGTTATGACAGTGGCTCACCGTGTAGTAATCTCCACATGAGGCCATAGTCGATTGGCTTGACGGGAGACTTGCATGCTGAGGCAAGCTCGAACTTGGCGGTATGCCTTCGGCCTTGGTTATGTTCCACTTCCTCGAACGTGTTTCGTCGGCTGCTCGAAGTTTCTCGCGGGCGTCTCGAGCAGCGAACGCACCGCCAACCCAGATCGAAGGCACACGCTTCTCTGCATCTCCAGTGGTGCCCGCTCTATTCACGTCAGACTCCCTAGGTAATAAGAAATCTCGGAGAGAATGGGACGCTGCTCAGTTATCGTACCCTGGACTGCGTTGTAAAGTCTTGTTATTGCCCGAAGCTACTGGAGTACTAACGCCACTAATCTCGTTGAGCAGCTGCTTCAGAAAGGACGGAGAAGGTACAAGGTTGCTAGAAAGTTCCGATTTAGGCTGACGAGGGGTAGTCATGTTGGGTTAGAATGCTCATGAGTAGAAGGCTAAGCAATGCAACACGATGTAGTTGAGATATGGGTGAGGAAGATTAGGTGAGGGTGGCATGAGGGAAAGGCTTGATGCTATTAGAACGTTATTTGGAGGAAGGTGTCGGCGTGGCGTGGAGAAAGAGGCAGGGAGAATTCACTTTCGGCAGTGGTCACGTCAAAAATAAGACTTTCATGTGACTCGGACAGGAACAGCACGCAAAACAGGTCATGACGTGTGAGATTAGCTACGAGATGCCACATAGCTCTCACTGTATGGTATACTACAAGCCTCATTCTATCATGCAGAGGCCTATTCGTTGCGCCTGTTCATGTCGTGCATTGCTCGTGTTCTTCATGACTCGGACATTTCAGTGTCCTCGGCCTTAGCCAGGCCATGCTCCTTGAGGAGAGCATCGATCTCATCCGCTCCCCAGAGGTGGTGGTAGATCTTTCCGGTCTTGGTCTTTCCTACTGTCGCGAATTCAACTATGGGCTGTTAGCATTGTCTTGTCGGGAAGTGGAATTGCAGACACACTCTTCTCGCTGCTTAGCTTAGTCGAGTCCATTGTCTTGCTCAACACTTTGACGGCAAGCCCACATGCCTCCTTCAGACTGCATTCTTCCTTGTAGTCCTGCTTCAACAGACTCTGCGCAGAAGCATTGTTCGCACCAACGCTCGTTGCCTTCCAGCCGCCGTAGTTGCCACTGGGGTTGCTCTGATACAACTGGAACTGTCGCTGCGGGTCCCAACCAGCGTAGATGAAGGATACACCGAATGGTCGGAGACCACCGTGTTGCGTGTAACCTTGCTTGAGATCGCATAGGCGGCGGACGAGCTGCTCGCAGGGAATGTCTTCGTTGTAGGTGAGAAGATAGCGTTGGGCGGCTTGACGGGCGTAGTTGATGAGGATGTTAGCGTCGGCCGTCATTCCTGCAACAGCACAAATCATGTTGCTACAGAATTGTTAGTATGGTTGCCTAGGATATTTGCTCTCAATTACGCACTCGTTCAGGATGTATAGCTTCTCGGCTGATGTGTCCTGCTCCAACAACTTGCTGGTGACCTTTCGCTCTGCGGCCAGCACAATGCCATCCTGAGCCAAGATGCCTAATGCTGTTCCGGCGTGCGAGATGGCTTCAAGCGCGTATTCGACCTGGTAAAGGCGGCCCTCTGGGGAGAAGATGGTCGTCTATATACACCGTCAGTTGCCATATTGCCGCCTAGAATATCACAATGCGTACTCGGGAATCGTATCTCCGCGACATGATTGCACTCTACACGGATAGTCTGGAGTGTTGAGGTTGTTGTCGCCGACAAGACAAGGGAAGATGGTGGGGAAGTCGGCGTGGGCTGGTTGGTGCTGGTGCTTGTACTCTAAGAGCTCCAGGCACAAGCTCCTACGCAGCGCGTCGGCGATTCCGCTGTGCTTGGCGCCGACCACATTTTGGATCCAACAGCCGCAACACCAATCCTTGACCATTTCTGCTACATGAGAAGACTCTGGATATTCCCAGGCTCTTCTGACTAGTAACCGCTTCAATATGTCTGACATTCCCGTGCGACCGCCTGCACCGCCGCGACCGCTTCCTCCAGGCTGGACAGAACACAAGGCACCGTCTGGTAGCTAGACCTCTACCTGCGTCATATGCCTCCACTAACCCATCTCAGGACATTCTTACTATTACAACAAGGAAACTAAGAAGTCGACATATACGCGACCCGTAGCGGAGGCACAATCATTCTACCAACCAACGCCCTCCGTTGCACCTGCTGCGCCCACTCCCTATGCCGCGGCGCAAAAGTACGATACTGGATACGACGCGCAGTCGACGCAACCAACCAGCCAGCCCCAATCATCGCTTAACGATTTCATATTCGCGAGCGCGCCGAAACAGTTTCCCCGGCATGGCGGAGCGCAACAGTCAAGAGGCGGACATCACGGCGGAATGCGTGGTGGACACAACAACTTCAACGACCGACGAAGAGAACGTGACGACCGGCCCAAGCATCGCCAGGATATTCCCAATTGCGCACCATGGGTACTGGTAAGGACCAAGTTTGGACGGCGGTTTGTGTGGAACAAGGAGACGAATGAGAGCTTTTGGAAGTTCCCACCCAATGTCATGTCTGCCGTGATTGAGTTTGATCGCAAGGAGCGCGAGCGCAAGGAACGCCAGGAGCGGGGCGAGCCGAGCGACGTTGAGGATGAGCAAGATGCTGCCATGGCAGAAATTGAAGCGGAACTAGCAGCTGCTGAAGAGGAGGTTGAGATTGTGGAAGTAGATGGTGATGAGGATATGGAGAACGATGAGGAGTATGAAGAAGTTGAGGTTACAGATGACGAGGGTGATTCAGGGAATGCATCAAAGCGACAGCGTACTGAAGAGCCAGCGGGAGACGAACCACCTGAAATGGGCGAAGACGATCTCGCCTGGCAACTAGCGCAAATGGAGGAAATGGAGATGGATCAGGGCTACGACGATCAGTACGATGACGAGGAGCCTGCCTTATCTGAAGAAGACTGTAAAACACTGTTCAGAGAGTTGTTGGACGATACAGGCATAAGTCCTTTTGCTCCCTGGGACAAGGTCCTCGAGGATGGTGCACTCTACGACGACGAGCGCTACAAGGCTCTACCAAACATGGCTGCGCGCAAGGAGTGCTTCAACGAGTGGTCTCGAGACAAGGCGCAGATCCTCAAGGAAGAAAAGGCCAAGCAAGCCAAACGCGACCCTCGAATACCATACCTAGCTCTCCTCGACCGCCACGCAACCCCAAAACTCTACTGGCCTGAATTCCGCAGAAAATTCAAAAAAGAGCCCGAGATCAAAGACGCCAAACTACCCGACAAAGAAAAGGAGAAACTCTACCGCGACCACATCAAGCGCTTGGCCATGAGATCCTCAGATCTCAAAGCTGATCTCACAGCACTACTCCGCGCACAGCCTCTTGCCTTATTGAACAAATCAACAACACTCGACTCCCTACCCTCCCCCGTCCTCAGTGACCTCCGCTTCATCTCCCTCCCCCCAGCAACACGCGAGCCCTTGATCAAAACCTACATTTCCACCTTACCCCCCGCGCCCGAGGGCGCAACCTACTCCGCCGAAGAAGAAGCTTCGCGCACCAAGAAGATTGCCGAGCGCGAACGAAGAGAAAAAGCGCTTGCAGATCGGGAGCGTAGAGTCAGAGAGGAGAAGAGGAGACAGGAGCGCGATTTGGCGTATGGAAAGGGGAGGCTGAGGGAGGAGGAAGAGGAGATTCGGCGGGCGTTGGAAGTCGGGAAGGGGGGGTTGAAGAAGAGGTTAGATGAGGAGGAGGGGGAGTAAGCTGGAGGTTGAGGTGTATATACCCATTGCGATTTAGTAATGTACAGCAAGAAACTGTTCGTTTGGATAATGATGCTGGTCTTGCACGTGTGGTTAAACAAAGTAAATGCCTGTATCTGTACTATTACTACCATCTCCAACATATTCCACGCAAACATTCTAGTTACTTACTATCTCTACTCTATCCTTTTTTTCCCTCTCTTTTCCTTCTCCACGCTCTAGAACTCCCATGTCCCATGCAGTCCGTTCACCCTTCCCTTTCGCTTCCAAGAAAAGCAAAGCGAAAAAAAATCCAACGGTCGGTCGGTCGGTCGGTCCCTGCAGCCGTTTTAACCACTCCAACGGTTCCGCACGCGATGATATCACGTGGTTGTGCACCACCACCACCACCACCGCCTACACACACGTCTACAATTTACCATCTAGGTCGCCATGGTATATGTAGGTAGCTCGACGAATCCCCGCTACTCTGCACTCCAATACCAAGTACGTACTTAGACTACTCATCGATTACGCAAGATAACATGGATATTTAGTAACGCAATCGGCCCGTGGCTTCGGACTTACTCGCTCACCTACCTACTTTCGTTGCAATTGAATAGCGGCAAGTACGTGCCGCATCCGACTATCTGGATAGATACGACAGGTGCATAGATAAATAACACTATTCGTATTCGCACGGTTTCCCCCTCCTTATACTCTTTCTCTCTCTATTCCCTATCCAATAAGGTTTTACCCGCGCAGTATACAGTGGAAGAGTGTTTTCCCGAGTTATAAGTAAGGGAGTAGGTTTTTCCGGGATGCCAGGACGATGAGGGGGGGGGGGGGCGGATATGCAAACGTTGGGTATAGGCGGTGGGATTGGGGGGCGTGTGTGTTAGGACGGAAAAGGGTTAGTTGGAGTGGACTGCGATTCAGAAGACCGAGGTTCCTTTAGTCTCCTTTTCTGCACCGCGACAAAACGAAGAAAAGTACGGCGGGTGGAGGGCATTTTTGTTTTTGCGGCGTAGTATGCTAATATATACAATGATATCTAAAGACATATGTATTATGGGAAGGAGGGATGTAGAGAGTAGATGATGATGTGGATGAAGATATGGAAGAGACGGACATATCGCAACTTTTCCGTACGATCGCATGACGCACCCCGGCCGTTTTCGGCGCGAAGCTAGAGCGAAAGGAAGGGTAGGAATTGTCGAAAAGTGGGTTTGCTGGCTAGTAGCAAGTAGCAGGGGTGGTAGGGAGGACGGGGGTGGAGAACGTCATTTCTCGGCGGTACGCCAGTCGAGACTGTTGTGTGTGGGTGTGGGTTTCGTGTGCGGAAATCGGGCGCGCGGGACGAAGGGGGGGGGTGCGGTTAGGATGAGTCGGGGATGGTGGGTGTTTCTCCACTTCTGCTGTTTCTTCTCTTTCTTTCTTTGTATTTGTCTTGTTTGCGACGATTGAGGTATCGACGCGAAGGATTCTGGGTAAAGGGGCGACAAACCGATTGAAGCGAGTTATATCCGGGGACACGGGAACACACGTCGTTTCTCCCCAATTTTCGAAGGAAAAAATTCAACAAGTGGCGATTCTAGTGGCTTTTGTCAGATAATAGCCCTTTTGGAGCGCGAAGGAAAAGAGAAAAGAATATTGAAGCGATTGAAACTGGGAACTGTGGAAAAAAAAGATGGATCTAGTCAGGCACCCGACCGCCAATTCCGCACACCAAGGCCATGAAGACCGCAGTTCGAGCTCCTTTGAAAAAAGAGATGGATACGCTGGCGAGGCAAGTGAAAGCATGGAGGAAATAGAGAAAGAAGATCAGGAAATAGTGGATAGAGCCCGCGCGCAGAGCAGACGGTCCCAAGATGGCCGCAGCTTAAAAACGATTCAATCGCATCACTCGCGAGCCGGCGGTGACGGCTACACGTGTTTCGACCCCGAAGCAATAAGTGCGTCAGGACCTCCGGTAAAAGCGACAACGACAGGAGCAAAACCCGGTGCTGTGACCGAGCAACCGTATCTAGTGTCGTGGGACGGCGATGCTGATCCAGAGAATCCGCGTAGCATGGGGAAACTGCGGCGCTGGGCAATCGTGGTTATATGTTCTGCGAGTTCGCTTTGCGTGTAAGCCTTTTTTCTTTGAAATCGAAAAAGATGTGTCTCTGTGGATACATGAGAGACATTTCTACCAAAGTATTTTGCGAATGAAGAAGCTGATGAAATATGTTTTTTTTGAATAGGACATGCACTTCATCGCTCTACACATCGACGTACAGGCAACTAAAACCAGAATTTGGAGCTTCGCGCTTGGTATCTACGCTTGGGCTATCCTTGTTTGTTGCGGGGCTGGGTACTGGGCCGATGATTTTAAGTCCCCTTTCTGAGGTGCGTTTCTGCCTCCGTTTGCAAGAGTGACTTCATTGCGGATGGTGACTAACGCGAGGATACAGTTCTTTGGGAGAAGGCCCATTTACATCTGCTCCTTCTCCTTCTTCCTCATCTGGATGATTCCGTGTGCGGTGGCCCAAAACATGCAGACGATGCTCGTAGCCCGGTTCTTGGATGGACTTGCTGGCTCAGCGTTTCTCAGTGTGGCCGGAGGAACAGTGGGGGACATGTTTGCGAAACACGTTAGTTTGCCCCATTTTTTTTGCACCTTTTACTCAAATCTGGTCCAATTTTGGCGTTGTTTTCTGACGCGCGTGAGCGATACACAGGAACTATCGGCACCGATGATGCTATACACTGCCAGCCCATTTGTGGGTCCGGAAATAGGACCTCTGATTGGGGGTTTCATTGTTGAGAATACTACTTGGAGATGGTAAGTTGCTTATTGATTTGGGCCCACAAAAGCCTTTCCCCCACTCTTTGTGACACAGTGCCTGCCTTGCACATTGGCATGAGAGGTTGGGTTGTACTGCCGATATGATGCTGTTCCTAGCAACTTGGCCCTCGTATTCATGACGACGTACCTTTTATTTTGTATTGGGACTTGCCACGTAGCAAGGAGCGGTGTGTTAACTAAAGGGAAAATAGGTGTTTCTACTTACTCATCATTTGGTCGGGACTCCAGGTAAGATTTGCCCATTGTCACATTCGTATGCACAGAGACAGGCTAATGCTGGTCTTTATTAGCTTTGCCTCATTATTCTATTCGTACCTGAGACGTATCATCCCGTTCTTCTCCGCCGCAAGGCCATACGACTACGTAAGGAGACTGGCAATCAGGAATGGATAGCGCCAATCGAGAAGATGGACCGATCCATTGCCAAAACAGTCATGTGGTCGTGCATCAGGCCGTTTCAACTTTTGTTTTTTGAGCCCATGGTACGTGTTCTTGATCATTCGACAGGCGGGTGATTGGTAGAACTGACTTTGTGGACTCGACAGTGCCTGAACCTGTGTATCCTGTCGGCTATTCTGCTGGGTATCCTGTACCTGTTTTTTGGCGCCTTTCCGCTCGTATTCGGGAACAATCACGGCTTCAGCCTCTCACAGACTGGGATTGCGTTTTTAGGCTTGCTAGTAGGCATGGTGGCTGGTGTTTCGTCTGACCCCATCTGGAGGAGGGTATACGGTAGACTTGTGCGACAGCGTGAGGAGCAAGGGGGGCAGCCCGGCGGCTCCGAACCGGAGTTTCGGCTCCCGTCGACGATTGTAGGCGCCTGGGTGGTTCCTATTGCACTGTTTGGTAGGCTTCCCGTGACTGTTCGGCATTGTCGACTAGGCTTCTAACCGTGCTTATGCAGGGTTTGGGTGGACGACGTACTCATCGGTAAGTCCGTTATTTTGCCGCAGATGTGAAAGCGCTTAGGGCTAACGTGCTGGTCTCCGCAGGTTCACTGGATAGGTACGGCAGCAAATCGGCATGTGCTTTTGAGATGCAATACTGATTGACCATGACACTGCAGTTCCAATAATGTTTTCGGGAATATTCGGTCTTGGGTATGTTTGTTCCTTTCTTTTTGATCTATCTTCGAGTGGTACCCATGTCCCTGTCGTCAAGGAAGAAAACAAAGGAGATTTGCTAATGAGATGGTGTGACGTAGGGTTATTTGGGTTTACTCCGGGGTGTTTACGTTTTTGGTTGAAGCAGTGAGTTGTCTAGGCAGGCACCGACATCGGGCCTGGGTGGTGGGTTACAGAGTGTTGACGTCGGCGAACAGTACCCTGTATATGCTGCATCTGCTCTTGCTGCCAACAGCTTTGCGCGGTCGTACTTTGCTGCAGCCTTCCCGTAAGCCAGGCCAACCGTTGTGGGCAGATCAGATGACTAACTTGTGGCATAGGCTATTTGGTGTTCAGATGTACAACAGTAAGTGGAAGAGAGGGAGCACCATTTGCAAAAGAGCGGTCACTAATGTGGTCAAGATCTCGGCTACCAGTGGGCAACGACTGTGCTCGCGTTCCTGGCTCTAGCAATGGCACCGTAAGGAAGCAGTACCCGGCGCAATGGTCATGGGAAGCACTAATGTATATGACGCAGGTTTCCTATCTTGTTTTTTCGATACGGTAAGCGTCTTCGCGAGGGCAGTCGATATGCATCAGGATAGCAGTAAGTGGGTGGGTATGAATGTTTATGCGAGGGCATGTGGCAGCCATGAGTGGGAGAGCAAAACCAAGAATAGAGACGAGTGACACAGCATTTGCAGGCCATGATATTTTGTTTTGATTGAGTCCGGGATACTGCGCCGCCCATGCGTGAGACGACATGAAGCACTCTGGCTGGGCCTTTGTACGACGAAACATGGAGCGCCACGAGGGCGGCCACGCCAGCTCGAGGGACAGAGGCGACGGGAGCGACACAAGCGATGGGCGGTGGCTGCGGATAGAAGCGCCACCGGGGGTAGTGTGGATGGTAAGCGGCGAGCGGGATCGTGGTGGTGGTAATGGTTGTGATGATGATGAGCAGTATGTTGATGATGGTCATCGGTGGTACCAGGGTGGGTGGAGCGAGTAATGGCTGGCGCTAAGACGCCGCAAAAGGCTATGGGCCCCCACCGCATGCACGCCCTGTAGCCGAGTGCGCGAGACTTGGGAACCGGGCGGCTGGCCGCTTATTGGGCATGGGGGCTGTGCGGCATGACCTGTCGCTGTGGGAATTGGATGGGGGGACTGGGTGGACAAACAGGGCAAGATTTTCCCGCAGACAGCAACGAGGGAAAGTGAGGCTATGGATGGATGGCTATCTGAAGTCGATGGAAGGGATGAAGACAGGCTATGGGTAGGGCATGGTAGTTTGCAGAGTACTCAGTATGGCAGAAGCATGCATGCGCATTAGCAGCAAGCGGTAGTCGAGTGGTAGTCGATGGCCGGCAATGCGAGGGCTCCATCTACCCGTGACGTCTGCGAGGCATGTCGCTGGGCCGGCTAGTGCGAGGCCAAGCACGCGGCTTACCGGCCGACAGGGACCGAGGCAAGTGCGAATCTCTGTGTGTGCGTGGGCTCTTGCGCCTTCCAGCAAACCTCGACAGCCAATTGCGGGGAAGCGCATTTACGCGCATCTCCAGCACTCCTACCAGAGACGACTCCAACATACCACCGCACACGACACCCCCCCGCCCACCACACCGCGCCCTCCCCGCGGCCCATACGGCTCGCCTTCCCTCCTACAGTCCTGATCTCAGCCCTACAAGTGCCTTGTTGCCAGCAAGAGAAAAAAAACCAGTCGCTGCTCGCAACCACGCAGCCAGCCAGCCAGCCAGCTCCACCTGTAAGCTGGGTCCGACCATCGCTCTTGCTTGCCCGCGTGCTCGTTCGCTCCTGCCTCCTGCCTCCTGCGCCGACCGTCACTTCCCTCGCCCCGTACCACAACATCGCTCTACCGTGTCGCGCCTTCCCTGCTCGTCACTCGAAGCGAGGACGCCTCAGCGCCACTGCCACCTGGCTGCCCTCGCCTCTTGCCCGCCCTCCTCTTGCTCGTACCCCGGCGCATCTCGTAGAACCGCACTCTTGTCGTCCCGTCCCAGCAGCATGGGCAGCGCGTCTCGGTAGCATCTTGCTATCAAACATGATTCTGTGTCCGACTGGAATGCTCCCTCGATTACGTCCATCCCGGCTTCGTACCACGCCCGCACTGTTCCATACCTGTCCCCCGGATTGACCATTGCCTCTGTCTATTGGGCTCCCCTGCATTTGCTCATCATTGGAGCCCCTACAGTGTCACAGCAGCGCCTATCCACCCTGTCCAGCCCACGCGTGATCGCTCTCTCAAACACGCAGCTGGAACGCCTCGTCCTGTGCGCCCCTAAAAACATTGGCTGACCCGTTTTGCTGGGAACATCCTAAGAAGACTAACCCACGGCTGCACGCAGTCTACGACAGCAGTCTGTGCTTGGCCCCCCACCACCATCTGCTGTGCTGAGCAGAGGGGGGAATATTATGACTGCCTCAGACGTCGAAGATGCCTCTCCCTCGCCCGAGTACCGGAGCGATTTGGACGACGACATGGCTGCTGAACAGAATGCTGACCGCCAGTTTGGCGGCACCTCGCCTGCCCAGAAGCCGGCAAACAACAAGTCCAATGCCAAAGATCCGTTGAGACCCCGGCGCAAGAAGGCGCGGAGGGCGTGTTTTGCCTGTCAGCGAGCACATCTCACATGCGGCAAGTACTACTCACCTTGCCTCTCAACACAGTCTTTCTAACAACACCAACAGGTGACGAGAGACCCTGTAATCGCTGCATCAAGCGAGGCCTCCAAGATCACTGCATGGACGGTGTCCGCAAAAAGGCAAAGTATCTCCACGATGCACCAGACGGTGCTCTCATGCCTGGAGTAGGCGGCCATTACCCATACATGAATGGAAATCGCCCTACTCCAATTCCTACCCAGGACACCCACACGGTCGCCGTCTCACCCCCAGCCAACATGTACCCTCAGGGTCAACAAGGCGCTTTCTATCCACCCAATTCAATACCACCCCAACTACCCGTGACGCAAGACGCACGAGGCTTCAGTAACCAGCAGTCGCCAATATCTCCCTCTTTTAACCAGGCCACGACACAGAGTGACCCGAGCACAATACCTCAGGCTCAACCAGACCAGCTGCAGCAGTTTGGACCTTTGTTCGATCCAAGCGATCCAGCCCTTTTCAACTTTGACATTTCAAGCCTCAACTTTGGAAACCACTATGGCGCGCTAGAGTTTGGCATGCTCGGCCACATGTCGTCAGGCGCTGTAGAAACCCCGCATGACAATGGCATAATGAACGCCATCAATGGTCCTGTCAACATGTACAACCAACCGTTGTCCTCCGGTTACGGAGATCGAAATAATTCTGGCGTAATGCCATTCGGCCCGAATGGCCTACCGTCGGGCGAATGGCAGGAATCGCATTCGCGACAGGGTAGCATGCACGCTCAGACAAACGCTTCCATTGGTTCGAATCATGACCATAGTCATCGAAGCGATAGCCTCAATGGACCCCACGCATTCGCCATTGGACAAGGACCAGGCACTCACTCATCAGCAAGCCCGGCGTCCACGGATGCATCTACCTTTGAAGGCGACAATCCACTGGCGGCTGCAGCCTTCTTTGCTCATCCTCATCGGCCGCATGCACAACGTTCGCCTTTGGTAAACCGATCGCAACAAGAAAACAAGCATCCAAATTCTGCACTACATTCATTACATGCCAATGGCATCCGCAAACGCCAGCGAGATACCAAGAGCATCTACCAGGGCATCACCAAGCCCTATGACTATGTCAAGGGCTATCATAGGCTCTACCAGTTGATTGACAAGAAGTACTCTCGGCCATGGGTTGCCAAAGCCCAGCAATACTTGCAGAATTATCGGCCGGTGCTACTGCAAGTCCGTGAAGAGCTGAACAGAGATGATTTGATTCACCAAGAAATGGGTCTTCAGCGCCATCTCATGACACTCCAAGAACACTTTGCAGAAGTTGGCACACCGTTTTTGATTTGCCGACGCTCTGGAGAGATTGTCGGCATCAACAAGGAATTCACCATACTCACTGGCTGGAAACGCGAAGTTCTCCTTGGCCAAGAACCAAACCTTAACGTCAACACTGGCATCAACCGCGACTCGAACGAAAGCGACACGTCGACCCAAAACACGACACCAAACCTTGCAGCCCAAGACAGCGAGACGGCCACACCCAGCGTCAACATCATCGAGCTCATGGACGCACGATCAGCCCTCGAGTTTCTGCAGCACTTTTCCGAGCTCTGCTACCAGGACCCTCGTGGCTATGCCTCTCAGCGTGTCAACATGCTGCGGTACCAGACCAAGGCAGATGTAGACCGCCTGCAAGAAATGAAGAGTGCGAATGCAGGTGGTGACGCCAAACATGATCCACTGGTCAAAATGGAAGGCGGCGCCGTGCATCAGGGCGAGAGTGCCATGCAGCGACTTGGAGCCAAGAACGGCATGGTGGATTGCATGATTTGGTGGCATATCAAGCGCGATATTTTTGATATGCCTGTGCTTGTTTGTATGAGTGTAAGTTTTCTCTCTCCGTCTAGGGCTATGATGAATGATGAGATGCTAATGCTGGGTTGTAGGTTATGCCTGTGCTAGATAAAGGTCTGCAATGAATCGGGACAGAAGGTTTGATGATTTCTTTTTTCTTTCTTATTCGTCTTCCTATTTCGTGTTGACGGTCGAGGCGGCTGTAACAAAAGTGGTTTCATGTTCTTGTCTTTTTTCTTCTTCTTCTTCTTCTTCTTCTTCTTCTACTACTTCTTCTTTCATTGTGGCTTTTGCATTCACAACCCACACACATACAAGGGGGAGAGGGACATGATGGTCTTTGTTCGAGGATCGCTCTTCGAAAAAGACAAATTTAGTCTAATAGTTCCCATCACTTTATAGGAACGGGCGTCTTTTGAGCATTTTCTTTTATCCAGCAACCATCTGCTGCGAGAGTTTTGAACCATTGTCGCCTTGGGGGCGCAATGTTTCTTCTATACGTTGAGATATCTTTTTTGCTACCGGGTAGGCCGTGTATGCATGGATTATTATCATGATCGAATTCGTGTTAGACTCGATACTTACTCTCGAGGGGGAGGGGGATATCGCCGTGCAAGTTAGTCTAAGACGTATGAAGGAAAAAACAACATGTCCTTGCTCCTATACTTCTCCCAAGTACCAAAAAAAGAGAAAATGCTCAGTGGTAGACGCCGCCCCATCAATTCATCATCTCACTCTTGACAATCCCATCACTCTGCCCCGCCTGCTCCACCCTCACATTCCCATTCCCCATAACCTCGCCACCCTCGCCCTTCCCCTTCAACCACTCATCCTCCTTCCACTCCAAATACTTCTCACGCTCCAAACTCCTCTTCGCCACCCTGATATCCTCCTTGATATCCTCCACCAGCGCCTCCAAACTCACATAATCATACTCGGGCCGTATAAACCCCAGAATAACCAGACTCAGCATCGCCCCATAGAAATCGCGCTCGAAGTTATGTAAAATGTGGATTTCGATGCTGCGCTTCGAGTTCTTGTAGTATGGATTGTATCCGATTGAGAGGACGGTGGGGTAGATTGTTTGGGGGGAGGGGGCGGGGTCGGTGGGGTAGTTTAGGTCGAGGACGGCGTGGTTGGAGGATGTGGAGGGGGGTGTGTCGGTAGAGGGAGGGGTTGTGGTTGTGTTGGTAGAGGGCGAAGAGGAAGAAGGGATGGTGGAGGGATCGAGCGTGCACCAGCCGTAGTAGATGCCTGAGTCGAGGTCCTCGTTGCCGCCGATTGAGAGGCCGGAGAGGGGGATGTTGGCGGTGGGGATGCCGAGCTGTGATTTGAGCTTTAGTCTTAATTTAGAGGTTGAGAGGGGGTGAGTGAGGTTACTTCTTTACTGCCGCGTCCAAAGCCTTTGATTACGGGGCCGCGTAGCTTTAGGGGGAATGGTGGTTGAGGTGTGTCGGGGCCGGCGATGGGGTCGCGGGGGCCGTCGGGACGTCCCATTGTGAATATCTGGGGGAGTTTTTTTTTAAAAAATAATAGAGAAGTGGATTGTAGGTGTCGTATAGGAAAAGGTGGTTCGTTCTGAGAATAGGTGGTGGTGGCTTGCTTAGCTTCCAGTACTTTCCGGTCGGGATGGCAAAGGGTCCGATCGGAATGCATGGTGGGGCACATGTGAAATGGTAAGCGTCATTGCTACTGCTTAGTCAATGCAAGGTACCGCGCATCGCTGCTACCCAGCTAAATGCGGCCATGCTTCCGCCAAAAGCATTCTGTTTGGTATGGAATTGTAACAGGATGATTGCAACATCTCCTCGTATCGCTGCCCTATCATTTGCATCTTGTTTGAAACCGTGTGCTCCATCTCGTACAATGGCTTCTGTATCGACAACCAACCGCATCTCCCGCTTATATGATGATAAATCAGCATTTATATACGGCACTGCCTGGAAGAAAGATCAAACAAAGAGGCTGGTAAAGGAGGCGCTGATTGTTGGGTTCCGGCGTGTCGACACAGCTGCACAGCCACGTCATTATCAAGAGGCCTTGGTCGGAGAAGCGATTCGCGAAGCATTTACCGAAGGCCTCTTGAAGCGAGAAGAGTTATACGTACGTATATTAAAATCCCGGCTTATCCCATACTAATACCATGTAGTTACAAACAAAATATACTACACCTGCGGGACAAGACCTAAACAACATGCCATATGACCCCAGCGCACCCTTGGACTCTCAAATCCACACTTCTGTCGCGTCATCGTTCAAGAACCTGCACCATGTATCTGAATCTCCAAACGACTCCTACCTCGACTGTTTGCTTCTGCACTCACCGCTACCAACGATCGAGCAGACAATTCAGGCCTGGAAGCTATTGGAGACATATATCCCCCATCGTATCCGCTCCCTTGGCATCTCAAATGTAACACTTGCTGCCCTCCAAGCCCTCTACCAAAACGCCACTATCAAGCCTGCAGTTGTACAAAATCGCTTTTACCCCCAGACGCGCTACGACGTACCTTTACGCAACTTTTGTAAAGAACACGACATCGTGTATCAGTCTTTCTGGACGCTGACTGGTAACCCCGCGCTTTTGCAGTCGCAACCTGTTGTGGTGCTGGCACGAGCGGCACAGGTTGAGATACCAATTGCACTTTATGCACTAGTGATTGATCAGGGTGTTGTGGTGTTGAATGGGACTACGTCGAGGGAGCATATGGAGATGGATTTGGAGGGGGTTCAGAAGGTTCGTGGATGGGCTGTGGAAAAGCCGCAGGAGTTTGCTGCTATTGCTGAGGATTTCAAGACCATAGTGGGGTGATTAGTAGCTGTGTCGGTGTGAGTGTTTGTCTGTGTTGGTTGCGCAGTGATGTTGCTCATGACTGAAAAGATACCCGCTTCTGTGTCGATTTCGTACCATCGATTTGGCATTGGCCGGTTCGCCAGGTATCGAGTATGTATTCTGTGCCGTGTCTCGTGTAACAAAAGTAACCTGGCGAGTTTGAAAGCACGATCGATGTTGTCTGACGTCCCAGCGGCATGGCCTACACACTAATTAGACATGGATAAGAACAAGCCTTTCACTCAAGGCTTCTGATAACCTGGCGGCTGTCATATGATGCTGAGATCCCAGTAATCACTGATCTCTTGGTATAGATCGCTGCAGGAAGCCATCAGTGCCCGGTCTCTCACTGTCGATTCTACCTGGGGCTAGGCACTCGATCACCCGCTAAAGACTGGACGCTTACCCGTTTGAGAGATCATAACGCAGTGAAAGCCACTGACCTCCATCTTTTATCTTTGGCGCTGAACTGGCCTAGTACCGAAATTCTCACACTGGCGACTCGGACCTCTTACTTCTCCGCTACAAATCGCCCACGCACAACCGACTATCGGAGCCTACAGCATCTCAGTGAGCACTGTTTGACGGATATCTGGGTATCTCACGTTCAGAAAGATATGGCCGCCAGCGCTGATCGTTCGTACTCGCCAGAGTACCTCGAGCGATTATCAAGTCCTGATTACCTTGCTGGCGATGAGTCCTCGTCGGATCCGCAGAGTGTTGTTGAACCGAATCGCCTTCCAGACGCTACTGCACTTCTGAGTGCCGACGAGGACCGAATGGATTCAGGTTCTTCAGTGCCCAGTCAGGAACGCAGCCCAGTCGGCAGTGATAGCAACGAGGAAAATCCGCCCTTGAAGCGGTTCAAAGAAGGCCCAGGCTCGTATTACGAATCCTCCGACAATTACATTCCACCTAACCGTCTGCCAACCAGCCTCATCGACAGCGATGGCAATGAGGAACCTACGTCCTCGAAGCAGTCGAAAAAAGGCCAAACCAACTACTACGAGTCATCTGACAACCACATCCCGCCCAACCGCCCACTCGCCAACTCCACCACAAACCCTCCCCCAAAGAAGCCTACTCAAAATAAGAAACCCAGCAAACTCGCTGCCCCCTCCAAACCCCCCAAGAAAAACGACCCCACAGCCAAAGCACCCCTAATCCACCAAATCCAGCACCACTGGGGCCCCAACTTTACCAAATCCTTCGTCCCCAAATGCCACCGTCCTCTCGTCAAATCCAGCACCTGCCCAACCAAACGCAAAAGACAACGCCCTTTACTCCGCAAACATGAGTCCAACCCTCACAACTGGAACCCATCTTCTCTAACCTCCATCCTGCGCATCGCGAAGCTCACCTCGGACAAGGAGTGGTTGCACAAAGCTATGCGGGACGTGGTGCGGTATCGCATCCGGCACACGGGGAATCGGAAGCCACAGCTGGGTAGGTCGGATTTCGATGTTATCGAGGATATGCTGGGGAAGGGGTGGGGGGTTGAGTATGCGTTTGGGGTTAGGTATAAACACTTGGCTAAGGAGGAAGAGAGGGAGGGGGAAGAAGAAGAAGAGGATGTGGAGTACCTTTTCGATGTTGGGCCGGAGAGTGGTAGCGATGAGGAGGCGGAATCTGATGAGACTGAGCTGCGAAGGCGCAGTAAGGAGGTTCGGCGGAAACGACGCGGTGATACTGGTAGTAGTGGTAAAGGGAAGAAGCGGCAGAGCGAGAGAGGTGATGAGGTATGTGCATCGTCTTCTTCTTCTTCCTCGCCTGAGGAGACGGTAAATCCGTATCAACATGCCTGGTGCAAATCGCGGTATGGCATGTTTCCGCCCCTGCCGCACGCATCTTCTTCCTCTGCGCATAGTACGCTGAGGGCTAAGAAACCTGAGCCGCAGGGGACGCGGAAAAGGACACAGCAAAGCACACAGCGGGGTAAGGATGTACGGCATAGTCCTGAGGACTCTCTGTTTGTACCGGAGGGGATGGAGAGGGATGAACATGGAGAATTTGAAGAGGAGGAAGAGGAAGAGGAGGAAGAGAGAGACTACGAGGCAGAAATCGCAGCAGCAGAGGCGGAACTAAAACTTGCGCGGTTAAGGGTTGCGGCTGCGAAAGCGAAGAAACTGAAGAGGAAAAAGTGATAGTTTCATTGATGCTGTTTTAGGTTAGTTGGTTTGCATTGTAGGGTTGGATATGGGAGTCATGTGGGCTAGGTTTAGTATACTGGAAACCAGGGGTTTTACTGTATTCATTCTTTTGATAACCAGTACTGGGGCAAACAGATTTGTTGGGGGTGGGCGGACTCTCTGCAAAATATGTACATGAGTACAGAAAAAAAAGGCATAGAAACTCCAAGTACAGCTGTACCCCTACTTCCAATCGAATGCAACAGAGAAGACAGCACACATACTTCATACCAAAAAAACCCCCCGTTCATTTTTTTGGGGGAATCTATCAAACCTATCTAATCCACACCCATCCCCCATCATCTACTTCTCTAATAAACCTCAAGCACATACCTCCCCTCATCCTTCAATTTCTCAATCTCCTTTCTACTATCAATCTTCTTCGCAGCGGGGTTCTTCACCTTGTGCTCCACCTCAAGCGCCTCTTGCAACACCTCGGTGACATCAGGAACGGGCCAGGTAGGACCGCAGAGGTAAAAGCTACCTTCCTTCTCCAGATAACTGCGTCGAATATCCTTGAGAGACTCGCGCATACGGTCTTGAATGTAAATCTTCTGGGGCTGATCACGCGAAAAGGCGCGGCCGATAAGGGTAATGATGCCAGCATCTTGGTAGGCCTCCCATTCCTCGCCGTAGAGGTACTCTTCGCGTTGGTGGCGCGAGCCCATGTAAAGCAGGACTTCGCCGATTTCGTGGCCTTGCTGCTTTTGGTAGGCACGCTCTTGGACGAAGGCGCGAAAGGGGGCGAGACCGGTACCTAGACCGGCCATGATGATGGGAGCCGTCGTCTTGGTGGGGAGCTTCATGACGGAAGGCTTGACAGAGACAGTGACGGGAGAGCCGACCTTGAGGCTGTTGAGGTAGCGAGTGGCTTGACCGAAGCGGTCGCGGCCCTTGGGGTCGGTCCAGTTTACCGTCACAATGAGCAAGGAGACGGAGTTGGGGGTCACGTGTTGCGCGGAAGCAATGGAGTACTCGCGGCGCTTCATGGGACTGACAATTCGGACAATCTCGTGGAAGCTGGGGTGAGCAGATGGGAACTCGAGCAGGATGTCAGCGTAGGTGATGGTGTCAACCTCAGCGCGGCGTTTGAACTCAGTAGCACCCTCTGGACTGATGATTTGAAGGAGTTCCCGTTTCTCAGCCTCGTCGCTAGCAAACTCGGCAAGTGCCTCGTAGAAGCGCTTTGGTGGGCGACCGAAGATGTCGACGTTCTGCAGAAGAGACTGGTAGACGGTGCGGTTGACTAACACGTTGGGATCCTCACGAGATGGCACTTCGACAATCTCGTTGGGGTTGAGGCCGTACCACTTGATGAACTCATCAACTTGCGCCTCGTCGTTCTCCGCGTGGATACCGAGAGCCTCACCGATGGCATAAGTGACGCCAGAGTCTCCAAGGTCGAATTCGATGTGGAAAATGTTACGATCGTAGTTCTGGGGGGTAAGGCGACGACGCTCCTTGACATGAACAATGCTTGTCTTGATACCAAGGTCAGGACGGACTTGGTTAGAAGTACCGTAGGCCTCCTTGAAAGTGAAGCCCTTGGCAGCGACTTGCCAGTCTTTGAGCAGAGTGGGAGGCTCAGGCTCAGTGCGCTCGAAAGGAGCAAAGCTGGTAACGTTGATGTCTGAGGGAAGACTGATGGGCTCAGCGTCCTCAGCAGTACCCCAGGTAGTAGGAACCTCCACCTCGCGGAGGGCATTCTCAAGCTGCGCAGCGAGCTTCTCGAAAAGTTCCAGGCTACCGTTGATAGTAGCGAGCTTGGAGAGGCCTGATGTTAGAAGATCTTCCCGAGCAACCTTGAGGAATGCGAGCTGAGTGAGGAAAGATTCCAGAGATTCATCCTCAGCGACAGCTTCAGAAAGCGCAGGGTCCAGAACGAAGAGCTCGATATCCTTATTGACGAGAGTCTTGCGGAAAGCGGGAGAAAGCTTCTTCTCAATGTCCTCATTCTTCACGCCTGGTAGCTTGACGATTATGGAACCGTCGGGCTTGACGCTGTTCAAAACATCGAATGCCTTGAGGATGGCCTCGTCGCCAACAAAGGCAACATCAGCTTGCTCAACAGCATATGGAGCCTCGATGGTGTAGTCAGCGTTGCGGATATCGGTTCGCGTAACACCACCTTGGACCAGATTGTCGTGTCCGTTGCGCACAAAGACGTTCTTTGAAGAGTCGGTAGAGAAGAGCTTGCCAATAACAGCGGGTGCGTTGGCAGCCAGAGATTCGTCCAAGTTCCAGAAGCTGTACTGCTTCACATCGGCATTGTTCAAGATGTCGATAAAGGAACGCGCTTCTATGCCCTCCTTCTCGGCGTGAATTTGACGGAAAGCGTCGAGAAAGTTGCTGGGTGTCCAGACTTGCTCGCGAGAGTATTTGACGTCCGTTACCTCTACATTCCTGTCGAGGGTGAACTGAACAGCCGCCAATACATCGGCGTATAGCCTCGAGTACTCGGCAGGGTCGAGCACGGCTGTTTCATCTTTGACCTGACCAAGGACAGCGATGCGGCGAGTGCTCTTGGGAAGCGCTTCCAAAAAGGCCTCTTCCACAAAGGGGCGGTACACACGAACGTTGATGGCACCAACCTTCTCGCCCTCCTTGGACAATGCAGTCGCAACCTGGGCAGTCAAAGAAGCCTCCACAGTGCCAAAGACAACCAGAACGCTCTCAGGCTCCTCATGGCCGTAGTAGTCAAAGAGCTTGTAGTCCTCGCCGAGCTCGTCGTTGAAAGCCTGGAGGAGGCGGAGCACGCGTCCAGCGGTATCCGAGTGTTTCTTGTCCACATCAGACACTGCCTTCAGCACGGCCTCATAACTGTTGTATAGCCTAGCCTGGTCGAGCGTGTCAACCAGCCTCGCCGTCTCTCGTCCAACACTGATGCCATCGTATGTGTGAATGGTAGGAATGACACTTGAGAGCAGAGTCGCAAAGAGAGCCATGTGCTGAGACTCAAAGACAGAGGGACTGCAGACAAGACCAAGGCCCAAATCTTCAGCAAGTGAAAGGGATGAGACATAATCGGTGACGAGACCAGCGCTTGCATTCGCAGAATAATCGACAGCAGCAATGTGAGCGGTGAGAGGGTTGGCGACCGAGTAGAGGGCGGCCAGCTGGTCGAGAGAAGAGCGGAGGTGCGTCAACGTCGAGGAAGAGGCAATGATTGACTGTGGAATATGGCGCTTCTTCAGATCAAAGTCCTTGGAGAACATGTAACCCAAGGCAATTGCACCTGCACCTGTCCTAGTCTCCAGAGAAGAGACACCAGTCTGGTATCCAAATGCATTCTTCTCGCCCTGCTCTTGCCAGTGTTTGACTGCTACGTCCAGATCAAACGACTCGGCGGAGTATGCGAAGATCTTATCCGAGAGGGCGTATGCAACCTGCTGGACGAGGGTTTGCGCCGTGAGGTAGGTAGGGCCGCTGATTGACTGGTACGAGAGGTCCTGGCCAAAGGGTAGGCTCGAGGACTTCTTGGTGAACTCCTTGGGTGCGTTCTGCTCAGCACCAGGGCCGGCAGAATCCGTCTGCTGAAAATGCATCTTGAAAGGCGATGTATGCGCCTCGACGTCTCAGCCTTTGACGACAAGATCCGAGAGTCTTTCTTTAAGAGTAAAGAAAAGAGCGAGGGTTAGACTAGACTCTCCTTGAGGGTTCACCTAGGGATCTTATCGGTGGAGTGGTCAAGTCGCCTCGTAGGAGACAAAAAGTGCCGCCGTCCAGTAGCGACATCGGCAGATTGAGGACCGAGAAAGACGCAATCGTTCATAATGCTCCTGATTGGCTCTTGCGACATGGTTTAGCACGTCTTTCGGGCGAGAGATTGCAAATGGGCGGAATGTCGCCTCGACGCGACGAGAATTTGGTCCTAGCGCGAATTGCGTGCTTCAGAGGCCACGCGGGGCCATGGCGGGGAAATCCCGGTGCTCGGAGATCTGATGAGCGCCTACGAATGGACCCTCTTACATGAATAGCCTTATTATCAGTGCTTTTCCATACGCGGATTCCTGTGCATCTAAAAGAAATAGCGGGTTCTTGGTATCTTCTATGAGCGGTATCTAGCATACTAACTGAATTAAGGTTGACAGTAAGCCAGCAGTGCGATTCAGCATTGGACAGCCTCATGTGATTATACAGCAAGAGCAGTATTGTAGTATAGTTGTCCGCACAGACGGTGAGTTCCTAGAGAGACTAAAGCAAATAAATCCAAGAGGCATACTGATGCAATCACAAGTGAAAACAGTTAGGTGAGGGTGCATTTGCTTCCTCTTTCAACATATTCAAACGGGGTTGAAATCCGATCCGTCATGTTCTTTGTTCAAGAACAGTCAAGCTTGGAATAACATGCGAACAAGTATGACAAAGACACGGAGAGAAATACAAGCAACTGATACATCAGATGCAGCTTAGACACTGATCATATATCATCTTGGGCTGTCGAACCGATCCCCTACATTACAATCTCTTTGGAGTCTTAAGGAACAAGCCTCGCAATCTCAAAGCAAACAGACTTGTGTATCTGTCGACATACAAAGAGGTCACTTGACTGTCAACGACCCCTTCTTTCATAGCGCTGTATGGAGCCCCTCAAAAAGACTGAAAATCCTCTTCTTGAACAATAAAGCGCTCATGGTCGATTTTCAGAGTCCAGGATACCATGTCGATGGGTGCAAGAACTCTCCCGTTACTTGGGTGGTGGTATTATGTTGGATAGGTCATCTTTGCTCACCTAGTGCACATCGATATTTGCGTGCCCGAGGAACCGCACTTTATGAGTGCGCGAGATGGACTAGCCGTCATTGATGGACTGTTTGAGTATTTGAAATGCATGCCTTTAGCATGGCCGAACTTATTAAAACATTGGAAGATCACACTGCCAGCTGCCAAAGACGGTAGGGCATGGGGTTGCATGTGTCTTCTGATAAAAGGTGAGAGCCCGCGCACTACTGCAAGTCTGCATCTGCTGGCATAACGAAGGAAGTATCTTCAAAATCTCGGAGGACGTATTCGGCCAAGGCATCTAGTTTCTTTCGTTGCACATGGAGTGCACCTCCCCGGATGTCTTTCTCGCGCTGGCTCATATTACTGAACAAAGAAGGCGCCTTGTTCTTCATGTTTGGCCCCCCGTTGCTGGGCCTTAGGTTGTCGGCCGATCCGTCAGCCTGAGCATGCAGCTGCGCACTTGATCCGGGGCGGGAAAGAGAGACATCGACATCCGGATATCTAGGGTCTCCCTGACCTTCGGGTGAGATTTTGAACGTCTGCTTTTTGCTTGGGGGAATTCTGCCAATGAGGACCAGGAGCAACTCTGGTTGCAACAGACGCACTATGATATTGCAGTCCTGGGTTTCGATGGTGAGTGTCTGCAGTGGGGGCTTGAGCGAATGGTCTGGAGCCCCATTTCGCGTAGAAAGCTTTTGGCGACCGGCGCAATGATCCTTCCATGCCATGGAAATGAGGGCAGCCTGGTCACGAAGCTCCTTAGTTTGCACGGGCTTCGAATATGCTAATAGCGTGCCATTCGGGGACATTAAACTCGTCACGTCAGTCTAGTCAGTGGCCGTGAACAAGCACAACTTACAAGAGTCGGGGATATATGCCTTCATTGGCGTTCTGAGTGAGCCAGTCGCTCACTTTGGCGATGTTGATCATTGGAAAACCTATTGCGGACATGGTCAGGAGGCTAATAGTGGGTGTTGTTAACAACAAGTGAAAACGGATGAGTGCGAGTTTGTGTACAGCACATAGCAATATATCGAGTGCGACGTGGTTGGGATCATGGGCGATGGGCTGAATGCTTGTGACGCAGTAAGAAGACCACGTACCTGGTCGATTGTTGGCGCAACCCCCTTCCCGGACTGTCCTCGTGCGCCTGCTACTAACTAGGCCACAGACGGATGCTTACTACTTGCAGTGCGAGAAACGTCCAACAGCGACCGGGCAGATGCGTAGACCGACTTGATACCGTGAAGGGAGGAGGATCAGTACGCGACCGGCTTCGTAGGCATCATGGAGTCCATGGCCAAGTTTACGAGGCCCAAAAGCTATGACCAACTGCCGGAACGCTGTTGTTCCGCCGCACGTGCTCTCGTGCCCCTTTGGGGACGCCCTCTGTTCTAATACTGGGTAATGTAGTGTAGTCATGACCAGCAGATGAAGGGCGTCATGCACCGAGTACAGCCTCTATGATATGTGCACTATTTAGCGGATGAGCTCTTCTGGCAGTCTGATCATCAAGTCTACTTGCAGCCGACATTCACGCGGTTGTGTTGCATTCTTGCACTGCGGGCAGATTCCGCACTAGTATTCACACAATAGCCTAGAAGAGATGCATTCGCAGATATCCCCATGCCCCGATGCAGATGCGTCTAAGGCGTCTAGGACAGTGGTGAGGGGGCATGTCAGCAGCTTCTCATTGGGTGGTACACGTAATTAGCTCATTCTGTACCCCTCAATTGCTTCACCAACCTCGTTGGAATCCTCACTTCATGCTTCTTCTACGTTCAACGTGTATCAGGACATCGCGCCTGGCTGTTTCTACTGCCCTCAGACTTGCAAGACCAAACCATTCCCCAAGCATTCTTGTGCGTACGCTAGCGACCATGACGACCGATCCAACCAAGTACAAGCTCCACCATTCCATGTGAGTACCCGCATGGCGGTATGCCTTACTCAACACCTGCAATTAGCCGATTACTGATTCTTGTTAAGGATCCGTGTCAAGGATCCAAAGCGCTCAATCCAGTTCTATGAGTTTCTGGGCATGAAACTGATCAATGAGATCAAGAACCCTGATGACAAGTTCGATCTCTACTTTCTTGCATACGACGGCCCAAAGGCCGCTTCCGCCGGAAATCACTGGACTGATCGCGAAGGCATTGTCGAATTAACTCACAACTACGGAACAGAAAATGACCCAAACTACAAGATCACAAACGGCAACACAGAGCCCCACAAAGGCTTTGGCCATCTTTGCATTTCGGTAGATAACATTCAAGCTGCATGCCAGAGGATAGAGGACGCTGGCTATAAATTCCAAAAGAAGCTGAAGGAAGGGCGTATGAACAACCTTGCTTTCGTGCTTGACCCTGATGGCTACTGGGTCGAAGTGGTTGGTCAAAAGCCCTCCGAGGAAACTGAGAGCGTCAAAGACACAGACGTTGGCACATATCTCATGGTAGGTGATATGAGACGGACTCACTTGGACACAACTGACAGAAGTAGAACCACACCATGATTCGCATCAAGGACAAGGATGTTTCTCTCAAATTCTACCAAGACGTCATGGGTATGAAGCTCAAGCGCACGATCGAAATGCCCGATGCTGAGTTCAATCTTTATTTCTTTGGCTATGGCCCGGACGCACCAGAGGCTACCGCCAACTATGTAAATCCCATTGTGGACAGCGAAGGCTTGCTCGAATTAACATGGAACTATGGAACTGAAAAAGACCCCAACCTCAAGTACCACAACGGAAACGATGAGCCTCAGGGCTTTGGTCACATTTGCATTGCTGTTGACGATCTGGAGGCCGCATGTGCTCGTTTCGAGGAAAAGAAGGTCAAGTGGAGGAAGAGGCTCACCGATGGTCGCATGAAGGAAATTGCATTTGTGCTAGGTATGCTGTTATATTTTTTGGTACACACGTATAGCAACTGACAATCTTTGCAGATCCCGACGGTTACTCGATCGAGGTTGTGCAGAACGAGAAGCTCAAGACACGTAGTCATTGGTAAAAGCGCGGCGCCAATTACCCCGCGCATTATGTATTTATCCCACGCAACACCAACGAGCCCTCCAATGAATGCAGTCCTACGTTCAGACTAGCCGGCTATGCTGCACAGATGATGTATCCCGTGATGCCGCTACCAAAGCTCTTGTTAGCTGCCCTACAAGTCCTGTCTGAGGATCAAATATGCACTAACTGCCATTACACACGAAATACGTTATCGGGCAATTTGAATCTTGGCTGAGAGCTAATTTGAGTAGTTATGTATCCTCAATGCGGGTTCGTCCATTCAGTCCGCAATATAGCGTACCCCGTGGGGTAAAAGTGCGGGGTAACCAGAGTCAACACAACTCGCCGAACCAGAAATCTGACGTATCTTAACAGATGTACTGTACGAGCCCGCAGAGGCTTGTTATAATGACCTTGCATACAGCACTGGGCATGGGCTAACTATTTGGATATACATACATATATATTCACCCCCCTGACTACCAACTATTCCTCGCCCCCGAAAACCCTGAAGTATATCGATCAAAGATATCAACAACTGAGCATAACCCTCGCTGAATGATCTGACGTCAGAATATTGGAAGTGTTTAATAGCCTTAGTTATACGGTTAGACCAGGCAGCCAACAAAGTCTTCATTCAACATGGTCTCTGTTATGCATGCCAAAAAACGCAAGATTCTCATACCGGAGAAGGTGTCACCGGACGGCCTGGCGCTATTGAAAGATGAGTTCGATGTCGACGAAAAGAAGGGACTCAGTCCCGAGGAGCTCAAGAGCATCATCGGCGAATATGATGCACTAATCGTTCGATCCGAGACCAAAGTGACGGCGGATCTTTTGAAGGCAGCCAAGAATATGAAAGTGGTAGCCCGTGCAGGTGTTGGTGTTGACAATGTTGATGTTCAAAGCGCTACTCAGCACGGCATCATTGTCGTGAACTCACCCTCTGGGAATATCAATGCTGCAGCGGAACACACTATTGCGCGTGAGTGCGTCCACGTCGCGCAAATGGAGTGTCTGCTGACATATCAAAGTGTTGATGGCTGTTGCCCGGAATGTGGGCGATGCTTCACAAAGCATCAAGGCAGGCAAATGGGAGCGTGGTCGGCTCGTAGGAGTTGAGGCCAAAGGAAAAACTCTTGCTATCGTGGGGCTGGGCAAAGGTAACGCAGGAGAATTCAGGAGCTGAGTACCGCTTACACTGTCATAGTTGGTCTCACAGTCGCTCGGATCGCTAATGGCCTGGGTATGAGACTCATCGCATACGATCCCTATGCCAATCCGAACCTGGCAGCAGCAGCATCAGTGACGCTCAAGCCTAGTCTTGCTGAGATTTTGAAAGAAGCAGATTTCTTGACGCTCCACACGCCTCTCATAGCTTCAACCAAAGGTATGATCGGAAAAGCCGAATTAGAGACGATGAAGCCCACTGCGCGGATTCTGAACGTTGCGCGAGGCGGAATGATTGATGAAGATGCTCTGGTGGAAGCTTTGAACGCTGGTAAGATTGCAGGAGCTGGAATTGACGTCTTCACTTCCGAGCCTCCTGAGCCAGACTCGTCTGCGACTCGATTGATCGCGCATCCAAAGGTGGTTGCAACACCCCATCTCGGTGCTTCAACTACAGAAGCTCAGGAAAATGTCTCCATTGATGTATGCGAGCAAGTGGTGTCCATTCTGTCTGGGGAGCTTCCTCGCACGGCAGTCAATGCACCTATAGTCCTTCCAGAGGAATACCGCACACTACAGCCCTTCATCAGTCTCGTTGAGAAGATGGGTAGTCTGTATACCCAACACTACTCCAGCGTCAAGAAAGATTCTTTCCGCACAACCTTTGACCTGATATACGAAGGAAAGCTAGCTACTATCAACACCACCAAGCCTCTATTCGCTGCACTAGTCAAAGGCCTGCTGACACCCATCACCTCAAGTGACGGCCTCAACATCAACATCGTCAACGCCGAGATTCTCGCCAAAGAACGCGGTATCCTCATCAACGAGCAGCGTTCACGCGAGAACGTCGAGGACAAGCCCTACGCCTCCTTCATTACCCTCCGCGCACGCGCCTCGCGCTCCGTGTCCCAGCAGTCTCGCTCCAGTGTTTCGGCATCTGCCGCAGCGCGCTCTACTGCCCGAGACAACAGCACAGTCGACGATCAGATCATCCAAGGCTTCGTATCCGGGAACAGACCCTTCATTTCGCGCCTGGACAGGTTCAAAGGCGAGTTCGTACCGCGCGGCACGCTGATTATCTGCCGGAATTTTGATTCCGTCGGCAAGATCGGGTATGTGGGGAATCAGCTGGGTAAGGCGGGTGTTAATATCAAGTTTATGAATGTGGCGCCACTGGATGAAGAAGTGGAGGAGCAGCGGCAGAATGGGGCTGATGCAGGGGATGAGAAGGAGGGGAGTAAGGAGGCGTTGATGATTTTGGGGGTGGACAAGCCGGTTGGTGAGGATGTGCTTAAAAGGTTGATTGGAGAGGAAGGGGTGTTGGAGGCGAGCGTTGTGAACTTTTGAGATCGTCTTTAGGAGTGTAGAAGAGGGTTGTGATAGTCAATGGCAGCGGTACTTGACTGATTTAGTGCGCCTGCGAACCTTGAACTTTGGTGTTGGACTGATTGTGTTATGGTCAAGGACGCGACACGTAACATGTAGCGAAGCATTTATCTAACTTTTGCTGAGAACTGTAATCCAAACACAGGTCAAATTGCATCTGCATCTGGGTGCTGTGTCCCTGGTCGACGCATTAGTCGACCTTTTCCCATTCAGATGTTTTCAAGCTTCTGAAACTCCATGTATCGCTCAAACCCAGTTGTACTGCTGGCACGCAGAACATCAAAATCCTTTTTTGTCGTTTGATTCTCAACCCTGTATGGCCAAGGCTGGACAATAGTGTGTTTCTCCTTGATAGCCATCCCACACAGCGTAGCAAACTGCGTAATCCTGCACTCATCCATGAAAACATCGAAGTGCTTGTCCCACGGTTTGAACATATCGGAGCAGGTAATACGCAAGATTAGGTCAGGATGTGGACCTGGATTCATTCCAGCTCTATTCATATTTACACGGGATTTGTCGAATGGGATGTACTTTTTAAGGCGTTCCATCGCCGGTACAAGCGACTGTATATCTCCTTGTGGGTTTGCTTCGTGATCGATTTCCACGGCAGCATTTATGAAGAGCATAAGTAGCGTGGCTTTTGGGTTCTGTGAAGTCGGCTTGAGGAGTCGCGAGAAGATCTGGAGACAAGTGTGCGGGCCGACATAACCTCGATCGCATATATTGGAGATCTGTGTAAATGTCAACGCCAAAGCACCATGAGGGACCGAGAAATGCGTATCTCACCTCGATACGGTCAAACTTCATGTCATCGAGATAGGGTCCTATATCTTGGGCATCCATGTTGAACAGCCGGAACGAGATGTTAGAGCTTCGTAGCCGGCTGCAGAACCTACAAAGTAGTCCTCTGATGTGAAAGAAGATAGCACCGAACTCATCTGCTTTCGCAGCTGGAGCGTCCTCCAGATACTCATCAAAAAGCCAGCCACCGCGGGGACTAGCGTCATCGTTCATCAGCCAGTCATTTTGGAAGAACAGTGTGCTTGATTGATGTCAATCCTTGATTACTTCATAGAATCAGAGGAATCTTACGGGTTGGGTGTGTCGAAGTCTGTGGTGGAACAACCATAAGGCAGCAAGATGCCAGTATGGCGAAAGTACATTTCTCCCTGGCGAACACCAGCAGACATTTTCAGCATAGCTCGATCACGATAGTCGACTCTCTCGGGAGCTAGCGTGATGCGGCGGCGAATTCGTTGAGCAGCTTCTGCTGACAGTCCTTCCGGAACCTGGCAAAACGTCGCCAAGCGAGCCCATTCGTCTTTCTTCAGTGTTATGCTCAGCTTTCGGCTGCCTATGTCAAATGTCTTTGCCTGTAATGTATTGCCGGGCTTGTTCTTGATCTTCTGGCAAACATCTTCGATCATGGGAAGGATGGTGGACTGAATAGCCTGTACCATATCGTGAGGAAGTAATGCTGAGTACCATAAATGGATGATCATCGGTACTGCAATGTCTGGTTCGAGTTGGAGCGCAATGAGAAGCATGATGGCATTGCGGGCCACGATGATGAAATCCTTATCGTTCAAGACAGCAACACATTCACCTTTGTATCCCTCTGGCAGCCCAGCAATAGTTTTGATGGCATTTCGAAGATCGCCCGACGCGGCAAAGAGAAGATTGAAGTCGTGACTCGTTGCACTGGTCCTGCCTTCATTGTTCTCAAGCTGCAGAATATCAAGAGCAGGCATGTTGCCCCAGAGATACTTTCTGTTGCCGAACCCAGCGTGTGAGGGACCCTCGCTGATAAAAGCGGGCTGACGACCATTACGATACCACTCGGGCTCCCAAGTGTCTTTCATGAATGGGGATTTACATCCCTTCTTGTGACGAGACCAATCTGCAGCCTGACAATCTTTTGAGCAGTACTGTTGTCACGTCAGTAGGTTAGATAAGGCTATAAAAAAACGGGCTATCTGGTCACGAAAAATGAGCTAGAACTAGGGCACACATACTTGAACCATGTGGCAGCCACTACATACAAGTACAGCATGTGCCTGACATGACGTCTCCTTGGTGTTGGAACAAAGCAGCGGATTACTGAAAGTCGACAGACTGGGAATATCAACTGTCATCTTGTTCATAAGATGCGAGAGAATTTGCGATGTGATCAAAGCGTCTTGTTGCGTTGCGTGATTTTGGCAGATGTATACTATGACCCGTTGGAAAGACAAAGTGGGATTCAAAAGATTGACAGACTCCAATGAGCGTGATGCTAGCTATGAGGAAGAACTATGGGCACAATAATATTATGAGAGCAAGTAACTAGAGTGTGAATGCGACTATTCACATGACGTAGCGATGATCTGGTGCGTTTGCAGAGGATTCATTGTTTGGCCACCAACAAGAGGAATGGAAAGAGTGCCCAATCATTTGACGACACGATTACTTATGCAATTCCAAATTTACATAGGCGACCTACATGATACCAGCGAAATCCAAGTTTCTCCACATATAGTACATGTTTGGATATCCTTGTAGAATAGCTAATGTATTATTATACAGATGTGGTATGCAATAAGTTTGTACGACCCCAGAATGTTTCTTAGCCCCCACGTTGAACATGTTCGTGCGTGGTTTGGTGTAGCTGGCAGTATCATTTCTTCGGCGGCAGCACCCCGAACACGCATGTTACTTTTCCACTTTGCTTGTCGGGTTGTAGCATCTTTTGGGGGGGGCTGCCTGGTCACTTCCCTGATGCAACTACGAAGCTTTTGCAATTGAAATCCCATTCGAAATCCGGTCCATATTAGAGGAACTATTGCATGTCTAATGTACATAAAGCACGATTCTTGTGATGTTGGATGGCTCGAATTGCGCGCAGGCTTGTGTAACACCCCCACTCTGCACGATGAGGTATCGGTAGTGGCTGTGTTATTGGACACGCGTAATGAACAGAACCTAATGTACTTGCACGCAGATGCCTCCAAAGGATTATATCCATCAACTTTACTTACACTCTTCGCCTGCCTTTAATGTAACTGGCGGACTATCGGCTCTATGTACAGTCATTTAAAAGATACGCCAATGAATAGTTATCCTGGAAAAGTTAAGCCATCGTTCTTGTGTTAAGCTATGTCTGAATGTTTGCAAATATGAGACGTCGCAACACAGGCTTTAAATTAGCTTCGCGCGTTCTTGTCACGATGATCATGCAGAATTGCATGCGTTCGTGATGAGTGAACCGTATTGAATCACTTCTTCGTTCTAACTGCCCTGCACTGTCCATTGCACTTCCACTGTTATCTCTGCACAAATACACCATTTCACCAGATAACCATCAGCAATGAAAATTTGAGTGACATCGAGGTAGTTAAGCTTGTGACAGTCTGGACTCGCCTGGTCTTTGTTCGTTGTAGAGGCAGACCTGTTCATCAAAACAGTTAAGAGTTTGTAATGGGAAACTTGTCCATATGCCATCACAGCCAGTAAGAGTATTCATATTCTTAATTATCCAAAGTCAACCATCACTTTATTGCCTCTGTTTGGGTAGTAAGGAGTGCAAACTGCAAGAACATAAGAACCTAACCTTCTCTTGGAATATCTGTGGGCGAATTGCGCGGCACACATGTTCCAGATGGCTGGCGCGCTTTCGTCTCCGCTATTGTATGTTCTACTAGATGTGGGGCTTGAGATGAGTGTCACCCGTCTAATATATTCAGAGGATATTGTGTTATCACATCCCGAGTTTCGCGTTAATGTTGTTACACAGCAACTTCCTTTCCGCATGTTCGTGGTTGCGCATGGTATCACCGAGCCATCAACACACTGACCTCCGACGTCTCGCCGATCTTCCCCACCCAAGAAAGCACGCTATCCAGTACGCTATCTAGCCCGGGGAATTTGTTCGCGACTACGCATTCCAACAGCCGTCTCAACGCCCTGATTGAAGGGTCACTATAAACCTTGATCTCCTTGGTACCACTAACGAGTAACAATGGCAAAAGCAGTACTTGCCGGCAGCACCGGCCTCGTCGTACGCCTCAGTCGCTCACACCACAGACACACAGCTAACATCTTTACCCAGGGCTCCAACATCCTCTCCACTCTTCTCGGCCACCCCTCCTTCTCCTCCGTCTTCGCCTTCTCGCGCCGCGACCTATCCAACCTCAATGGCTCCACCAAGCTCCAACCCATCATATCCGCCGATTCCGCGCAATGGGCGTCTCAATTCCCCTCAGCCGAAGCCCCCAAGATCTTCTTCAGCGCTCTTGGCACCACGCGCGCAAAAGCTGGCGGTGTCGAAGCTCAACGCAAAATCGACTACGACCTCGCCCTTGACCTAGCCAAAGCCGCCAAACAAGCCGGCACAGAGGTATGCGTCCTCATCTCGTCCAATGGCGCGAATGCAAAGTCATATTTTGCGTATCCGAAGATGAAGGGTGAATTAGAAGAGGCGGTTAAGGCTCTAGGCTTCAAGCATACGGTTATACTACGTCCCGGGTTGATTGTCGGGGATAGAGAAGAGAGTCGGCCGGCTGAGGCGGCATTTAGGGGATTGGCTAAGGGCTTGAAGGGATTGGTAGGGAGTGGTATGTTGACGGATTCGTGGGCGCAGGACGCGGATGTTATTGCGAGGGCGGCGGTGCAGGCTGGAGTGACATGTTTAGAGGGGAAGAGGGAGGAGGGCGTGTGGATGGTGTCGGGGGAGATTGTTGAGCTGGGCAAGGCGTAGGGGTGTGTTGCATTGAGAGGAGGAGAGGTGGTGGTTAGGAAGAACGTGTGACGATGTTATACCCGATTCGATTTTCGATGTTCTTTATCTAGTTACATACAATATACCTATCATTTGGCTGCGCAGCAGCGCTGAATCCGTCCATTCACGCCGCAAATTTCCTCAGAAAACGGTCCATTAGTCGCGGTATGCAGCTCCGAATGCTTGCGCGCCCTATGTGCATTTCACAACGGCAACAATGACAACAGTCCCTAGTAATTCCCAATTAATTTCCTCCAACATCATCCCTCTCCTACAAATCCCGTCTTACCAACTATCACACCACCGTCTCACCACCCCTCATTCCTCCAGACCCCTGACTCGCGCCCGCCCGCCCCGGTTGGCTCGCCCGGCACCCTCCGCTTACCGAATACCAAGGCAGAAGAAATATCACCCCATCCTCATCCAACCAACAACACACAGCCCACCCCCCCTGCTCAGGCCCTAAAAAAAACTCGTCTAAAGTACAACGCGCGCGGACATGCGCGTGCTCAACCTGGTAATTTGCGCCGGTGGTGCGCGACTGCGTTCGATGAGGGAAGTGATGTGTTACCGCTTTGGGTAGTTTTTTATTGGGGGTTTGGGGGTTAGTAAGTCGGGTGGGTAAGGGTTATGCCGGGTGGTGGTTTTGCTCACGCCATCGGAGAGTGGTTTTGGTGGTGCGATGATTGAGCATATTGGTTTCTTGGTTACTGTATGCGTGATCTGGCGTGGGTTTGTTTCGGAGGAGGAAAGACGGAGGGTTGGTTGTGTATGTATATAGGATGGGGTGGCTTTTTGTGAAGGTGTTTTTGTACTACACCAACGAACAACGCATACAACGCATTCATACAACAAGAGCATATTAGAGACGAGGAAATCGGACATCTACGCAACTTTATATCGATAAGACTCCTTTTTGAGAAGCCGAACTACGAATTTGAAGGACAGTACCACAAGAGTTCAAGGTATCGACCGACAACAAAGTCTCACTCGAGTATTCTATCACCACAATAACACAACAAAAATGCCATCGCCAACTCAAGCACGTATCATGTGGCGCACCATCTCCCGCGGCATGGTCGAACCCCATCCTTTTGCCCGCAACCCCATAACCATGGCACCGCATGCCTGGCGCGCTGGTGACTTGGGACAGAAATTGGTTAAGACAAGTGCTGTGTAAGTCTTCTTTCCCTCCCCTCTTCAACAAACAAGAAAGCAAAAGCTAATATGTTTGATAATAGCTACTTCCCATTCTACGCCGTAATCCTCGGATGGCCCGCTGCAGCCGCGTGGTGGTTCAACGGTAACATGTGACTCGCCGCCGCACAACCCGAAAGCGAGGGTGAGGAGAAGAAGGGACTGAGTAGTCAAGAGGTGCAGGATTTGATTTTGAACATGCGGTGGGATGATTAAGGAATTCTTCTGTATATATCTCTTTGGGTCAGCATTAGAGGCGTTCTTTTGTAGGTCTGAAGTAGGAGGCTTGAACAACTTCTAAAATAAGAATTTTGGATTTTTCAAAATCTGTGTGTTTTACGTGCATTCGAGTATGTGGATGGAATGGAGATGGCTTGGGATACTACTGATAGGTTGCGGGATGTGGTGAAAGAGTGTATTACAAGTCTAGGACGATGGTACCTATGCCTCTACTCACGCAACTCAGCATGCTAGATCTTTTTTCAGATTCTTGAAGCGCGGTCCCGCGGTGCTCAATTCTGCCTGAACATACGTCCACTGTACATGTTCCGCAATTGCCGACTTCGCAAGAGCTATCAATGTCCATGCCTACGGCTTTCAGTGCGTCGAGTAGCGATTGGGTTGCGCCGACTTGTACGCTCCTCTTGCTCTTTCGGAGCTCTGCCGTAAATGGATCACCGGAAGTTGTGGTTGTAAAGGCTTCGATGTGGACGGACGACCCGGGAATGCCGTAGGACTTTGCAGTATTGACAACATCGTCCATGAGTCGGGTTGGCCCACAGGTGTAGATGTGTGTTCGGTCGTTTGCTTTACTGAGGATAGAAGGGATGTCTAGGCGCTGGCCGGCAGACTTGTTGTAGATGGTTGCATGTAGGCCTAGTGCTGCGATTTGGGCTACGAAAGGTACTTCTTCCGCAACGGCGTAGTGCAGATGGAAGTTTTGTTTTGTTTCCTGTAGCTGCTTGAATGCGACCAGGAAGGCTGTAATTCCGATGCCACCCGCGATAATAATATGATTGTCTGCTTCCTTTACTAGCGGGAAGCTGGCTGTAATGCGCCCGACCGTTAGAATATCGCCTATGTTGGTTTGCTTATGGAGGTAATTTGAACCGCCACGGCTCTCGGGATCAAGAGCGACGCCGAGTTCAAAGCGTTTGGACGTCCCACTTGTTACTGAGTAGGCGCGTACCAGCTTTCTGCCTAGTTTAATTCGCACATGGCTACCTGGCTGAACAGGAAGAGTATCAGGAATATCCTCTACTGCCTCAAATGTAAAAGCTGTGACGGATTTAGTCTCTTTCCTCTTCTCTACTAGGCGATATTCGTTCCAGGCGAATGTCTTTTCGTCCTCGCCGCCGAACAGTCTGCCACTCTGGTCCTCAGCTACACCCTTGTCAAGTCTAGCCTGAAACTGGCCCTTGATGTCCCAACCGAGCTGAGGTATCTTGACAATATCCTCCATCATCTTAGTGTTGTTGCTTTCGATGAAGAGATAGTACATGACACGCGCCACTGTCCATTCTGGATGTGGTCGTTCAAGCAGCGAGATCATATCCCCTTCCTTGACTGTTCCAGTCTTGATTATACGATATAGCCAGCCAGTGCGAAAAAGAGTCTGCGTGCGCTTGGCCATGTCCTTGACCTCGAAACGGTGGTTGAGCTTGAAGCATGGTCCTCGCGGTTCGCTGACTTCGACAATGACATCTCCAATGGCAAGTCGATCCCCGATACAAAGGCTCGTCTCGCTAACCTCCGCGCTGGATAAATTTTCACCGAATGCGCCGGGTTTAAAGTAGTGTTCTGAGTTTGGTAATTCCTTCTTCCAGTCGTCGTAGTGAGATGAGCAGTAGTGAAGGAGAGCCTTGTCAGGGCTCACATGCTTAGGAAATGCATGTTCATCTGTCGTAATACCAAGTTCGCATATTTCAACGGAACCGGTCAAAGGAGTCTTGTAGATTGCCGATTCAATCTTGCCATTCCAAAGGGACTTTTTGATCTTGCCTGCTCGCAGCTGAACCAGCGGGAAGGGAGTGAATTGAGGAGGGTTCTTTAATGTGTCTGGATCTGGAGGGGGAGGTGGAATCCATGCAGAGAGTGCCATTATGGCTATTGTGTGGCAACAAGATGCAGCTTAATTGAAACGTGTCGCGTCGAGGGTAGTGAAAGCCTTAATTATTTGTTTATGTTGAGCCTCCCGCCATTACCTCAATCGCATGAATAAATACACCTGGAAATAAAGATACGATAAATCTGACTGGTCATGTGATATTGCCTAACCTGCTGCTGCCTGGGGCGAGAAATGTTGTTCCTGTAGTGGGTATGACAATCTGGAATAGACCTGAGACCATTCCGCCTTTGGAAGGACGATAGATTAGAAATAGTAAGCCGTTGGGATACGATGGTATTGCGCTTCAAACTGGATGAGGTGGAACGCTTTAGTTTCACGGAGTACGACTTATGTCGCAACTATCTTTACATCCCATTCTTTCAATATTACAATAAGGTAAGCTGCCTTGGTAGGGTATTGTGTCACGAGGGGTCAGCTCTCCATGTCAGAATCTGGCTTTGATGTTTTCCGCTCGAAGACACCCTCATTTTACATCTGATTGCACATTTGGAAGGACCTGTTTCGTCCAGACACATGAAGGACAGATTCCCATATTCATCGACATGCGTGCCTCAGTCACGTGATCAGGCACATCGGTCGGACTTCGGCAAATGACGTCACACCATCGTCGTGCGAAGCTTCACACCCATCTACTCGTCACCTTAACCAATCTGTCTATCAGCAATATCTAGTTTTAAAACACCTCTCAGTCACTCAATTAATACCCTCAGGATCTTTAAAGAGCTTTCCCACAGTACACCTACACAGAGACTACATCTAGAAACTTAACTCAATCCTCAAGATGTTCCGCATCCAGCCCGCACGCGCAGTTCAACGGGCAATCTTCACTCGCCCTCAAGTCGTTCGTCCTCGCTTTCTTTCAACGAACCCAGCACGGTTTGCGCAAAAGGACGCACAAGACAAAGACTCGCTCAAGCCACGATCGACCGAGTATGCCAAATCTGGCTCTGATGATGGCGCAGCACACACAGACGCAGCTTTTGATCCCTCAAACACATCTCCAGAGGCAGCAGAAGCAGATGCTGAGCGTGAAGCTGGCGGAAAACAGAACAGCTTGAATGTTAGCCCAGGAAACAAGGACATCAGCGAACCCAACAGCCCCACTGTCGGGGGACACGGAGGCGCGCCGAGCAAGAAGAGCAGCGGTGCAGGCAGTGCGCCAAAGAACAGCTCGGGATGAGCACACACAACGCGTGATGGTTTCCCGGTGATGGGGCGGACACACAACTGGGGGCCATATATGAGCTCAGCAGGCATATGGGAGATATGAACGATCCATGGAGCATTTAGGGCATGTCACATTGGTGATGGATTATGCTACTTTTACATTTTTCAAGAAATGATGTACATACATTCGTGGGGGAGCTGGCGCATAGCATGTGCAATCTCAACATTCAATCAGGATTCATCTTCTTGTAGTGCCTCATCTGCCTATTGCAGCTGCTCACATGTCAGCTTCACTTCAACCCTGCCTGACGTCGTGTAGAGTGCCGAGATTTGCAGTGGAGCGTGAATGCCTACGCAACAGGTCTCACTGCAGGAAATGACGTCACAGCCCATGACGGTCGTTAAAGACTCCACAGCCATGAAATGCTTTGTCTCAGCGAGCAATCTCTTCATAAAAATTATCACGATATTTGTCGTCTTTTCACCTCAAGCATCTGCGCTCATCAACTCCCTTTCCAAGCCTCAAAGCACCGACAATGGCACCCCGCACTATTCTTAGCGCTACGCGTTCTCTCCGCACGCCCATGACCCTGTCGACGCGTCGTACCTTTGCAATTACACAACGCATGGGCATTAAGGAAGATGCCGACCGCAGCGCAGACCAGATTGAGCAAGCCAAGCAGGACCAGCTCAAGGAACAGAAGCAGGGACAGGGACGATGGCGCGAGGATCTAGCCAGCTCTGGCGAAAGCAATATTGCCGCTGACCGGCAACAAGTCGACAACCACGAAGCACACATGAAAGAGTTGCAGCAGGAAGGCAAGAAGAAGGGGGAGAGGGGGGAAATGTAGATCTGTTGGCTGGCAGAGACCATATATGTATGCCATACATACATACATACACACATGATGATTGGGGCGTTTGCAAGCGATTGGTGGCTAGTTTCGTCGTCACGACAGGAAACGTGCAACCCCGTATCGAGGAATACAACCAAGTTTTTGGATATCAAGAGGACAAGAAGCAATGGGTGCATACGGCCGTTGAATTCAACAAGTATTCCCCAGGCCTCCACTGTGGTGAAACGAGGCGGCGCTGTCAGATGCATGCTCTTCGCTTTTAGGTGTCAATATTATGGTGGCGTAGTTCGTTTCAGCAACCAACTAGATCCATCAGGCCCTGCATGTAAGGGGCTGGCTTTGTTCACACCGTTGGCCATGCGCATGTTCTTCCGCTTTCCACCCGAGATGCAGATTGTCGGAAAGTGCGGGACCACGATGCCGTGATTGTGTGGTCGTATGCATGACTAAGATAATATCATGAGGGCCATGTCGCAAGATCTATCTGTATTACGGTTTGGCCGCACGGTGGTCCGCCGTAATCAGCCAAACTTTTTCGGCAAAGACATCCATCGGCGTGCCAGGCCTGTCTGGGCGGCAACCTAACCCTTCACAGAAGAGATGCGTTTCTCATGGGACAATCCCTGACGATGATCAATACCAACACTAGCCAATACTTTGGCCTCAAATACTCCTACACCCCTAAAGCGTTGCGCCAACAACGTCGCTAGAATACTTCTTATTCCACTCATTTGTATTGTCGTTGTACACACAGGTCAGATGCCCCCTAGATCTCAGCGCAGTCGCGCTTGTTCCCAATGCCGCACGAGACGCGTCAAGGTTCGTTTACTGTGTATCACGTATCGGGTACAACCATTGACCCTGTTTATCTACAGTGTGATGAGACGCCAGAGATATGCAACCAGTGCCGCCGTCTGGGAATCAAATGCTCGGGACCACTGCAAGGCTCCATTGTCATTGACATGACGGAGCGTGTAGTGAAACCAAAAGGACGGAAAAAGAAAGAAACAGTGAGAGCATCAGCATCGGCATCAGCATCAACTAGCGAGACTCCTGCCGCGAAGACTTCACATCATGTGGTATCTATCGCATCAAAAAAGCCTGCTACCCCGCTAGATATGCCTCTTCAGAACCCAATGTTTCCCACCAACAGTCGACATGCTGAACAGGTAGAGAGGGCCACGACAGCCATTCGCTACCACTACAGACCTCCTACCTTTAACCAGCCTTCGAAAGCCTTGTCATCAACATTGGACAATGTCTTCCTTACCCATTATGTAGAGCTCAACCATGTTAAAAATGCCTATGCGCCTGAAATCCAGTGGCTTGTACACTTGCCAGAAATATTTAGTAACGCCTCCAAGCCCGCTGTCAGAATATCACTTCGAGCAATGTCCATGGCATTTTACGGCAAATACCATCATGACTCAAGTATACTCATCGACTCCTGGAGATGGTATACTGTTGCATTGAGCACGCAGCGAAACTCGATAGCAAGAATGAAAAAGAACGATATGCCAGATGAAGGAGAGGTGCTGGTACCCCTCATCCTCGCGTTATATGAGCTCTACGTTAGCGCAACGTCTGCTGGCTTACTCGCCCATCTGGATGCAGCAGGAGAGATTATGAAGATGCGAGGCCCAACCAACTGTAGATCTGGGGTAATCTGGCCGCTCTTCAAAGCCATCCGCGGCCAAGAGGTATGTTTACGACATTCCGCACTCTCACAGTCCCATGCTGATGGCTCCTAGGCCCACAGGTCAATCGTTTTTAACAAGAAGTCGACGTTTTCTTCCCCAGATTGGATGACAATACCATTCGTCGATATGCCCAACGACCCACACCAAGACCTCGCCAGTATCCACCTGATGATGCCTTCCTGTATGGCTTCTCTAGAGATCCCAGGATCTTTGCGTACTGTTTTTGAGACAGCCATACCGCCCAATGTTGATGTAACACCTGCTAAGGAACTCACATGTAAACTGCTCAAAGATCTTGACAGCTGGGCCGAAAAGTATCCTCATCTGACGAAGCCATTCACCAGCCTTGGGAATGCACAAACCCCAGAGTCTTCCTCGCAATCTACAAGACAGAAATCACCCAAAACAGGAAAGACCGACCCGGTCAGAGTGCTGATCAGGTCAAACTACATGGCAGATCGAGTCTTGCTCAATATGCTCATGTACAAGATGCACACCGAATCCAGTACTCCCTTGGAACCATCCGAGTATAATATAGGGCAGTATTGTTCCGAAGCACAGAATTATGCTCAAGTCATACTGCAGACTGCAGCCGAGATCGAACGAGCAAAGGCGCCTGGGTTTGACCTTTTACGCAGCATTGGTCCTGTCTTAATCGTGGGTTATTGCGGTCCGACGCCGGAACTGAAAATGGAAGGCAAGATGATGTTGGGCAGGTGGGCAAGCCAGATCCAAGGACTTAAGTCAACTATGGAACGCTTGTGAACTGAGTCTTACCAGCTCCACTGCAAGGCGCGGAGAACCGCCCTAGAGATTGAGGTAGGTACCCGTGGATCACAAAGGGGACAGATCAAAAGCCAATCATCATTTCATAAAGTCTTGTCGTTGTATCATTGGCGGAGGCAATAATGAACTCTTTATCACAAACGTCACGGCTTTGTTTATAACAAACAACTCGAGTCTTTCTTTGTCTACTTGGGAATCGTACATGGAACTTTACCCCGATCACGCATCAGATATTCTAATATGCTACTGTACACATCAGTAATCAATCCACTCATCATAACTGGTTCAGATATCTGCTACATTCAACTATAACCAACTTTCAACGATCGTGAAGCGATGAAGCAGCGACATATTAGACAGCCTGCTCGAGACATGGCACCCACATCCCTTTCATACACCGCCATCAACGGTGCATCTAATCCGAGTTTCCTCGGGTCCCAAGAGCATCGTACCCAAGTCAGCAGATTCATCACAGAAAGTCTCTTTGGGACAACCGCAACATACGAAAGCTTGACTCCTAAAGAGACGGTACGGCAGCAAACTCGACAGGACAACTGGGAAAAGCCAGCACGCGCTATCCTATCCGAGGCCTCAGCCGCCGGCATAATCGAAACCAACAGTCCTTTTCTCCAAAGAAGTGGCTGTACTTTACTTCCATCAGCTCAACTCGAACGAACCCGAACCCCACCACAATACCATACACCCCGGGATAACACGGGCATCACACAACCCTTGCTATCACTGCTCTCACCACCACCCTCCCACTCACACCCACCACGCCCCCTACCCTCCTCCCAATTCGAATGCGGCCAGCGCACCACCTGGACGCCCCCCCTCTCATCGCCCACACTCCCCCACTGCTTGCTATCCCCCAAACAAGAATTGCGCCAGAAATACCGCTTTGTCACCCCCGTCATACCAGACGTACCTCAACTACGCGAGCCTCTTCACATTGACGCTGAACCCAACGTTGCGCTAGAAAATCTGCAAGGAGGGGAGATGGACGAGATGATTGCGGTTATAGATGAGGAAATAGCGTTGTATGAGATTAGAGAGAAGTACGAGGAGGCGGTGGGAGGGCATTGCTGGCACGGTATAATGGGTTGGTGTGGAGGTGGCGGAGGGAGAGGCTGATGCATGGGGAAAAGCAGAAAGGGAGTAGTGGATAGAAACAGAGGGTTGATGTAGAATATTGGAAATAGAAAAAAAATATAGATTCTCTCTTTCTTCTCTTACTTGTTTGGTGCTGGTCTTCGTAGTGACTATGGTGGGTTGTCTTGATGAGGACGCTGGATGCTGGCGATTGGCCGAGTACACTAATCAGGATGATCTGGGAAATTTCACCCTAGGAAATATACGGCATAGAACGCGGATCTGCGATGTATTCTGTGATTTAGCAAAGAATTATCTGGAAGACAGGGCATAGTGGCCCCTTTGCTCGCGGAACAAGTCTCCAAGTCCAATGTATTTCGAGATACTAGCCTTGGCTGCACGCTGACGTGCATAATGGAGGCGTGGGTTTTCGGATCCGCACGTGGTAGGAAGCTTTTTTGGCCGACATCTGGGCTCGTTCTGGATAAAAAGGATAGCGAGATTCCTGGGGTACCTTTGGGGTATGCTTGCGATCAAGATTGAAAAAAGTGTCCGATTCGGCCGGGTACGTACACGAATGTACCGGTACATCCCCGCCACCATCATATTACCATTGCATTGCAGCGCAACTCAACTTTTCGAACTCAAATGTCTTCGCTGGCACCAAACATTGCGACAGCGACAAGAGCATTAAAGAGAAGATGTTTCGCGCGTCGCCATCTTCTGTGGCGAATCGATTGCACAGGCCAAGGCTGATTGCAATTGAAAAGTGCGGTTCGTGCAATGAAGCGGGGAAGGTCCGAGTGACCTAAAGTGGAAACCTTATGCGGTTCCGCATACAAACAGTCCACAATAAAGTCAAGAAGCCAGACAATTGCGCCATTCGCATCGTAATTCAGTTCGAAAATGGCCTGATAGTCCGATGAGGGGCGTACCGTGCAGTGCAGATGTCGGGAAAAATGGAGAAGGCTGCTATATAGTTCCGGGAGAGGGTACGTCTTATCTTGTTTTTTTTTCTTTGCAGAACCGTCTACTACAAGTCAATCGCAAAAACTCAAGTTATTCTATCTCTTACCTGGATATCATACTTCTTTTTCTTTTAACTTGCTTAAAGAATAAGATTAAATCAAGATGCCTAGTATCCACCCAGCGATAGACAACGGCATCAAAAAGGGCAACCCCAACTTCCCTGGCGGCAAACTCTACTGCCACTGCCCTTCTGACAAAGTCGAAGTCACGCTCTCGAGCAATGTCGCACACAACCACGCATGCGGATGCTCGAAATGCTGGAAGCCGCGCGGCGCTCTCTTCTCCGTCGTCGGCGTGATCCCTAAAGAAAACGTGTCTGTTACTGCCAACGGCCACAAACTACACATTATCGATGAATCAGCAGCCATCCAGCGCAATGCGTGCAAGGGGTGCGGCGTCCACCTCTTCGGCCGCATTGTAGTCGACCATCCGTTCAAGGGCCTCGACTTTGTGCACACAGAGCTGAGCAACACGAGCGGCTGGCAGGAACCGCAGTTTGCGGCGTTTGTAAGCAGTATCATTGAGCAAGGCTTCAATCCAGCGCAGATGGATGCTGTGAGGGAGAAGTTTAGGAGCGTGGGGTTGCAGTCGTACGATGTGCTTAGTCCGCAGTTGATGGACCTCATTGCTACGTATACGGCGCAGAAGAATGGGAAGTTGCCGGCCAAGTTGTAGAGGATAGGTTGGTGTTGTGATGAAGGGCGTTTTGGGGTGTATGTACGTACGTGGGGACTGTGTATTTATGTTAGTAGAGAGGGCGTCATGGTATAGAGCTTAGAGGTTGGCTCTTTGAGGACTAGGATACACGAAGATGAAGAATTGTCGATAACAGTGCGACATGCGCGCTTTTATATATGATGCTACTGAGCACCGTGATCGCGCGCTAAACTCTTCTTTTCGGGACGAAATGCGAGTTTTGTGTAGTGCATTAGATGACCTGAATCAGTAGTCATAACTGAATGTTCAGGATCAGAAATCAAGTATCGTTTTCTTCTCTTTGACTGTTGTGTCGGTGATTAAATACCTGCTGTGTGGTCAATGTCGCATGGGATAGAAGGGCCTTGCTTTTAACCCACAATCTCCCAATTGATCAGAGCGTGTAACATAGCCATTGGTATATATGGTTACACTGTCCAACTACTATCGACGGGTGCTTGAAGTTACAGCCGCTCTGTGTCATGGCGTGGGAAGCGCGCTCATGCTACTCCCTGGAGTAGTGTATACTTACCTGACTGTGGCTGACCAGCAACTGTCGATGAGTGTCGCCTACCTCTGGCGAGCGACAGGCTGCTGATTGGCGTCGCTCTCCCCCCTTGCTCAGCGACAGTTGTCGATTGGTGTCGCCCGCCCCACCCTCCTTTAGTGGCTAGCTGTGGCTGACGAGCGACGGCTGTCGATTAGCGTCGCTCACCCCACATTCCGACTATGGCTAGATTCTGTGGCTGGTCAGATGGGGGAGCGGCACCAATCGATAGCCGTCGCTCGTCAGCCACCTCGCAGCGATACAATCTAAATACTCTAACTACTTACAGTCTGTAAGTGGCACCAAAGAGAGATACTCAAACAAGGAGATTCATGCCATCTTGACATCGTTGCGGCTTATAATCACATCGCATTTCCTCTTGCATGAAACACCACAAGGTCAGATCGTGATATGCAGCCAAAGCTGCAACAAGGTCGATCATTTGCTTCTCCTAAATACGTACTACGAGTGATTCTCTAACCTGATCTACCTCGAAATAGTCAAGGTTTGATTGACAGTTTAGCGACTGCAGCAACGCACATCTATCTGCGCGGAGGCGATGTGAACCTGGACAAAGATCAACTCAAGCTTATCTTTTTGAACAGCCAGGATATTACCCCGATTGAAAACCAACCCATAATCAAACCCCACGAACTGACCAGAGACAATGCAAATTTATTTTCGCATCCGTGCTGTAATATTCGTGATGCGGCGCGACATTGTAACGGTAATCATGTGACAAAGTACCGCGGTACATGCACGGACATATGACGGTATCACTATGTCCCCCGCACTAATCCTGGCCTCTCAAGACAGATATTCACAACGAACGGGCTGTGGTCCCTGCAACATTCTCCAGTCATCCCTTGGACTGTGCTTCTCCGTTCTGTATCGCCGTATGAACGCGCAGTCGAGGACCCGCAAAGTCGCCTTGAAATAGTAGTTTCTAGTATCCAGGAGTGCCACCAGGCACGGCGATCCGCCATGGTAAACCTCACACAACAGCCCCTTAAGGGCGTATACGCAATCTGCGCCATTGGCTTCGAGATTTCCCGCCTTCCAGTGTATCTTGTTACCTTTCTCCTAGGATTTGGTCGCCAGCACCCTAAATGGACTTTCCGCCAGGCCATCACCATGCGCGTCTTTTCCTCGGTTCTCTGGCACATCGCAACACTGCAAGTTGGAACACCACTTCCCCTGACGCCAGGCGCAGAAAAAGAGCGATTCATTCTTGTCAAACCTGCCAAGTCTGATGCCTACAAAGGACCGCTGAGGAGCAATGATGATGTTGTGCCTGTGGAAATTGGCGCAACCTGGTATCCAGCGCCATTGACAGCCGGTAGCGATAAAGGCAGAACAAAAGTCATCCTACATACCCACGGAGGCGCATTTGTCCACGGCGATGGAAGGACGGCAGCAAGCGGTTTCATGGCAAAATTGCTACTCAAATACACACCAGCAACACACATCTTCTGCCCACAATACCGACTCTCCACCCTGCCTGCCTCACCAACGTCAAACCCCTTCCCAGCCGCACTCCAAGACGTCCTGACATCGTATCTCTATCTCCTCAACGACCTCAAGATCCCCCCAAAGAACATTATTCTCTCCGGCGACTCGGCAGGCGGCAACCTCACCATCGCCCTCCTACGCTACATAACCGAATACGGCGCTGAACTCGATCTACCCACACCTTCTTCCGTGCTTCTCTGGTCCCCCTGGGTCGACCCCTCAGACACATCTTGCTCGTACGTCGACAACAACAGGAACTACAAGACCGACTACCTATCCCCGCCCTTCACAAAATGGGGCACAAGCGCGTACGCTGGTCTAGCAGGCGAGATGGTGTTGTCGTCGCCGTATATCTCGCACAAGTACAGCATGTTCCGGACTCCAGTGCCCATTTGGGTAAATATCGGGGGCAGCGAGATATTGTACTTTGATGCTGTGGAGTGGGCGAAAACGATGAGGGAAGAGGGGAATGAGGTTGTGCTGGATGTTGAGGAGCATGTGCCTCATGATATTTTGTTGTTGGGGGGTGTCTTGGGGTTTAAGGAGGAGGCGCATAATATGGCTAAGAGGGCAGGGGAGTGGTTGAAGGGGCAGTAGATGTAGCGGGGTGGTGCGGGGTATTGAGGGCGACAGAGTGTGGAGTATTTGCTGTATCGGCTACGGATAGGTGATGATGGTATTATTATATTAATTTTGCTTTCGAATGTCGTTGTCATAGGAATAGTGGTTGTTGTAAACTGACTTTTGGGTGGGTCAATCGCTGCGACTTTTTGGCCAAGAGATAATATAATAGACAGGATATTCATCATCAATGCATTCCTTGCCTATGAATTCTAATCCTGCCCACTATGCTTTGCAACTGGTACTTGCATGTGATATACCTACTTCAAAAACTCAAGCACAAGTTCATTAAACAGCTCAGGCTTCTCCCAGTAACACCAGTGACCGCCCCATTCTACCATCACTCCCTTCGCATGGCCCTCACCTTTCCCTCCATTGACCAGCTCAACAACCTTAAGCGGACCGTCAGCAGGGAAGCACCCACTCCTACTACTCGCAACCACCAAAACACGCGTCTTACTCGCACTCCCCGGTCCCAAATTCTGCGCAATTGCCCACCTCCAATCATTCGCCGTATGATCCGCCATCAACTTCCCATACCACCACCCATCCCCCTTCATCGCCTCTCCCAAAAAGAACGCCTCATCCTCCTTCCAAATCTCCGACTCGGGCGTTGGATCGCCAGACTGTGGATGCGACCTATACCCTAGACACGCCGCAATCGTCCCCACATGCGCCTTTTCGGGTTCACTAATCAGCGAGTTTTGCATCGCTTTGAGGGCTTCGGGCGAATTACACCCTCGATTGCCAAACTGTGGACCCCAATCCTCAAGGTAATTCTGCAGGGGCGCTTGGTCTACGAAAATCATGTGGGAAAAGGGGGATGTGGTGAAGAGTTCGCTGTAGGACCACAGGATAGCTGCGCCTAGGCTTGTGCCGATGGCTTTCACGGCTGCTGCATTACTGAGGTTGAAGTGGTCGAGCAGGTTCTTGAGATCCATGGCCAGGCGCGAGACGTGGTATCCGGCGTTGGGTTTGTCGGAGCTGCCATGGCCGCGGAGATCTGGGACAATTACATAGTAGTGCTGGGAGAGGGCAGCGACATTGCGCTTGAAGACGGCCCCGGAGCCTGTGAAGCCATGGAGCTATCCAGACGCGGTCAGGTGGACGAGCAAGGTGCAGTCTGGTGGCAGGGTGCGCTCACCAAGATCAGAGGGGTGCTTCTACTAGATCCGTACGTTTCGTAATGGATTATAATACCGTCGTTGGCTTTGAACGTAGGCATCGTGACGGTCGAGTTGATAGGGGGCCAGAATAGAAAAGTATGGCTTGACTGCAAGGTGGGGAGAGGGGCAGGGACTACTAACTACATATGCGCTTTGTAAGCAATGTGTAATGTGATTGCGCTTAGTTTTGGTAGTTGACTTCCATCTTTCACAATGACATTATTTTACATGGCCGTCGCTGTCGTTGTTGTGTGACCATGGTAGTAGCATTTTGGTGTTCACTGCAAAGTTTTTACAACCAATGGCCAACGGCCATGTCGTATTGTATCGCAAAATATTCGAGTTTTTTTTAGAGAGTCTACCAAATGGCAGCGATGTCCATGTTTCGTCATATTGGCTCATACAAGACGCAGGGACAGTACGGTTTCGGGTTCTTTTCCAGTGAATAGTACCGTAGTTGTTAGAAGGGAACAGATACAGGCCAGTGCCTAGTCGCTTGAGATTTGAAGCATTTTTTCGATGCTAGTGCAAACAAAAAAGCTACCTTGTAGTATGCAGGGTTACTGACTGTGCTTGCACTGGGAAGTGGTTTACTCCTTGTGGACAGTTCCGCTACAAGCAGCGACGGAAAACTGCCAAGCGACGCTGCAGATGCACATTCGATGCCTGACAGGGATAGGAAATTCAGGGTCTGGTTACCGCAACTTCGATTGGGTTTACGGGTGTGGCGTTGGCCGTCCGGTTCGCCATCGTAGTGGTATTCTTTGGCGCCTGCATAATGGGCTAGACGACAAGTGAAGACTGGAAGTGGGGTTTGAAGAGGTTAGAACAGAACAAGTAAAACGTCTAGGCTTTTACGAGTATCCCGTTTCCAAACCAGACAAGTCGCTGCTCTGGAATGTGGATGCACGGCATGCTCTAGCTAGTGCGCAGAATCAAGCTGCGAGCTACCAAGTCTCACGGCAAAGATGCTTGATTCCATGAAATTCCAGTAGTACGCACGGCAAATCTTCGGTGCAAGAAAACCACCTATAGCGTAGCAAGTTGGTCTTTTTGTGAGAAGGTGGAGGGTAGAAAAATGGCTCACACGGCTCGAAGCTTCTGCGGCGCTTCTTGCATCTAGTCGCCGCGTGGCAGTGCGACCAAGTGCGGCGATCACCGCCTAATGCTGACACGACCAGAGCCCGATTCGTGGTAAACGCTGTCAACGCCTCTCTTGGCAGATGTTTGCCCATCTTTTTCTTTTCCTTTTGAAAATTCCACAAAGGGAAGCACGATCAGGGTGGGCAGGGGACGGAGATGGGGAGGCGCTGCAGCTCAGTCTTGGCGCGAAGTACGTGAAGGTCGATAGACTCGACGAAGCAGAGGATTCAACCATGAGCCTTCAATGGGTCCTCTTGTTGCCTTGATATATGTGTATATGTATAAATACCGCGAGCCACGATGCGGGTTCCGCGCGACACCATGACTGTGGTACTACAGACAGCCCCACGACGTCAACATGTGGGATGCATGACCACACCACTGGCTCCTCCCAGCAAACCACTCTCCAATCGCCAGGCCTGCCAACGGGCCCCGGGACGAGATCGTGCTAGTCCGCAGCTCTACTTATGCTTTCGTGTGTAAGCGTGGGCAGTTGAGTTGTTGCTAGCGATACGACCAGCTGAGATGCGCGAATTAATTCCCGCACCCCTACCCTTCAGGATTAGTCCTCCTCTGCGGACGTCGGACGAGGTTGTTTGCAGGGAAAAAACAAGGTCCGCTGATGACTTTGGCCAAGCACGGGGGCGGAGAGCCAGTCCAATGTTTGTTGATTTACGTGAATAAATTCCTCATGGAAGAATGTAGCCGTGCTTTTATGATTAGTAGCGGAATTGCCGTCGTGTCTTATCGCCTGTTTGGGAGCCCCGACTATATGTCCCTCCCCTCTTGAGTGTTTTTCTTTGTCTCCCCTCCCATTCTATGCCCGTCCATACACAGTCTTTAAAGCGACATTTCTGATTTCGAGCCGGGGGTTTCTATCACACGGGCTTTCCCGTACCTTATACGAGGCGTTTTGTCTGTCCCAGTGTCGCTTCCAGCACTAGTTCTGCTGCCGCCGTGTTACATCGAAATTCCCTCAACTGCTGCTCTGTATACTGCCACCTCCAAGTACGCGGTCAATCGTTTACCATGTGGAAGCCTCCAATCAACTTCATCACGCTACACTGTAAGTTTGCCTACTGCAACCTGCCTTATTGACCGTCCCGTCTGGCCGGGTCCAGAGACCCTGCGCACTAACACAATACAGATGCGTACATTTTGAGTTTTGGCATTCTGACCATGATCATCGTATATCCTTACGGAAATATGAAAGCCATAGATGCATATTACTTTGGAGTTAGTGCTTCGACTTCTTCGGGCTTGAATCCGTGAGTTCCCGTATACGCGCATAGACATACACATACATACATACATACATACTAGCGAAACATTATAGGCTAATACTACTTCAGTTTTGACGTCAAGGCGCTCAAGACGTATCAGCAGGTCTGGTTCTATATCACACCTATTATCACTAACCTGGGCTTTATCAATATCGTCGTTGTTATCGTAAGGCTGCGATGGTTCAAACAAAAGCTCAAAGGAATTCGTAAGTTAGGTCAGCATCATGCTTTCTCAGATCAAAACTAAGAGACACATAGCTGCTGCAAACAAGAGACCAAAGAGTTCTAGACATTCCGTTGATCCGCGGATTCAGATCCTTGCTGATGTCTCTGAAAAGAGGGACCTCGAGGGAGGTCCCCCAGCCGAGACTGTCTCCGAAACGAAGCCTGAAGTTTCTGGCAACCAACAAAAGGATGAAACCCCAAATACAGCTCACATTACGTTTGCCCCTGACCCTCGCTACACTGTCAATGAGAAAGGCACATTGCATGTTGCAGGACCACGTGAAGGCGAGAGCGGTACGTAGATTACAACAAACTATTGTGATCGCACAACTAATACAAACACAGCACAGCCTTCCATTCCAATGTCCGATGGTAGGTGCCTACACACGCTAATGGCAATGATCTGTTGCTAAAATTAAAATTGCAGATGAAGATGATGACCAAATCAAGCCTGTTGGAGAGTTCAACAACCGGTTACGTCGCAGGCTATCTGAGACAAGAAGTATAAGCAAAGCAACCTCGATAGACCGCGCTGTCTCATCCATATTCGTCCTTGGAAGCACACCTAGTGGCCGCCGTAGTGAGGAAAAATCAAGGCAGCCATCAATCGACCTGGCTTCGCTGAGTCCAGAAGAGTTGGGTGGTGTCGAGTACCGCGCCTTGCGCGTCCTCCTCAAGGTTGTTGTCGGTATGTACATGACTGGGAAGATGATGAAAAGTTTTTTTACTAAAGATCCTAGCATACTTTTTCGGTCTGCATTTGTTTGGTGCTATTTGTTTGATACCTTGGATTCATCTCTCTCCTTTGAAGTACAAGGAATACCTCGCCTCGCAGGGTGTAGACAAGACATGGTGGTATGTAGGCGCTGAATTTACGATAATATGGCATTGCATAATAACAGTCGATAGGGCCATTTACTCATCGCAAACCATGATCGACAATTTGGGTCTCACCCTTACCCCAGACAGCATGATCTCTTTCCGCGACGCAACCTGGCCTATGCTGGTCATGTCTTTCCTCGCTTTCGCAGGCAACACATTCTATCCATGCTTCCTCCGCCTTGTCATCTGGATCATGTGGAAAATCGCCCCGAACGAGTCCTCAACCAAAGAGTCTTCGAGATTCCTGCTTGATCATCCTCGCAGGTGTTACACGCTGCTGTTTCCCAGCACTGCGACCTGGATTCTCACCGCTATCCTCGTCTTCTTGAACTTTGTCGATACCCTTCTTATTGTCACCCTGGACCTGGATAACACCGAAGTCAACGTCCTCCCCGCCGGCCCCCGCATTCTCGCCGCCTTGTTTCAATCCGCATCATCGCGCCACACGGGCACCTCGACATTTAATCTTGCCAATGTTAACCCGGGTGTACAATTTAGTCTGCTGGTCATGATGTATATTTCCGTCTACCCCATTGCGATTAGTATCCGTATGAGTGAAACCTACGAAGATAAGTCGGTGGGACTGTACGCGGCAGACGAGAGCCCCGATGATAATACCGACAGCAAGACCTATCTAATCAATCACCTGCGCAACCAGTTGAGTTTCGACCTGTGGTATATTTTCATGGGTGTTTTTTGTATTTGCTGTTCTGAAAGTAAGAGAATTATGAGCCATGAAGATTGGGTAAGTCTCTCCTCTCGATTACGTCGCAATAAGGAAGATGCTAACTCAACGTGCCCACAAACAGGCCTTTTCAGTTTTCTCGATATTTTTTGAAGTCGTCTCAGCATACGGAAATGTCGGGCTTTCCTTGGGGTACCCTACGAACCTTGCTTCGCTATCCGGTCAATTCAGCGTATTTGGCAAACTGGTCATTTGTGCTATGATGTTACGTGGAAGGCATAGGGGTCTACCTTACGGACTCGATCGTGCTATCAATCTGCCAAATGACCTTGTCACCAAGGACGAACAGGAGAGATATAAGGATTTTGACACCCAAGGAACTATCACAAGTGATGGGATGGAGAGAAAAGAAGAAGGAAAATTCAAAAAGGGCAAGAGATTGATGAAGAGCCTGACACAGTGATTTGAGTAGACTTTTTTTTTCTATTGGGGAAAAGAGAGGACACCATCTGTTTTCTTTCCATGTTACGTCTTCGACGTTAGATCGATTTAAACGTAGGAACATGACGATTGCACACCATCACGTAGAAATTCTCAGAAGGACTCGTCACGACAACGACCAAGAAATTTAACAACCATTCCATCCATTTCTTTTCTTCCGCAAAAACAATAGTTAGCTAACAATAAATCTTTATGGATAACAACAACTGTAACAGGAAACTCCGCCAACTTACCGTTTATACCCATCCCCCTCTTGTATAAATCATCCATTCCACCCCCTCTCCTAAGCAAACCTTACCCTGCTCCCCTCCCCCTGACTCTCTCTCACGGACTGTTCACTCCTCCCCCCGGCAGCCCCCACACTCCCCACCCCATAACTATAGTACCCACGCAAATTGTCCTCCGTCCACCCACTCTTTTCCTTCTCCTTCTCATCCTCCTTCGCACCCTCCTTCTCATCCCCCACCCACGGCTCAAAATAGCTATACTCATCCGAATCCACCGGCGCCAGAGCACTCATCCCGTACTCATTCGCCTGCCCAGCCGGCGTCGACGGCATGCGAATACTGAACCCGTACTCATCGCGCTGGATGGCCGGTTGAGGGCGCGACCAGGGCGAGGGGTACTCGAAACGAGAGGTTCCGAGCGGACTTACGGGGGATCTGGGGGTTGTGGTTTGGGACGAGCGGCGGCGCCGGGTTTCGACATAGCCGTGAGAACTCCTGGGGGGTGAGCGGATGGATATGCTACTGTGGCGGCGATGGCGGCGGGAGGAGGGAGTCGTCGTGGTGATAGTGTGGGTTGTGACATGGGGTTTTTGGGGCGCGGTGGAAAGCCTTACTTCCGCAATGTTGTAGCTGCGCGTTGTGGGCTGCACGATATAGGGCTTGGGTCTGGACTCAGGTTTTCGTGAGTGGTGGGGAGATGGGGGGTCTCTGCTGCGATGGTCTTGTGCCTGCTTGTGGCTGCTACCTTCACCGGAGGGTTTCTGTACGTCGGGCTTCTCGCTGGGGCGTCTTCTAGAGCCAATAGGGATCTTGATCTTCAACGATATACCCATGATAGCTAGTTTTTCTTTTATATCGGGCTTGTGTTTCAAGTTTGGATCAAGTTGGTGGCATTGGTGCTTTTGTTATATGACTGCTAATTCTTGTGGTTGAATGGTGGATCTCTAAGGGAAGAATATGGAATCAATAATAAGTACGGTCATGATATATTCTTTCGTTGAATAATGCTGTGAGACAATGTTTGTGGTGAATGAACACATATGTGGTACAGTTTTGTGAGCTAACAGCGAGTAGAATGTGAAAGTGTGGGAGCATTGTAAACGGGTCAATAGATCGTGTGAGTATACACAGGTGGATTGTTTGCTTGTAGAGAATTGATTGAACAAGACAAAGGTGATACATCGTGGATTCTTTGCTTGTCCCTGGCATACTTCACTTAATACAATGCACCCTGGCAGATCGAATTGTCAATTTCGACGACATGATAAATGGAATGTCAAGTTAGTGAGACATGAGTCACTGATATGAACAAGGACAGCAATACTTTTGAATGCTGTTATACTGGTGTATTTAGCGTCGGTGAATTATATTTCTACTTCGCTTTTCTACTTCGCAACACTCTACCTTCACCAATAGCGCCATTTTCGTCATGTTCAATCTCGTCACGTTCGTCTAAATCATCATTTTCATCTTCTGCATCCCCTTCTTCTCCCTGGCTGACGTCATCATCTACAATTTCACCCTGTCCGACAATTTCGTTACTGCGACCTTCCCTTTCCTTTATTCGAAGCACCTTGATCTTCCATATGCGCTGTTCCATCCGAAGTCTCAACTCCTCCATCTCCTTTCTCTCTTTGACTGTCGCATTAACTGGTATGCTAGGCAGGTTATCCAGATTCATCTCGAGATCTTCATCATTGTCTTTTCCATTCCCAAGTGTACCCTCGGGTACAGCTCCACTGGCTGCTCCAGTACCATTCGATAACAACAAAGGATCGGCAGCGACATCATCTAAATCGCGCTGCCAGTGCGGTACACGGACAGGATACTGCTCAAGCCTAGAGAGTCTCTTTTTCTTCCGCTCTTTTTGCTCCGTCTTCTCAGGCTCCAAGTCAGAGAGAAAACCGGTGTCATCCGGTGCCCGGGGATCGGGATCTTGCTGTACCACGCTTGGTCTCTCTATGGCAGAGAGATCGAGCATAGCTTCATCTTCCACCTGTCGCTTCTTGCCTCGAGTGGCTTTTGCTTGAACTAGCTTCTTTGGCGGAGATGCTGTAGGATTCAAGTCGACCTTCAGAGGACGGACATGAGTGAGATACTGATATTTTCCGCCTGGAAGAGGTTCAGAAGAGCCCTGTTCTTCGTCTTCTTCTTCTGAGTCTACAACAGGTGCCACAGGTGTTTTGGGCAATTCTACGACTTCTGTTTGAACGTCACCTATCAACTCGGCTTCTTCTTGAGCGGTTTTTGCCGCGTCTGCTTCTGCAATCTCTTTTTCATACTCTTTCAAAACAGCTTTGAGGTCTGTTACTTTTATCCACCCCACCTTTCCAGCTGCTGTCCCATTTCGCTCTTGTCGCGCTTTGATTGTACGCCTGGCCTTTGCTCGAAAGTCCTGGATGGTGGCATTCGGTATGGCAGATATCTGACTTAGGAGTGTAAGAATTCCAATATCCCATTGTGTCGCCTCGAACTGCTTGTTGGGCCATAGTGCTCTAGGCAAACATTCATGGACGCGATGAATTTTCCAGTTTTTGGTGATGGATCGGATATTGTAGGTGACAGAACTTGATGGTTTAGATGGTTTAGATGGTGCCATGGTCACACCAATGAAGAGGCAAACTTAATACGTCTTGCTGATTGAGCCGATTTGTTGTAGACGAAGTTTTAATGTTAGGCAGTCCGAAGTGTTCGTGGGGCAATATTATTCTGCATATAGATAGCATGGTGATGATGCAGACGACAAGGCTCGGGGCGCCAACTTGAAATAGTAGAGGTGAAAGGCGGTAGGTGCGTGGCTGACTCGCAGACGCTAGCATCTAGAAACGGCTAGCCAAACATGTCCAGCAGCATCCTTGTGCGGCGCCCCCAGCTTGAATGACATGAGATACTGAAGGAATAAAATACTAATACGTGCAATGTCCGCTATGACTTCGCATACCTGGACCTATGTGGCAGCGGGCCAATGATGTCATCGGAATTATCGGGCCGCGCTTAGCACTCAAGTCTGATACGCTAAGTTCTGTGCATAATGCTGGATGGGCCATTCATGGTCTGGCATGTTGAGGAGAAACATTTGTTTCCTTCTGAATTCCTGAACACTTCATGTTTCCATAGAGATGCCTCCAGATGTTGTACAATCGTGTCGCGTGTATGATACAGATATATAGCACAAAGCTGAGGAGAGTGTGAACGCCGCCCGCTGCCGAACCTGACTGCGGTATATGCCAAAAAATCCCATAAACACCGCCCGCCCACCCGTCATACTGCCTCCTTTTTTTTTAACGAATCAAGCCGTGCTTCAGAAAACGTAATCATTGAATGGCATCCTCTACGCAGCTACAGCCATGCCGCCGCTACCAGGTGATGCTCCAGCGTCGCTTGGTGGTGGTGGGGGAGCGTCAAGCCTTGTGTTGTCTGCCATCATACGGTTGAAACCAATTGAGACGCCCTCAATGACTGCTAATAGGATGGCACACGATATCGCGCCATTGCGCATCGATTTGTAGCCTCCTCGCACCGCAAGCGACCCACCCGTGAAGAAACCAGCGATGATGGCATTCCATGGGTCCTCCTTCTTCCGGATTCCCTTGACGGCGCAGTCATATGTGTTGAAAAGACCTCCCCAGACACCAAAATTGCCGCCGAGGACTGGCGCGCGGGCTTTGATCGCTGTGATGGCGCCTATGCGTCGCTCGCCGTAGGGTGAATTGCGGAACTGGTCCCTTTGTTAGCGCAGCATTCTAGGACCAATGATGATACTTACGCCTTTAACACCATGCCATACTGCTCCCCCGACTGCCTGATATCCGATTAGTATATGCGCCGTACATGCTGCGTCTAGCATGACATACACCCATGGCGAAGGCACCGCCGAAGTCATTGAGAATGACCCACGGACAAGGATCGCGCGAATGATCCATTGTGTATTATTACTGCAGAAAGAATGGTGGCGGGGCCGAGAGGCGGATGTAGAAAGAGTGCTGGCGAACTTGAGGTAGGATGGTAGGCACTGGTGACGATGTGCTTCGACGTTTTTCTCTCGAGGACCCTGGCCGGATTGGCGCTAGCGGCGAAACCTCGGGGCTGCCTTTACTTACAACGTCTTATGCCAATCTTCCATTGTTCCTTCTATCCTCAGTTTCTGAGCACCACTTACCATCAGTCTTGAACGCCATCTATATGACATAATCATGCGTGCATTCAGTATAGGATGGAAATTGACATGGAATGTTCAGGCATCGCCTACGCAATGGCTAGAGCAATCTCTCGCCGGATTGTCATGTCCCTCTACCCTGCTGTCTCGTTTTCACTGTTCACTTTCACTTTTCTTTGTGTCCTGCGCGCCCAAACTTTGCGTCAACTTGAGCTACCTGACAAACGCAGGGTCTTGGCACAAACTTTCGCACTCTTATCAGTCCAACTGAACCCACATACTTACCTTCTCACTACCTTTGTCTTCTGCTCATCACTCTGAATCTTTGTCACGATGACGGCCGGTACACAAAGTGAGAAGCAAGATGGCGGCCCTCTGTCCAGTGAGGATGTTGAGCCGACCCATCTACCAATCCGAGGAAATAATCACCAAAAGAGTTCTTCCGAGACACCCGAGGTAGATGTGCTGGGACTGCACATGAAGGAGGTTATTTCGACAATCAACCGACTCGAAAGTCTTGGTTTACAGCGAATGGACATCCCCTTGCCAAAATGCGTTGTTTTGGGTAACGTTACCTAACGAATTAGCACATGGCATTTCACTGACATTTGACCAAAGGTGAGCAGTCTGCGGGAAAGTCATCCGTCATTGAGGCGATATCGGGCATCAAGACTCCTAGGTCTGACGACACATGCACCCGATGCCCTTTGTATATATTAAACTAGAGCCCTCGGAAGATCCCCGCGCTAGTTGGAGCGCAAGCGTGAGCCTTCGCCGCAGCTTCAGCTATGACGGCAGAACTGGCCGAGGAAGCGAGAGACGGTTTCGCGGTTGGTGCGAGCTGCCGCAGCCAATTCTCGTACCGTTCGCAACTACGGATAATCCAAACGAGCTGGAGCATATCATTGGTCGCGCGCAACTCGCAACCATCAGTCCTCTGATCGACTACCAGGAGTTTCTCAGTTCATCCTTCCACCTTGGAGAGCATCAAAGGTGTGAGTTCAGCCCAAATATTGTCTGCATCTCAATCAGCCAGCCGGGACTGCCGGCACTAAGCTTCTACGATTTGCCTGGCATTATCGGACAAGCAGAAACTGAGGACAAAAAATTTCTCGTCAAGTTCGTACGTGATCTGGTCACAGAATACGTTCGCGACCCCGAAGCTCTTATCCTTGTATGTTGCTCTCTGGAGACTGACATTGCCAACTCAAGTGCTGGTGGTATAGCAAGGGACTTGAAAGCAATTGATAGATGCATTGGTGTTCTTACTAAACCTGATCGATTGCCAGCAGGATCGCGTCACGATAAACTGAGAGAAGTTTTTGACCAAAAGAGATTCTCTCTAGGTTATGGATATTTTGTTGTCAAGAATCCCGGCCAAGATGAGATCAACCAGGGAATCAGCCATAGAGAAGCTCGCACACGAGAGGAGCATTTCTTTCGCGAAGATGCAACTTGGTCTAGTACATTCAAGTCGTACGCAAGTTATTTTGGCACACTAAATCTTCAAGCATTTCTTTCCAAAACGCTCGCGGAGCAGATGATCAAGCGCCTACCAACTATTGACCAGCATATTTCTGAACGTCTCTCAAGGGTGGAGCAAGAACTCAAGCAATTTCCAGAGCCAGCTACAGCTAACGCATCTCGGGTTATGTCAGACATTATCCTTGACTTCTCCCAGGAGGTACGCAGAGAGATTGAAGCTGAGTTTCCACACAAAGAATGGAGGAACAATTGGAAGGCTCTTCAGAAAACTTTCTTTAGTAACTTAGAAAGCATGAAGCCAGCTTTGAAGCTTCGCGGAGCTGACGATGAATCTGTGTATCTCGACATTCAGGCAGCACTCCCTGGTGCCTCGGCGAAGGCGCCGATTTCGTTATCTGATGATGAAGACGGTAAAAACTCTGCTGAAGATAGCGATATGTCCAACAAGTCTCCAAAGAAGAAGCGAAAGATAGACAAAACGCCGAGCCATCAGGAGGGTTCAGACTCTACAGACTTCAAGAATCTGAAGATAACGTTCGAACTTGACGCAGTTCGGGAATACTTGGCAGAAAATTCGCAGTCCAAGGTTCCTGGCCAGATTGAGCCGCGCGTCATCGATACTATGATGCTGACAGCGATTCAACGCTGGGACGAGCCAATACACCATTTCTTGAGCAATCTCCAGGAGCAAGTTCACAGCCAGATCCAAGAATTGTTCAAGAAGCACTTTGGGAATCGCAAAGGATCCATGTTCCACTACAAGGCGTGGGATATCCTTCAGAAACTAATCGTACCCAGTTACGACATGGCACACGATAGCCTCAACGACGAAAAGCAGGGCCCATACATTTTCCATGAGGATCTCTTCGAACGCGAGAAGAGCGCAATGCTAGAGTATTACCAGCAGCAACGTCTCCAGAGTCGACTTGCTCTGTACAAGCGAAAGAAGGAGCAACATACAAAGAAGCCGTTCACCTCCGCTGAAGAAGAACGAGTCAAGAAGAACTCTATGCCTATTCTAGCGCACGAGCCTTATGCCCGCGAGATTGGCGTTGTTGCACAGGTTACTACGTACTACATGCTCGCCGCTTACCGCTTCCACGATGCTGTCTGCATGCGTATCGAGTCCAAGTTCCATAGGGAGCTGTGTACGCAGCTTCGTGATGAGCTAGAAAACGGCCTGGGCATACGGAATGACGCTGAAGGTAAGAGAATCTTGGTTATGGAATCGCAAGGTACCATTCAGTACGGCAAAGCTAATTTTGTGTGCGTAGGCTATCAAAATGCGAAACACCTCCTTGCTGAACCGACCGATCGTTACAAGCAGCGCATAGACCTGTTGGGGCAGCGCAAAGCCCTACTTCAAGGTCAAAAGATTCTTCAGGATCTTCAGCGCAAGTATGGCAGCGCTGGCATGCCTGCTGAGGAGAAGATGGAAGGTGTTGAAGATACATTGTAGCTTCGTGCGTCTCGTCTACTTGAAGACGTATCTTGCACATGTGTAAGGTTACACCGTCGTAGCTCCGGGCATCTCGTCTACTTGAGCATATCCGTTACGTGTACAAGGCTGCGTTGTCGTATGTTGCTAAAAGAGCAAAGCGGATAGCTGAGTAGCAGGAATTGGTTGGCAAAGTTGGGCAGTAGGTAAATGGAGGAGAAGAAGAAGAAGAAGAAGAAGAAGAAGAAGAAGAAGAAGAGAGAATGACAGAGACAGAGTGGCTCAGACGTGGCAACGACGTAACGGATCGAGCAGTTTGGGCCTTGACATGCGGGGATTTCTCAACTTGACTTGCGGGGATTTCTCGACTGTGCAACGGTAAGCGTCGAGGGGCAGAGAAATTACACAATACAAAATTAACATGCGTTGCCAGCTCCCCTTCCCTTGATTTGATGACCACGATGAACTGCTAGACTAAACCAGAATTTTAGGCCCAACAAACACCACTCTTAGTCAAGCACAAAAACACATGGGATGCATTGTCAACATCATCATGTAAAGCCCGGATCCAGCCGCTGCTTCATCCAAGTTCCCACCTCCTCAACCCGTGATTTCCACCCCGGATTGTCATCCTGCTGACTCCACAGCCCGATTCCCCAGTGTGAGCTCACCTGGACGCGGCCGTGGGCGTATTCTTCGTAGTGCTTCTTCTCGGCTGCATCGAACCACCGCGATCGCCCTGTATGCGCTTTCATCGTCTGACGGGCGATACTTCTACGTACCATTTTTGCGAGCTCGAGCGAGCTATCGGACAGTGGACTTTGCAAGCCAGTGGTAATGTTCCAGACTGGGAGGGTTAGGCGAGTGCCAGCCTGGGGATAGTTACGAGCGTATGCACGACACCGGTTCAAGTACGGCAACGGCTGTGGTGTTTTAGCATTCTCACCAAAGGTGGCATAGTGGCTGAGGGCCATCTGAGTCTCCATGTCAAGAATCTCGTCGGGTTGCTGCGACGCAAAGATGTGGTCTGGTTGTGGATAGATCAATTGGGCATGGGGGGAACGGAAGAAATGGATTGGAGAGGCAAAGCGATCGAAGTAGTCATCTGGGCTTGTGAAGAGGACATCACGCTCTCCAGACAGAGTCAGGGTGGGTATGACGGTGTTGTCACCGTGGGCTTGCCAGGAAGAAAGTTGCTGGGCCTTTGACGAAGGCCGCTTGCGAGACTTGCGTTCAGACTTCAAAACATTACGAGTGGCTTCCTGCAGTGCCAATGAGCCGGCCAAGTCCTCATCGGCAGGGAGCGCTGTTTCATCACCGTTTATAGGTTCTTGGAGGTCCTCGGGGTGCACAACAGGGAGCTCGTCCGGAAACACCCAGTCGACGAGGGGGTTGTTCACGGCCGCAGCACCGATACGGCTCTCTCCAGCATGGCACTCGGTCAAGGCCAGCATCGTAGCTAGAGAGCCCCCGACGAGTTCTCCACATACGCCAAGACGAGCTAGATAAGGTCTGTTAAATGCATCAACAAGCAGATGCTCGCGCACCCAGTCGTAGCCGGTCAATACATCGTGGCATGGCGTGGGATACTGATGTACTGATGAAGCGCGGTAGTTGATGCGGACGACTGTTGCAGCGCTTGCAGCGGCTAATGTTGTGATGAGACGGTGTTCGTCTTCTTCGGACTGTGGGAATACAGGACCAGGAGGAAGATAGATCAAGATGGGGGCAGCAGGCTTGGGGGCGCGGAAAACGCTACAAGGGTCAGTCAGTCGAGTAGGCGAATGATAATACGAGGGATTCTCGTGCGGAATTCTAGTGGCTTGACGTGGAGTGAGAATGTGGAGAAAGTGCAGCAAGTGGCATTGGGGTAGTAGTGATTGCCTGAGCGAGTCGTGGGCAAGGCGGAAGAGCGACCAGGGCTAATAGGCCGGTGTGAGGTCATTGCACATGAGGGAGGCCTATCTGAGACCATGCATGGTCAAGACAAACAAGATGCAGCAACAGAACAACGTCATGTGCGCGAAGACAAGACGGGAGAAGAGACTCACTCAACCGTCACGATGCCGTTGGACCGACAGGGAACATCGACTTGTTCATGTGGCGCTGGGCCTGATGCTGCTGAGAATGGCCGGGGCTTAGAAGCGCCCAGACGCGCGTAGTAGGCGGGCCGTAGTCGCGGGGGTCGCAGAGCAGAGGCAGCCTTTTGACAGATGCGTAGCGGCATCAAAGGTGGGCACACAAGCGAGAGTGGCAGTGGTCAGGCGATGGTCTGGATTGTATTGGTTTTGGGAGGGAGGGTGTTGGTGAAAGGCAGCTGGCTGGCTGGCAATGGCTGACACATGCAAACTGCAGCGGGCGGCCTTTTGGGTGGGGGGAGGCCAAAAGAGCGGTCGCAATCGTGGGAAAATAAGCGCGGCGGGCGGGATGCGATTCGAAGAGTGCGATGATATGATGGCTAGAAAATGGGCCTGGCTGGGCGTTGGCCATTTTGATTGTCGCAAGACGGGCTTGTTCAGGGGAAGGCGTGGGCGGGGGCAGAATGTGGCGCGCGTTCTGCAGCCAAATTACTTAGTTCAGCTGGGCGCTTTCTTCTCTCCCCCGAACAGAACTCAGCGCAGCGAGGGCAGGAGCTTGGCTGCACTGCACTGCCCCTACCCAACGCCATCCTTTTGCCCACTGTGCTTTGTCCAAAAAAACAACCCCTCAGTCAGTCTGCCCGCGCCCGCCGCCATCGGCCTCACTCCCTCGACTCCTCGCGTCTATACCCATATGCGCAATCGTCGATAACACTATAATATCCCGCAGAGTGGACCCTGCGCCTGTGCGACTCCACCCGTGGTTCAAGCATACCCTTTCCTCGCCGCTCCACCCAGCGCGTCTCCTTAACACCACCATCTGACCGCCTATACGATCCTTTTACCACTTGCACCGCTGTCTGCAAGTTGCCAACCCTCCAAGCCTGCTCCAACACCGTACCTACATTGGCAGCCCTGCACAACCACCTGCGAACTCTACCCACACAGGTCGTTGCCTGTCGGCCTGTCGATATGGCTCAAGTATCTAGGCTCCGTGCAACCTTGACGCTGCTCAAGAACCTAGTGCTGGCTGCACTGCTCTATGGAGCCATATACGGCTTCATTACTTTCGTCAGCGACCCCTCGGTCGCGGCAAAGGGCAAAATCGGCATTCCCGCCTTCCTCGACAAGGCTGGACCAACAGAGCTGATCGAGACCACCCGCTCCGGCGTCAAGGTCAAATTTGCCGGCACCACAAAGACCGTCACCATCAACCCGCACGCCAATGTCTTCAACCGTCCCATTACCGCTGTCAAGAACAAGGACGCCTACCTGGGTCCTCGCCCCCACGTCGACACCGAGGCCGACATCGACATGTTGATTGAGGAGTGCAGGGGCACATATGCTGGTATCGAGAAGATGAGGAAGCCGTTTGACTGCCTGAAGTTCTTTGCCGAGGGAGAGGATCGCTACTACAGCCTGCCTGCTGCCACCGACCGAGCAAGCGCCCAAGATCCCCGCAAGGCAGACTTTATAAACGCAGACGGGCACGGAAACACATTGGACAAATACACCCCCGTAAAGGATGCGGTCGCTGCCAATGGCACCGACATTGGAACTTGCCCTGGCCCAATCATCCCGTATCACGTCTACTGGACTGGCCCAGCTACTTGGCGAGTCGAGGTCTTCATCAAGAGTTATCTGTACACCCAGAACCTGGCTTGCTCTCGTTTGTGGTTGTGGCTCGACAGTGACCGCAACCCTAAGGCTGTTTACAACATGCTCAACAAGGACGCTCTCTTTGCCCGCTTCTTGCCTCTGGTAGAAAGAGGTGACATTGTTGTCAAGGCTTGGAACTTCCCTAGCCGCATTCCACTGGCTACCGACAAGGAAAACAAGAACGGTTTCAACTACTACAGCAAGCCCGGACTGCCCAACGCAAAGGGTGAAAAGGACGTGGCCGAGAACATTGTTGAAGACAAGCAAGGACAACAGTGGCTCGTACTGACGCAGAAGCAAATGACCTTCCTCCCTGTCGCCGTCTCTGACGCAGTCCGCTTCATTGTGTTGCACATCTACGGCGGTGCCTACTTCGACATGGATGTACTCATGCTCAGGGATATGCGTCCGCTCCTTTTGCCCAAGGAACACGCTTTTGCTGAGCGATGGGCTGCTCACCCCCATCCAGGCGACTACAACACGGCTATCATGTCCCTTTCCGCAAACTCTTCGCTTTCTTCCTATCTGCTTTATGGCGGTATTCGCATGGGTGTCAACTTCCACCCCCGTGTCCTTGGTCGCATGGCATGGAAGGACGGACGTGATCAGGAATTCAAAATGTTCGAGACCGCCGCTTTCGATCCCATCTGGACGGAATTCAACTGGGATCGTGAGGGTCGATGCACCGTTCCATGCATTCGTGATTACAGCGCTGTGTTCAAGGGCAAGATTGGCGGAATCCGCGATGAATGGGAGAGCTACGATGGACCACAGTTGGACCGCATTGATCTCAAAGATGCGCAGCGCAAGGAGCTGAGTTCCGCTACTAAGAACGAAAAGCGTGACCAAGACAACGTGCCAGCGTCTGCAGCAGCGCAGACTCCTAGCCACGGTGACAAACCGGGACACCATGATTCGTTCCAAGCTACGCTCGACGAGGAGGCTGAGCTCCGCAAGGCTGGTGTCATTTCAGACTATGTCCTCGAGGAAGACAAGTTCCCACCAAACAACCGCACCCTTGAGAACTTTTTCCGTGGCGCATGGACCTACCATATCCACAACCAGGTGAGAATCTTTACCCGCATTACCAGCATGAACAAAGACCAAGACTGACATAAATTTTCACAGTGGATGAAACATCCTGAACCCTCATCATGGCTTTCAGTCCTCGAACACGCACATGACGGCTTCATTGCCGGCAAGCGCACCAATCCTTATGGCGAGAAATGGACCGGCCCCAGCATCATGCCATACAACTACTGGCCAGAGTACGTATGAGCTTGTTGATTCCCATGGCCATTTTCGACCACGCCTTCCTCCTTTTCACGTCATCGAGTTTACACTCTCGGGCGAGCAAAAGGTCGCCGTGCCGAGTTTGTTCCTCTCCACACCTGCTGTACACTGATCCCCCGTCCTATGACAAGTACCTCAAGCGAGGAGATCACAGTCTCGTGGATGCGCCCTCTTCTCGGCGTGTGCTCCGCCAATGATCAAACACGACTGCAATGTCATGTACGACCATGAAGAAAAAAAGATCAGGAGCCAATGGCACCATATCGGACAAGTATCCATTCTACCATTCAGCCTCTGGCAAGGTGTCATTTTTTTTTCTCTGGCGCTTAGGACACTCATCGTAATTATCACCTTTGACTCCTATCACAACATTTCTAGCACTCGTTTTCGAACATGGCGAAACATATACCCTTCGTTTGTTTTTTTCATTTGATATATACATTCTTCTTCACTTTTTTTGCTTCATTTTTCTTCATCGAAGCGGAAACTTTTGGGGCGGTCCTCTCTAGGTTGTGTTTTGTATTAAGAGAAGCATGGGTTGAGGTGTTGTGGGAGTAAAAAGAGAAACGCAAACGGAATTAAAAGCGAGAGAATTTTATTTATGATCGTAATAGAGATGAATTGAGATGATATTCAAGAGAACTTGCGTACTCGATCTAGCTGCTTGGTGTGTGAGACTCAAGTTTGATGTTATATTCGATCCTATTATTGGTCACAAACTCCATATTTTTTGGTCGTCCATGGATATGCGCCATTCGCCCTTCACCCGGTCAATATTCTTCATGGCTCACCTTAGTCCTATCTTGGTCAAGGCCAAGCCAGTAAAAAAAAAGAGGAAGAAGACGTGAACATCACCAGCAAAAGACAGTTTTCAAAAGTGTTCCATATTTCAACAAAATAAGCAAGAGTGCCCCGCTATGAGTGTTCCTCAAAGTACTTTCTCCCTCTTGCTTAAAAAAAATACTCCCATACGTAGTCACTCTCTAAAAAATTACAAATCAATCAGAGGCTCATCAGCCACCTTTGCTTGCTGTGCAGGGAGCTGGTTCTGAGGCGCAGACGGGAAACTCTCGGGCCCGTAGCCTCCAGTGGCGTACGGTGCTGGCTGCCATCCAGACGTTTGCGGCTGTTGCTGGTGGGATGCTTGATGTTGTTGCTGTTGCCAGTACTGCTGTTGCTGTTGCTGTTGCTGTTGCTGTTGCTGTTGCTGGGGTACCTGAGGTTGCTGTTGAGCAGGGGCTTGCTGTTGAGGAGCCTGCTGTGGTGGACCTTGGTTCTGGTTCTGATTTTGTTGCCAATTTGGAGGCTGATCCTGTTGAGGATATGGTGGGTTTTGCCAGGCAGCAGCGGGCTGCGAGGGCGGTGAAATAGGTGTCTGCTGTGGCGGTGCCCGAGCATATGCTTGGGGAGAAGGAGGTTGTTGCTGTTGTTGTGAAGGCTGAGAGCCATAACTTTGCGTCCGTTGCATGGGGGGCTGTGAAGGCTGTGCCGTATTGCTTTCTCCATAGTAGTAGCTGGCACTATCTGCATCTGATACTCCCGATGGTGGCGCTTGAGAAGGATACTGCTGGTTGGACATTTGACGTTGTAATTGTGGTGACGAAGGTTGTTGGTAAGACGTGCTTGGCGGTCGTTGGGCCAGGTTTGGATATGGTTGTGATGGTTGTTGATACTGCTCATTAGGTGGGGCGTAGGATGCGGGCCGTTTGTCGAACTGAGGATAGGGCTGTTGTTGGGGCTGGTAGCCTCCACCATACTGTGACTGAGGCTGTCCATACGCGCCCGAAGGAGGTGCATTTCCCGTGTAGTAATTTTCACCAGCAGCATCTGGTGCACCTGACTGTATACTAGGATAGAGATTTGACGCCGGCCGTTGGGCAGAGGGAGGCAGTCCATACATGGTGTTGGCTTGGTTGTATGTGCTCGACAGTCTTTCCTCAAGCATGCGATCATAGTAACGAACAACGGTGGAGAGCTTGGCATGCAGATCAAGTAGTGTATCTATAATTGTCAGTGTGCGATCTTGTGATAGTTGAACAGTACATACCATGCTTGCTCATAGTCTCGCCGTAGGTACGCGCAAGCTTCGGCCTCAGTTTGCCAATGCTCTCGTATAGCTCTTGTATCTGCGGCTCACGGAGGATTGTGCCAGGGGGCTGATGTTGTAGGCGGTCGACTAGAGTAGAAAACAAATTGATATTCTCGGCCTCAACAGGCGTCAATTCGTAGTCGTTCTTGGGTGCGACGAAGGGGGTTGATGAATTGGCGTTGGAAGCCTGCTCTCGGAAGGTTGTGGAGTACTTCCTCTTCTGTTCTTCCATATCAGCCAAGGAGGCCGCGATAGCAGCGGCCAGATCGGCGTCCTCCTCCTCCTCGGGCTGCTTCTTGGAAGTTGCATTTGTAGACTTGGATTGTGACAGTTGCGGCTGGGACACGAAGCCAGAAGAACTGTTTCCCTTAGCCTCATCCAGGCTCATCTCCAGGGCTCGCTTAAGATCTGCATCGAAGCTGTCCTCTATGCGGGCGTTTCGCGGTTCCATTGAGCCCTGATATAATGTTCTCTGGGGCCTGTGGGCATCGAACACTCTGGGAAGGTGTGCCCCTCTGGACTTTTCGGTGAGTTTGGCATGGCAGCCATCGTCGACGCGCACAGGGTCCATGATGCCGAGGTGGGGTAGGGGGATGTTCTTGCTCGAACAGGCGCCACAGAAGACATTTCCGCAGTTTCGGCAGTGGTGCTTTCGGTTGGTGAAGGTGAAAGCGGTGCGGCATCGCATGCAGACGTCCGAGTCGGTCCACTCTGGGGGCTGCAGCAAGCAAGATGGGTTAGTACTAGGGGAAACGACTGGCATGTGACAAGAAAGCTTACCGCACTGCTATCGAGCATACTTCCGGTAATGTTCTCCTTTGGAGGGAAGTGGTAGCCTTCGCGCTGTAGGCTCTGGTAAACCTCGTTGATGTAGCCCAGGTTTGTGCGCCCTTCTGCAGCTATTGCCCAGGACTGTATCAGCTGGAGCATCTTGTTCTTGACATCGTGGTTGGGTGCGACGGAGGGGGGTGCCTTGAGTAGGGAAGTCATGTTGTCGAGGAACTCGCGAGAAGCTATCTCTTGGATGAAGTGAGCGCCGCCGTTCTTCACGCAGGTGTCTGTGAGCTGGAAAAAGGTCAGCAAATACGGGTCGCGTAGCAGGAGGGGTTCGGTGTACATTCAAAGTTGCGAGCTGGACGTTGGGGTTCTTGTGCCCTATCCTCTTCTTCAGTGAGCGCATGGCGTCTTTAGGCTGCACTGTCTTGGACCGAATCACGTCGGATATCTCGAGATTGAGTGGCATATCCTCTCTGCCATATGTTAGCCGACGATGCAAGCGCCAGGCGAAGAGTAGGCCATGCATACAAGCTTGAAGAGGTTGCGCGCTCAATCTGCTCGTCGAGCGCGCCGTTGGCCGAGGACCCGAACCAGCCCGCCATGGTGTTGGTGATGCAGCTGCGTTGCCAGCGGCGGTCTTGTTTTTTTCTTGTTTTCTTTGTAGGGTTGCGGTGAAAATCAAACACGAGACGCTGATGCACCGGCCTCTGTTGACGGTGAATTGGGCGTAGGAGTGTTGTGGCGCGGCGCCTGTGGTGGTCGTGGGCGTGGTCAGGTAGCAAGCTGAGGTCCGAGGCGGGAGTGCTTGGCTGATGACGCCCTGTGGCGGAGACCCACGAGCCGCATCCACAACGATGAGACCTATGCCTGCAACCCTGGCCGTCCCAAACACCACCGTTGCCCTGTGCCTCACCCACGCCCGCCGCCCTCGCCCTTTAACTCCCCCAACCCGCTCCTCTTCGGTGTGCACTCCAGCCACGTACGCAGCAACAATCTCTCCGCTGCTCCAATTCACTCGTCTCCGCCCCTCGCCTACGGGTCGACGCGCTCCGCCCCGACTCCGCCCCGCTTCCCCGTCATCGTTGCCAGGACGGCCCAAAGATACCCAAGCAAACGCCGCCGTCGACGGGGCCTCTTGAACATGCGAGTGCCCAACGCCTAAAGAGATAGTACGAGTGCGGCTGCCCCTCGGCCGCCCTCGCTCCCCCCGTCTGCCAACACCATGAACGGCTATCCCAACGGCGCAGATGCATCGAGGAACGGCCATGGGCAAGCCGACTCGCGCGGGTCTGGTGGCTACCCACCCATTGCAGAGATTATTGCCTCTGCCACAGACACGGCCGAGTCGCTCAGAAACCATTCGGTACTCTTGCAAAGACTCCCTCTGTGTGCATGTCCGCGTTCACTGACTGTCCTAGATCCGTAACTTGCTGGAACGGGCGCGGACACACTTCAACTCTGCCAAGACAATGCTCAACAACCGCATCCCTGCCGGAGCATACTGGGAGTATATGGTCGCCTACCAGATTATCGTCGACCTGATTCCCTCACACCGCGACTACTATGACAAGATCAGCAACAGCCGGAGCCAGGCTCACCGCGACTTCAACGACCTCATGCGAGATATCAAGTCGAGCGAGGAGCGATTCATGCGCATCAAGGACATTATCAAGAATGACAACAAGCGCCATGGCGGCCACCACAGGGCTGCCTCCCTACCTACAGGTCCTAGCCCACACTCCCGCAGTGGTTCCGTCACGCCACGAAAAGATGATGAGTTGATGCTGCCTGAGGTGCCCACGAACCTGCCAAACGGCCGCGCTTCACCTGCTGCGCCCTTGGATTCCTCTTACAGAAAACCTATGGTGCATCCAAAGCCCCAAACGCTGCATGGCCGCGCTATCCATCAAAGTGCCGCGTCGGTGAATAGCATAAACGACCTCACTCAGCGCTTCGCAAACTTGCGCCGCTCTCCAATTGATACATCTGCACGGTCTAGCCCTGACTTATCAGTCAAGATGCCCTCCCCAGCAGACTTCACTACCACCAACAGAGTCATGGGACCACGCGGTATGCCCATGACACCTATGTCCATGCCTCAACCGCCACCCAAACTGCCACTAGACACACAATTTGCTGCCTCCCTACCCAAAGAGCCTAGTCCCACCTACAGTCCTGCACGCAACATCTCAGGTCCCTCAAGCATCAATCCGCCACGAAGTACCCCGAGGAGTATGAACGGCACCGGAGGCCGTAACAACTTGTTAGCTGCATCGAGCGCGTCCAGTTATGCCCCCAATGCGAATGGTGTGCCAGACTCATATTTCCCATCCCAACAGAATCTACGTACTGCCCCCGAGAGGACCCGGTCTGTCAGCAAACCCGTCGAACTCGAAATAGATGCTAGCATGCTATACGACTACTACCGCATGTACAATGTACTCACCATTGATGTACGCAATAGGACCGATTATGATGCAGGCCACATCTACGTGCGAAACATCATGTGTATAGAGCCTTTGACCTTACGCGACGGCGACTCAGCAGAACAGCTACTAGACCGCCTTATCATCTCACCAGACGAAGAGCAGACCATGTTCGATCGGCGAAACGACTTTGATGTCGTCGTCTACTATGACGAATCAACCGAAAATATTGAATTTATGCAGAAGCCCAATCGCTCCGAAAAGGAAACTGCATTGAAACGCCTTTTCGACACCCTACACGAGTTCAATGCCGAGAAACCCCTCAAGCGCCCGCCAGTTCTTTTGAAAGGCGGTCTTGATGCCTGGGTTGACTTGGTAGGCCCACAAGCATTGAAGATGTCGACTACCGCTGCACTGGTAGCCGCAGGTCCTGCCAGAGCTCGCGCTGTTCGGCGGTCTCCTGCTGCTACTCATATTGCGAAGAACAACCAGAGACGATCGCGCCGCGAGTACGTACCCATGGACCAGGAAGAAGAACAGGCATGGCTCGAAGAAGCTCGCAAGGGGCGAGCTGATGTTGAGGTGCCTCCAACAGAGGGCGAAGGAGAAGAGGATGAGTCTAATGCGCCCTTTTATCGCTCCACCGAGGAGTTTTTGCGTCGGTATCCCGATGTAGAAGCTGAACAGTCGATGATGTACCCGCCAAAACCCCAATTTACCAACCAATACGTCGCACCTGCCATACCTGTCGCCCCTTCACGGCCGCCGCCGTCGGTGCCTAGGGTTGGTTACAGTGGTGTGCATGAACGCCAAGATGTACAGCCAACCCGCAACAATGTCTATAATTCGCAACCTCAATTTAGCAATCTGAGATTGCACCGAACCGGATTGCTCAACTTTGGAGTTACATGCTACATGAACTCAGTGGTTCAGTGTCTAAGTGGACACTTGCTGCTATCAGACTTGTTCCTCACCGGGCGATACCAGCGCGACCTTCAACGAGACAACTGGAAAGGTACAAAGGGTATCCTTCCAGAGGCGTATGCGACATTGCTATCGAACCTATACAAGGGCGATGTGTCGTCGGTACGCCCTAGCACTTTCAGGGTACGTTCAAAAGATATGTATCTTCATGGGCTGTTGCTAACTCATGACAGCGCATTTGTGGTCACTTCAACTCGCAATGGGGTATTGACGAGCAGCAAGATGCCAAGGAGTTTCTCGAATTCGTGTTGGATTACATGCACGAAGACATGAACCTAACATGGAACAAGCCGCCCCTTAAACCGCTGACAGATCAAGAAGAACTGACTCGCGAACGGTTTCCACGGCAATACTCGGCCATGATCGAATGGCGGCGATACCAGCACCGCGACATGTCCGTTATCGGTGGTCTGTTCGCTGGGCAGCACGCTTCACAGCTCACATGTCAAACGTGTGGTGTAACCAGTACAACGTACGAGGCGTTTTGGAGCATCAGTGTGGAGATTCCTCGCGAGGGCCAGTGCGACCTACGCCAATGTTTAGAATCCTACTGCGCGCCAGAACATCTAGCGGGAGACGAGCTATGGCGTTGCCCACGCTGCAAAAAAGACCGCGAGGCGGTTAAGAAGATTACCATCACTCGAGCACCGGACACACTTGTCATCCACTTCAAGCGGTTCAGCGCATCCCGTACAGAAACTGCACGCAAAGTTCGCACGCCCGTCCACTTTCCGCTTCAAAGGCTGGACATAGGTCCGTTTGTTGAACCACCAATGACCCCAGAGCAAGAGGCATTTGTTGCTCAGAAAGCTCGGGACGGACCTGCGCAGCTGGCTGGAGTCAAAGCCGACCCCACCATGAACGGACCGTATGTCTACAACGCTTACGCTGTCATCTGGCATATTGGTGCGACTCTCGGCAGCGGCCATTACATTGCTTTCGTCAAGGACAAATCGCGAGGATGTTGGCGGTCTTTCAACGATGACAAAATTCAGGATTTTGATCCAGGCAATCTTCCAGCCAACAGTCGATTGCAAAATGAAAAGGCATACATTGTGTTTTACGAGCGGGAGAGGGTCGCTGGTGGGGCATTTTAGGTGTGGGTGTAAGCGCATTCCCAGACAATTGACGTGTCCGATATTTTTGCGCTTTGTTTACTAGCGATGGGTTCATTCCTCCTATGCTGTTGATACTTGGTCCACGATGCTTTTGCGTTCTGGGAGGAAGCATTGCATTGACGGCGCTGGAAAAAAACGCAATCTGGCTGCCACGTTACATATACCACTTTGAATACCACGCGATGACCATGACTGAATTGCATGAAGAATTTGAAGGTAGTGGTGGAGATCAAGTTGAATGAGTAACTTGGCGCTGCACTCGATTCGCGTGTTCACCTATGACATGGCTAGTCGTCTGTAGACCCGAAGATCGGCCCGCAAGTGTGATGAGCACCGAACTTTTTTATGGCCGATAAGATAGCAATGACTCCCCACTTCTCCATACTTATACTCCAACACTGACTCTTTCACTGCCATTGACTTTTCCACCACACTTGATACCCCTCAGAAGAATTAAATATGTCAAAGGGACGCGTCTGTCTTGCATACTCTGGTAAGTTTTCCTGACGAGCTGGCTGCCCGCTGTCACTACATTCAATCCCGCTTTGTTGCGAAGCACATACACTAACTTGAGTCGTTAGGCGGCCTCGATACCTCCACCATCCTCAAATGGCTCATTGGTATGCCAACTTTGCACTCGAAGCCGTGACTTGCACTAATTCTTTCGTAAAGAGGAAGGATACGAGGTCGTGTGTTTCCTGGCCAACGTTGGCCAAGACGAGCCATGGGACGAGGTTGAGAAGAAGGCGCTCAAGATCGGTGCACTGAAGATGGTCATCCTTGACCTGCAAAAAGAGTTCGTCGAAGAACTCTGCTTCCGCGCTGTTCAGTGCAACGCTTCCTATGAGGGCCGCTACCTTCTCGGAACCTCGCTGGCTCGTCCAGTCATCGCTCGCGCACAGATCCGCGTCGCACAACAAGAAGGCTGCGGCTTCGTCTCGCACGGCTGCACAGGCAAAGGAAACGACCAGGTTCGTTTCGAGCTTGCCTTCTACACACTACAGCCCTCCATTAAGGTCATTGCACCATGGAGGCTGCCAGAGTTCTGCGACCGCTTCAAGGGCAGGCAAGATCTCCTTGACTATGCTGAGAAGCACGGTATTCCTGTCACATCCACCAAGGCGAAGCCATGGAGCATGGACGCCAACCTGGCACACTGCAGTTACGAGGCTGGTAAGTCTACGAAGCTTGACTGTCAATTCGGTGTTAACAACGTGTGTAGGTATCCTCGAGGACCCAGATGTGTCTCCCCCAGACGACATGTGGACCATGACCGACTCACCTCTCAACGCACCCAACGAGCCCACTGACATCACCGTATACTTTGAGAAGGGTATCCCTGTCAAGGTCGTAACACCAGAGAAGACCTACACAGACTCTGTTGAGCTCTTCGTTGCGCTCAACAAGCTCGGCTACACCCACGGCATTGGCCGTATCGACATTGTGGAGAACCGCTTTATTGGTCTCAAGTCCCGCGGCTGCTACGACTCACCCGCCATGACGATCCTCCGCCTCGCCCATCTCGACCTCGAGGGTCTCGTCATGGACGCACAGGTCCGCAACCTCCGCGACCAATTCGTTTCCCACAACTGGAGCTACCAGCTCTACAACGGCATGTACTTCTCGCCCGAGCGCGAGTTCATCGAGAACAGTCTGCTCTTCTCCCAGCGCAGGGTCAACGGCGAGGTCAGGATGAAGCTGTACAAGGGTAACGCGTACGTGCTTGGTCGTTCGAGCAAGACCGAGAAGCTGTACTCTGAGGAGGAGGCTTCCATGGATACCCTTGACAACTTTAGCCCAATGGATACGACTGGCTTCATTGCTATCCAGAGCATCCGGTAAGTCTGGTTCTTTTCAGGATTGAAGCTGTCAGTTTACTAATGCCATGCTAGTTTGAAGAAGTACGGTCTCCAGAAGGCCGAGGAGGGAGCAAACATGTCCCGTGCGTAGAAATCTCGACAGAGTTGGGAGAAGTCACCAGGGTGTATGCTCGATGGAAACGTGCGCTCGCCAGTAGTAGCCACGCGAAGAAAAACGTGACATTACATAGCTAGGAACCAACGAATTTACATAATGACCAATCTGAGTCTTGAAAAGGCGTGGTATTCTCATCCCCACGACCCTTACTGGTCGGCCTGCAAGCGACCCTGTTTTCTTAGCGTCGGCGCTTCCTCCCGTACTCTAATCTTACCATGGTTCACAACAGGGTTTAAAACCTATTCCATGCCCCCCCCCCCCCACTTAATTGACTGAACTTTGGATCGTGCAGCCTCACGGAGATATCCACATTTTTGCTTGCCTCGTTGATTTGGTATTGAAGTCCCATCAGGAGGGTATCTTTTCCCTGGTATCCACATCCTTGTTTCGGGGAAGATGGGAGTGAAGCATTTGTACACGAGGTCCTGGGACTAGGTTTGGGCAAATTCTAATTGCGTTTTCTCAGCAATCCTGTGGGGTCATGTTGCTATGCCTTGTTATTTTATTTTGTCGGATATTGTAGAGTGGGATAATAATTATGCGGTGAAATGATGTGTTCTTAGCATTCTGAGATAGATGAGGGAGATATATCTCGGGACAGTGTTTGTCTGATGTGATAGGTTTGAAGTGTGGTGAATTCTGTATATGTGTTTTGAGGTGCTAGTTTGGTAGTAGGTTCATTTCTATATGATTTTGGAAGATATCTCGGTGTGCGTGCAAATACGAGGTTTTGGGGGATGTGCGGTTGGCGTTATGGGGACTAAAAGGGGTTTTTGTGATAATGTGGTGCGTTTAGTGTTGGGCTTCTTGCTAGAGAAACAAAAGAGAGACGTTTGAATATGTTTTTCGTACTGTAAAAGTGATAGAGTGAATAACTTGTGTTGACATTTGCTCTGATCGACCGCTCTATGCTTGTTCTTTCTTAGATAGTTGGTTAATATAGCGATGTTTGCCTATCTTGCACTTGCATTATGAAAGCCCAGGGATTGAACATGTTCACAGGCGCACAGGCGCTTGAAATAAGTTATACAGTCAAAAAAACGAGATGGGCCATGTGAGATGTCACTCTGTACGAAGATCAGAGACACAAACCTTCCATGATTTTAATCTTTGTGTACGTAGGGACTGAAAGATCGACAATGAATGCGTAACGTACCGAACGCCCTTTGATCAGAGGAGCGGCAGAGCTGTGGGACACGTGGTAAGGGAAGGCGTGTGCTGACGTTTTGTAGCAGTAGACCAATCATATGAAATGACGGTCAACCGTGGTTGTAGAGAATAAAAGTCTGCAACTGCTCGTGCGCTCCATTACATAGTAGGCTTGTTGAGGATAGGAGATGGTGACCAGAAGGAAACTGGTAGTTGTATATTGGGTTATCGTGAGGCTGTATCAATGGCTCCGGTTCTGTGGTACAGTTCAGGAACTGCCAGGTGCGGGTTGGTGCTTTCTTTCCGCTATAACGTCTGTTTAGTGCAGGCATGGAGAGATTTGGGAGTTGCAGACCGAATATCAAAGTTCAAACCTGGAAGCAACGCTGTATGGTGTGAAAGAGTCTTGGAGCCTGTGAAAAAGGATCCTGATGGTGCAATAGAGGGACTCAGCAGTCTTTCTTACTGAATCTTCGCTTTGCAACCTCTTTTGCGATGTGCTCTGGCGATGCTCAGTAGTACCGGAACTCACAGCCGTTCGGTAGCGACGGATATAACACAGCGCACCACGGTTGTGATATTTCTCTCAGGCTGAGCCAGAGCTTCGAGTCCAATCAGAAGAGCCTCTTCGGAAAAGAGAGACCAGTTATTTTGATTTTTATCAGAAGAATCATTCTTATTTTCTTATTTTTCTTCTTCTTCACCACATGGCGCAAGGCAATGGAGGGCCCTACACCAAACTCCAGCTCAAAGCGACCATGTGTCCAGGATCAGGATGACGTTCGGAAGTCGCAGCGGCGTAGAATATCATCTGGTGATTCCCTAATAGAAACACGGTCTTCTGTAAGTCATCTTGCCAACATTGGAAGCTCTTTGTTACATCCGTTTTCGTCATACATAGTATCATTTCAGGCCAAGAAACTGATTTCGTCGTAGACGGCAGAGAGTCTAGGCAGTGATGCTGATAAACTCAAGAATACCCGACGTCGTAGAGGCGATGGGTGCTCGAAGGCCAGTATCCAGAGCAACTCAACCTCAGTTCCTCGTCACCAGCCATATGGTCGACAAAGAACCAGACAGAAACTACGGCAGTTAGTTCCAGCTGCTCCGACGCCAAACTCCTCGGTTTTTGAGAATCAGCAACAAGAGTATGAAAGACAGACACTGCTTAGCAGTCCCTTTGAGAAAACGATAGGTCGGACGGATGGTATCTTTGCCTTTTCACCGCAAACTCCACTTCCTTATAATACCGGCCAGCAGTACTCGAACCGTCATCCGACCTACACATTACCAATGGATCCAGGACGAAGAGAAACGTGTCAGCGGTATGGTACGTCTTACGGAAACATACCCGCTGAGAGTGGAGATAGTAGGTTGTCACAAGCACGTGCTGTTGCAGGGTTCAATTCGGCTCCAGCACCCCCACTGGCCGGCTTTTCACAGCCACTTTCAGCAGCAGGGACTTACCATCAGGTGAATATATATGGCAATTTGGCCACAGGGCAGCAAGGTCAGCGGCAAGGTCCGAGTAGCTTGGCTGATGTCCCTCATCCAGGAGACTCGGGTCCTCAACTGATGGGCCCGCCACAATCTTGCCAGTCAACCTTTACGAATGTGTGTCCAACGATACCTTCGACAGGGTTTTCGGTGCGTTCAGCGGGTCAATTGAATGGAGTGTCGCCAGGTAGCTATTATAGCCAACACCAGCCGCTACCAATGCAGTTCGGCATGGCTACAGTCCCGGCCGTGGGTATCGGGCAGCCACAACAACGAAATATACATTTAGTAGTGCCTGTGAGCAGTTCATCAGGCAACTACAGTGGTTTGGCGCCTCCGAGGTCTTCGCAGAACAACTTCAGGACCGGACCTCAGACACAGAACCAGTTCTCTTCGCCTGCACCTGGTCAGTCACATTCCTCAGTGCAGACACAAACCTCATACATGGATTTCCCAGAACACCTCGGTATCCCCATACAGTACTCGGCCTATGCTGACTTGCAGCTGCCATACCCGCCGCCTATGTCCCACAATGCTGGCCCTCCAGAAACGCAGACAGCACAAACTCCCATACCCGGTATACCAGACGGTTTGCCCCTTCGTCCTTCTCCCAACGTACCAGCAGCCGAAACAAGCGCGCAACTACTTCAGCAGCCATCGCAGCAAAATGCTCAAGATAATGGCTATCTCGATTTCTTCGAGTGGGATCCTGTAAGCCCTTATCCCTTGAATCCAGTACCAATCGAACAGATGAGAAGGTTGTGCCTGATTGAAGGGACAGGCAGGAATTGAAACGAGGGTCTAGACGAGCTTGGTATCCCCTAGGAGAGATTGCTCAGGTTTTGAACCTCCTTTTTCTTGGCTCCGTGCAGGATACTAAAGCATCCGGGAGGGATTCTGTATACAGATTATCATTCATTCACTTGTGGTTTTTTTCTTCTAAATTGTTCGATTGAGCTTCATCGGTACCAATCTTGGAGGCGAAGGGGGCTGACTAATCAGTGGTATACCACTTGCTGCCTCTCATGTATGAGTTGGAGTATTCGCAGCTCTAATTGGTCCTCGGAATCCAGGTTCTTATTTCGTTAGTATTCTTGTACTGGAAGCGTCGTTTTAATCAATACACCCCATGGTAAAGAAATGAGAAAAGAAAAACAGTGCGTTTTTGATTTGTCAGGCAAGGACGAGTGAAAAGACAACAACATAAGACCAAGTGACGCAGAGTACAGCATGATTTCTTGAGGAAGACACATTCATCTGCTGAGTGGTCCTAACAGATCATGTCTCCAAAACTAGAAACGCACCTTTTTTTCTGGTTCCAGTCCAAGTCGCTGAATTCGTCTAGTATCTTGCAATTTGGCGTCTCAAACGCCACCTCCCCATCCTAGTACTGCATAGGCTATCAAGCCAAACAGTGCATCCCATGCTAATGCTTTGATGGCATAGCCGCCATCTCCAAGCGATCCCAAGACTCCGCCGTAACTTAAATCTTTTCTCATCGTTGCTACACTAGCAACTGCAAATCCACCAGAGACGGTGATGCATTTGACTACATCCGCATCTCTAAGACTCATTATAGCGGAATGGGGCAGAAGTAATATTGCTCGTGTGAGCAGTAGAAGAACCATAAATATTGAGTTTGATCGTAGGGCTGGGAGAGCTAATAGGGAGGCGTTGAGTAAGATATTAGGTATCTGCAACGATGCTATCGGGCTGCGACGTCTTGGCACAGACTTGGGCTTAGCGGGCTCTTTTGAAGTTTCCGTTGGCGAAATGTCCGGAGATGAAAGGTGAAGTTGAATGATGAAAAGTAAGACTGTGAAGGATATCGGGAGAATCTGGCTCAGCAAGGTGTACTTGCGCACCATTGATGCGTCGTATTTGCGTTCTCTCGCTGCAGATGTATTAGCAAACTCAAGGGCTCTGGTGAGGCAGAAGAGACTCACCTTTCTGAGCCATGTAGATATTCCAGAACCATGTTGCGAGAATGGCAGCTTCAGTCCACGACGCATTGGGCGCGTTCTTGACCAAATCCTGGGCGAAATCCTGGAAAAGCGTCGACTCCAACATCCATCTCTTTAGCTGTTCTATTGTGATAGCACTCGGGCTCGGGCTATTCTTTGCATTCCATTCCAGGAAGTGTGTAATTAAAAACATGAGCATGTTGTAGGATAAAGTCGCAAAGCTCAAGGAAGCTAAAAAGGCGTAGATTTTGATGTGACGCGCCCGCGCCGTTCGGGCTGCATCGAGTTTTTCATCTTTCTTTGAAGCAGGCCCGCCAAATATGGTGGCGTACTGAGAATAGAGGGAATAGATGATTGCGAAGGTCGCATACAACGCAGCGACAATGTATGAGAGAAAGAGTGTGGTGCCGATGTAGTTGTTTGGTTGAGTGGTGTAGTACACCAGCGCGTCGTATCCTGGAATATTCATGGTGATATCAATAACGAAGTCAATTGCAACATGCCGGGATAAAGAAAAGAGATATATGGCAACAAAAGAATCGCGTATTGTCGGGGACAGATCTAAGGTTTCAGAGTAGGTGATGATGGCTGACGTCATGACACAATCGTTGTCTGAGAACACGGGTGATGAGACACTTCGGCTGCTCCTTCCCTTCCGCTCGAGAACGCGACAGTGAGACGCGACATGTCAACGACATGTACAGACCGTGATACTTCTTCATCGCCTCAGGAGTACTTACTTGGTGACAAGCGCCAAATCACGTCGTGGCTGTGTACTCGCGAGTGCATTGAACGCCATGACGGCGGTACTACGGTCTGAGGATTGTTGGTACATACTTACACGAAGCATATAATTTGTTTCACACAACTCGGCTGGCCGATTGACATGGACCTTGAGTTATGTCGCTTCCAGAATGAGCACTTCAACCATAAGCATTCTCTAACGCAATCAAAAATTGCGTAAGCAGTCAATCGACTGGACGCACAATACATTTCCGTTTTTTGTCAAAACAATGGCTTATTGACATGTGATATGTAAGGCCCCAAAAATGGTTGAAAATGACTCATTTCACTCAAAGAGATCCAACTCAGACAGCTAGTCTAGTGCGGAAGAAGATAGATAAACGACGTAAGTACCGGGGAGCCTTGAGGAACACGACGTTGAGTAGATGGATGGCCTGACTCACTGGCCCACCATATCAACCCTAGCACCGTTCCGCCCCAGCTTATCTCATGACTCATCAACTCGTACCCTTATAGCTGAACGGAGGTCCAGGAATCACGTGCCTTCAATAGTAAGGAAGGGAAGTTGGTTGCCCTAACTGGAACTGCGTTTTTTGGCAATGTTGCCAAGACGTACCAGGCAACCACCACTACAGACATAGATATATAGGGAAGAGTTTCCCACCATCTCTTGTCTTGAACTCACATCATATTTCACACACACATAACATAATAAAGAACAAAAACCATCATGCGGAATCACGTTTGCGGATGTTACATATACAGCTCGGAGACCCGCAGACGTACCTACTTGCCGCAGGTCAATCTGGAAGCTCACACAACAATCCTGTCAACGGCTTCTCGCACAGTACTGACGCAAAATTTTGTCAATGGCTCCAAAGACGCGTTGGACGAGATAAGGTACTTTCATTCCTATGCCCTAAAAGCAATTGAGTTACCCTAGGACTAAATTTCGCCATGCAGGTATGCTTTTCCATTGTACGACGGCGTCAGCGTCGTCGATTTCTACTGTGAAGTCGGAGAGCGCACGATTTACGGTCTGGTCAAAGAAAAGAACGATGCCAAAAAGACCTACGAAGAGGCCAAGCAACGAGGTGAAAGCGCTGCGTTGCTGGAACAGCTACCTGATGCCGCCGATGTCTTCACAACTACAATCGGCAATATTCCCCATAACGCAGCTATAAAAATCACTATCAAATACGTGCAGGAGCTCAAGCATGATGCCGAAGTCGATGGTGTGCGCTTTACCATACCAACATGGATTGCTCCGCGTTACGGAAGTTACCGCCGAGGTTATCCTTCAGAACTACAAGAATCACTAAAACCAATACCTTCTGAAGGGATTTCAATCACTGTGGATATCAGCATGGCTGAGGGTATCCCAATCAAAAAGATTGTTTCTCCCTCCCACCCTATCCAAGTCACACTTGGTTCACTATCTAGCAGTACCATCGATGAAGACCAGTCATTGTCTCGAGGCTCGGCCACTCTTGCTCTAGGTACAGCGGCACTTGAGAACGATTTTATCCTTCAAGTGGTTGCAAAGGACGTCGGTGTTCCTCAAGCGATTCTAGAGAGTCACCCAACGTTGCCAAATCAACGCGCTTTGATGGCTACGTTGGTACCAAAGTTCAATCTCAAGTCGCAGAAACCAGAAATCATTCTCATTGCAGATCGCTCAGGTAGTATGCAAGGGGAGAACATTACCACTCTCATATCGGCACTAAAAATCTTTTTGAAGTCGATTCCTCTTGGTTGCACTTTCAACATTTGCTCTTTCGGGTCAAGTCATGAGTTCCTTTGGCATGAAAGTCAAATATACGATGAGAGAACGCTGCAGCAGGCGATCAAGTAAGTACCGGATTTTTTTTGGAGATCATCACTTGGGAACGTACATGACAGCGATCTATCCAAGCTACACAGACTTATACCACGAAGTTTCTTTCACAGACCAACACCAGCACTTTACTAATTGCTTCTCAGATATGTTCAAGAATTCGATGCCGGCTTCGGCGGAACGGAAACTCTTGCCGCCCTCAAAGCATGTTTCGAAGCCTGTACCAAGGATAGCCCGACTGAGCTTATTTTGCTCACTGATGGTGACATATGGTCTCAGGACGAGCTTTTCAGCTATGTTTCCCGTGAAACTGAGAGCGGCGACGTGCGCGTCTTTCCCTTGGGTATTGGCGGAGGGGTATCGAGTGCCTTGATTGAGGGCGTCGCAAGGGCAGGGTGTGGCTTCGCTCAGATGGTCACGGACAACGAGAAGATGGATAGCAAAGTTGTTCGCATGGTGAGTATGGAGGGGATTCTGGTGTATTGAACTGTGTGGCTAACATTTTCTACAGCTGAAGGGAGCACTTACTGCACACATCAAGGATTATCGTTTGGAGATCAAATATGAAGATGGTAATGTCGAGACTGTCGCCGATGGCCTTCGCGTACACTTGAATCCCAAAGAGTCCAAGGACTCAAGTGACAAACCCGAAACCAAGCCTGTATCGCTGTACGACCCTGATGTCAAAGAAGAGCACCCCAAGGAAGGCGAGTCAAAGGATATCTTCGCAGGTCTGCCGGATCTCAAGCACCCAGCTCTTCTGCAAACGCCCCACAAAATCCCTTCTCTATTCCCCTTCTATCGCACTTGCGTATACTTGCTCATTGCGCCCGAGTCCTCGCACTTGAAACTCAAAAGCGTAGTCTTAAGAGGCACCTCCCCACAAGGTCCTCTCGAGCTCGAAATCCCAATCGAGTCGCGCAAAGACGCCGACGATATGATCCACCAGCTCGCCGCACGAAAAGCAACTCAAGAGCTTGAGGAAGGCCGAGGCTGGATCTCAGGTGCTACCATCGATGACACGGGTATGCTAATCAAGGAAAAGCATCCAAGCATGTACGCTCTGCTCCAAAGACGCGAAGCCGTGCGCCTTGGAGTCAAATTCCAGGTCGGAGGGAAATACTGCTCTTTCGTCGCAGTTGAAACAAACAAATCTGCCATTGCTGAGATGCGCCAGAAAGCTCTGCAAGCAACGATAAACAGAGATATTGCCAGCAAAGATGGAGAAGAAGATGAAGAAGACTGGGATATGGTCAATGAAGGTATGTCTATGAATCCCCCCATTTGATTCTGGCTGTAAAATCTAACAACACATCGTATCAGGAGCTCCATTAAGTCAACCTCGGGCACTGCTCCACGCAACATCGCGCTCAAGACCACTGGTCAGAGCCATGTTTAGCCGCTCCGCTCGTAAGTCGGCCCCAACATCCGACGGCCCCGTAGCCGCCATGGGCGGCAGAGGTGAGAGGGGAGTCGGTAGAGGCAGCCCCATGTGCCTCTCCGGAGCCCGCTCCGCATCCGCAAGCTATACGAGAAGTCGAGGCGGATTCTGCAACTTCAGAGCCGAAGAGGAAAAAGAGGAAGAGGACGACAGCTCGGATGAGGACATGGGATGTGGACTTTTCGAGGAGGCAGAAGAAGCTAGTGCTGGTACGTTACACGCACACATACATCCATACCCTCCCTAACCCCCTCCCCCCCTTTTCCTACATACATAAATGAATTCTACATAACTAACTTAATCGATAATAGAACCACCATCCCCCGTAGAATCAGGGAAATTCCTCCAGAGTCTAATTGCGCTGCAATCCTTCTCCGGCGCTTGGCCCTCTATCTCGCGTCTTCCGTGCCGGAAAATGGGCATCGACGTTGCGGAAGCGAGGGAAGTGGCGCAGAGGCTTGTTGAGGACGGAGTAGCAAAGGACGCAACCATGGCGGAGCAGTGTGTAGCTACGGCTGCGGTGGTCAGCTTTTTGGAGAAGAAGATGGCGGATGAGGAGGAGACGTGGGAGTTGGTTGTTGAGAAGGCGAGGACGTGGCTTGAGGATACAGTTGATGCTGCATATCTTGGCAGGGTGCTGGTGGCTGGTGCGAGTATTGTGGGTGCTTGATGGGCATTTCTATGGTTTGACGAGGATGGGACCTGGAAGAGGAGAACTCAGTTTTCATTGTTTACTTAGGGATCATAGGGTTTAATGAAGTAATGACACTGTCAGATTCAAACTGGTTTGGCTTTGATTTAAGAAGGCATCACTCAAGTCATCCACAAGGATCACCATCGCCCAAAAAAAAGAACAAAAAGCCAGTAAAAGGTCTCAAGAGAATACAAGAATGTATTGATTCTCTGACGAATTTACGATGCATAACTTCACTGTACAAGAAATATCTCCGCTGCCTATTCGTACACCCACCCACACCTGCGTAAACTGAAAAAGAGAATGAAACTGAACACCCCCAGAACCCTAACAATGCCAACTATTTTCATCCATTTCTCGATTACATGACGGGCATGACTAAGGCTCCGAAGCACATCGACCAGCTCGCCCAGGAGCAATGCGATTGAGTATTGAAATCTCCACGTTGCTTAAAATTCCTGTTCACAAACAAAACACATTAACAACATGCCTCAGAGACGTGTAGACGGTTAATTGTCTCCAAGCAGGGGCTGTGATTCATGGCCATCTCCGGGGCCGCCCTTCTTCTTCTTACCACGCTTCTTCCTCCTCTTTTTGTTTCCGCCCTTGCCGCCCGCGTGTGAGGATTCAGCTTCCGAGTGCTTACTATCCTCTTGACCATTTGGTCCGCTGTTGGTGGCTTTATCATCTGTATCGCTAGAACTGGTAGTCTCTAGAACAATTTTCTTGATACCGTTAACGTCGACAACGTTCTCAGAGATGCTGCCACTGCGAGCGGTATGGCGTCTAACAGGACTGTGTGAGGGTGTGGGAACTGTTGGAAGGGAGGCAATAGTGCTGACGGATCGGGATCGGCCTCGGCGTCCCGAACGACCGTTTTCGCTGGTGGCACTCTTGGATAACAAGTGCGAAGTCTCGTTGTCAGCTGCTTTACTCTTGGGGGAGGCATTATCAAGGTCATGGTCCCGCGCTCCTGACCGTCCAGATCGTCCAGATCTCCAAGACATGCGGTCGCCATTTGGTGCCATAGTGCCATATCCCACAGCTACGCTGTGAACTCCATCGCTAGCCTCACGCCCTGCAGATGATAATAGACCTTCACCAACCCCGCCTTCAGGAGCATGCGAATCTAGTGTAATCACACCCTCTGTTGGTGCTGGCTCATGGAATGTCTGGCTATCTTCCGGTATCGTCTTTGGAATATCAGGGCCGGTCAGATTAGTTGGGCCGGGTTTGATCTTGACAGTGTTTATGCGCGTTTGTTTGGGCCGGGTAGCAGCGTTCGAAGGACCGAGATGCTTGAGGTGCTCGATTACGGCAGGATCGTCACTGCGAAGGGGCGACATGCCTGCCTTGCTACCGCTGCTACGACGTCGCAGCATGAAAGAAGGTTTTGGGTGGCCGTCAGGCATGTCCGGTAGCGATTTGTTACGTGGCGCAGGTGCTTCGCCCTCCGTTTCGGTATCGGTAACAGGTGCGTCTGAGAGCTTGCGCGAGGCGTCGTTGATAATCTTTCCTCTGGGAACACGAGCGCGTGGGGCAGGTGCCATGCGGCGTATGGCCTTGTGGACATCGATGAAGACATCTGACTCGTCAATGATTTCCCTGCTTCTGTTATTTCATACTCGATATTCTGTGATGGACAATGACTTACTCGCCAATGAGCTCTTCAATGACGTCTTCGAGAGTGACGACACCAACGGCACCGCGAGCTTCAGCAGGGTATTCAGAAACCAAGACCATGTGGGACTTGCCCTCTTGGAAGAAATTAAGAATGTCCAGGCAGCTTGTCTCGGGGCGCGTTTCCGGAAGGGTAGCAAGGGCGAAGTCGCGGACGCGCAGTGCATCCTCGGGGTCGTAAGTGATTAGCATCTTGACAAGCAACATGCCCACAAAGTTGTTCTCGTTCTCAGGGGTATGGATTGGAATGCGTGAGTATCCTGCAGACAGAATGCTGTCCATCATCTTTTCATCAAGGACTGTATCAGATGACATGGTGAAGACATCCTTCATTGGTGTCATAATGTTACCCACGGCCTTGGCCTTGAGGTCCAAAACTGCGGTGATGATGGTAACCTCGTCTCCATTGAGGCGTTCATGCTCAAGTCCGAGGGACTGGTGCAGGCTGACCAGGGTCTTCAATCCGGTCTTCTTGTAAACGGTGCCGTGATCCTCGCCGAGGAGGTAATCGAGGAGTTTAGCTGTAGGCCAGGCAACAATTCCCATGATGTACATGAGACCGAGGACAATAGGGGACATGGCGGCACCAATGGGCAATCCGTAGCGAACGCATATCGACTGGGGGACGACCTCACCGAAGATGACTGGCGTGCGTCAGACACAGACGACAAATGATAGAGCGGAGTAGACATACCGATGAGCACAGTGGAACTAACAACTGCAGGCCATCCTCCGCCAAGGGACCTGTCGAGCACAATAGGAAGCGTTTCGTTTGTAATGACGTTACTCAAAAGTAACGTCACCAGGACCCAATGCTTGCCTCGCTCGAGGAGCTTGAGTACCCTTTTCGCGTTCTTGCGCTCGTGTTTCTCGCCAGATGAAGCAAGAACCTGAAGGTAGATTTCGTCCTGGCCCATCAAGCTAGGTGGGAGCTGTTAGTAAAATGACGCACGACGGGGGAGCTCTATTCAACTTACGCGATGGTCAGACCCGCGAAGACACCACCGGCCAAAACCAGCGCGACAGCAATACCCAAAAACAGCCAGAGCTGAGGGTCATCGGTGTCTTTGGGGAGGTCATCGTCGGCCTCCCTCAGAGCGCTGAGAGCGCCGCCAAATGGCATGGGAAGCGCGGCGACCATTGGCGCGAACGCATGACATAGGCCAATAAAGGCGAGGCGTACGGTGGGCAGAGACGAGCCATTGGGGATGCGAGGACGAGGGGCGCTGATGGCCATGAGGGCAGCTAGCAAAATGCAAGCACCGTGGTGCGGGGAGATGCAGACGGCGTCTGTATAAGAGCAGCGAGGCGTAGAGGGCGAAATAACGATGCGGAAATAGCGGCATGGTCGGCCCGTGCTTGTCTAGCTGCCACTAGGCCAGAAGCTGTAAGTGATTGAGCGCCCAGCTTTTTCCCCAACAAAACAGAGCATCGCTCACCATGGTGACAGTATGCAGCCAAGGTCCAATTGCTGGGCAAACCCTTTGCACCGTCTCGAACCTTGATCCTTCGTGACGAGTGCTCCAATACTCCATACTACTGTCTTTGCAGCCACGCGCGCAGGAACCAGCCCTGCATACATAGCGACAGACGATAACCGAGGCGGCCGCTGCAGAAAGAGGCGTACCCTTAGTCACGTCTCCACCGTGCAAACGGTACAGGAACCAACGGCGTCATTGTGCATTTTTACATGGGGTGCGGCATTTCGGTGTGCCAAGGGCTGGTGGTGCCGGCTGGCGTCATCCGATGTGGCTTCGTCCGATATGGCTTCATTGTGGCTTGTGATCCCTTACGTGATCAGGATATCACGTGCCGGTGCTCTCTCTCGACAGAGAGAGCCGCCGTTAGCCGCTTCGTTAACCGTCGGCTCCTCTGTCTCTGTCTACACCCACCATGACCTCTATTCATGTATCTTTTCAGAGCAATTGCTGTTGCTGTTGGGCAGACGCATTGATTTCCGTCCTAGACAAATAATGGCTTCAAAAACACCATCACCTCGCACACTGTCCCACTGCCTGCTGCGGCGCCAAACACTGCTTCGCCCTCGCTGTCACACACGCATCCTCAACAGGCCATACTCTGCCGCCGCACCTGGCGCACGTCTCAACGGAACCGTCGAGTACGACACCACCCCGATCCTCAATCACACTGCCAAGTCAACTCTCTCCAACCCCGAGCTGCCTGCAGAGATACGGAATGGCCAGACAAAGCGCATCAACCTGTACACTGCCATCAACGAGGCCCTGCGACATGCCTTGCAGACGGATGAAAGAGTCTTGGTCTTTGGAGAGGATGTCCAGTTTGGCGGTGTCTTTAGGTGTACAATGAACCTGGCTGGCGATTTTGGCACAGAGCGCGTCTTCAATACACCACTGAGCGAGCAAGGACTAGTCGGCTTTGCCATTGGAGCCGCTGCCGAGGGCATGAAGCCTGTCGCAGAGGTCCAATTTGCCGACTATGTCTTCCCTGCATTCGACCAAATCCACAACGAAGCGGCCAAGTACAGGTATCGATCCGGTAGCACTGGCGTCAACTGCGGTGGTTTGGTCATACGCATGCCAACTGGAAGCGTCGGACACGGTGCTCTGTATGATGCTACTCAGCTTTTTCTTGAAAATATGCTAACACATCATGCAGCTATCACACACAATCACCAGAAGCTCTCTTCACCCATACGCCTGGTCTACGCGTTGTAATACCCCGCTCGCCCGTGCAAGCAAAGGGCCTTCTCCTTTCGGCTATCCAATGCCAAGACCCCGTCATTTTCATGGAACCCAAGATACTCTACCGTGCCGCTGTTGAGCAAGTCCCAGTGGATGCGTACCAACTTCCTCTTGACAAGGCTGAAGTTCTCAAGACCGGCAAGGATCTGACAATCGTATCCTACGGCACCCCACTATACACATGTTCGGCCGCTATAACAGCCGCTGAGAAGGACTTTGGGTGCAGTGTGGAGCTGATTGATCTCCGGACCATCTACCCTTGGGACCGGGAAACAGTATTAGAAAGCGTCAAGAAGACTGGTAGAGCAGTCGTAGTGCACGAAAGCATGATGAATGCCGGTGTTGGCGCAGAGGTTGCTGCGACCATTCAAGAAAAGGCATTCCTAAGACTAGAGGCTCCAGTCAAGAGAGTGACAGGTTGGGCTACCCATACAGGTCTCATGTTCGAGCAGTTTGTCATTCCCGATGTTACAAGTAAGTCAACAGATTCTCCAATCACTTCTCTTATGCTAATTCAATCAGGGGTGTACGACGCCATCAAGAAGACATTAGACTACTAGATGAACATATGAT